GAGAGGGAGAGGGAGAGGGAGAGGGATGGACTACCTACTGGGTTTGTGTGTGTACTGGTCAGTCTTTTGTCACCCTGACACAAGCTAGAGTCATTTAAGAAGAAGGAACATCATAATTGAAATAATGTCTCTATGAAACTGGGCTCGGGGCAAGGCATTTTCTTGGCTAATGGTTTATGTGGGAGGGCCCAGTACACTGTGGGTGGGGCCACTCATGGGCAGGTGTCCCTGAGTTATATAAGAAAGCAGCTGAACAAGCCAAAGAGAGCAAGCCAGTAATCTGCTTTCCTCTGTGGTCTTTGCTTTTCTTCCTGTATTGAACTCCTGCCCTGACCCCCTTCGTGATGGACTGTAAGCTGTATGTAAGGTGAAATAAAGCCTTTCCCTTCCAAGTTGCTGTTGGTCATAGTAGTTACCACAGCAACAGGATGTGTAATAGGAGAGCATAGTTTTGTAGCCTACCAATATCAGCACAATACTTGCTCATCTCCCATCCACATACTGAGCATACCCGACCAACCCTACTTAGCTTCCAGGATCAAATGAGACCTGGCATGTTCAGAGAAATCTGGTCACAGATTAGTAGTTGATTTTTTTTACTATTTGTGAGGTGAATATTTTCTTCTGACAAAGAGGAGTGTGGCTTTCCTAGTACAACACATTGTATCAATCTACACCATAGATAAAATTATTTCTCATTAAGATCGCGGCAGGTCATTCCATAAAATGGTCCACATGCTGTCTGTCACCAGTGTGTAATGATTAAGAACACAGACTTGCAAAGATAAGAAAGTCCACCCTCAGTGTGGCTCTTACTGGTTCACAAAATGCTTTCGCAAGTGCCACAGTTGTGAGGTGAGACAGGATGAGGACAAGCTGCCCCAGAGAGGCTCAGGTCCCAGCTAGGAAGGGAATGTGGCTGGCCTAGAATACAGACAGACTCCCAGCAGTGTGTTCCATGGTTGGCATGTGTTTCTAAAGGAGAAGGAATCTCTTCCTTTGCTAAATGATCCATGCACAATGAATTATAAGACAAAAAAAATGTCTATGGGCTCAACAAAGTGCAATGTGCTTGGGAGCCGAGTGCTGAGGTTTGAGTAATCTTTATTTTCCCAAATCCCAAGTTCAATGGCTCTAAACTGTCAGCTGTGCTTGACATTCGCACCAGATCCTTGAAGCACAGACATAGCTTAGAGCGGCACTTGAAGACACACATGTGCACACACCATGCATATGCACTTGCACATATGCGCACACGCAGACACATGCACAGTATCAGGGCAGTCAAAGCCACCCTGCAGTGAGATTAACTGTACCTTGTGATGGGCGAGCTGCTGGGTAATGGTCTCCAGGCTGCTGGCCTCCAAAAGGTCAGGTGCCACCAGCCGGCCGGACATCTGCAGCAGCCACTTTTCCACCTCTTGGAGTTCACTGTTGTAGTCTTCATGGTCTCTGACTTTTGCTTCCAGACTGAAGACTCGCTCCTGCAAAACCAGGTATGTGTCAGAGCTGACTTTGGAACCAAAAACCTACTCAGAATTGTGTTATATTTTAAAAACGTCTAGGGTAACTCATAAGTGAGGCAAACTGGATTTGTGTCAGAAAACTACCAAGATGGGGTTAGGGTGCAGTTGGGGGGGGGTAGAATGTATGGCAGTACATTCAAGGGCATGGGTTCCATCCCCAGCATTTAATAAGAAATCAATTATTTAGGAAATCATCAGGAATGGGGAAACCAGCCATCGTGCTCTTAAATGTGCCTCTGGCCCATGCCAGTGCACCAAAGTCTGTAGTTGAGGGGACAGAGGCTGGCTTTGTCACCTTCTAAGCAGTCTGCACTCTTCGCGCCACTCTCTGCCCTCACCTTTCCTGTGCTGCAGAGGTCCTGGAAGTCTCTTTGGAGTTTCTGTATCTTGTCCTTTAAAGTCTGATCCTGGACCAGTTCCAGAAGTGCCTCGCCCTTCTCTTGCACCGAGTTCACGGACGGCTCGTGGGACAGCACCATTTGTTGTAGTGACTTGAATCACATAGACAAAAAGGGAAAAGCAGCAGCTTCATTTGGGCGAACAGGAAGAAAACACACGGGTGCCTGTGGCAGCCATGACACCACCTACCTCAGAGAAGGAACTGGCAAATACTTACGGAATCAATTAGCCACAAAGCATTAAAAAGACAATACTTTCCCATAGCGTGTGCCATTTTAAAATATTATACAGAGGCGGTAAAGGACATGTAACGGCCTTTTACAGTGCAGAGAAAAAAATAGAAAAATTGCCATTTAGTGAAATTGCACACAGCTCATATTCTGCCTCCCACTACATCACTTTCCCTAGAGACAAATGTCAACAAAAAGGACTGTCTTTCCATTGGGAGGAGGCCACGGCGTCTGTTGCAACTTGAATTAGAGTTGGCCTTAGGTAGAAAATGTCCAGCAGCACACTTGCTGAGACAGGTTCAAAACATACTTAACCATACTAGGAAATGGATCTTGAATGGGGGAGCAGAGGAGGGGCTTCTAATGAGTGCATCGTCAGTGGCAAGCTGCCAGGCCTGGAGAGGAGTCCAGACACAACATTAGAGCAGCAGCAGTTTTGGGGTGAGCCTGAACACTGTCATTCCTAAAGACTGTTGCTAAATCCTCCAGGGCCATTTTCAAATGCAGATGGCCTACAGCTCCATCAAGGCACTGGGCCATGAATTACACACACACACACACACACACACACACACACACACACACACACACACACACACACACACACACGTGTATGTATGTATATATACATGTATGTACATATATATGCATATATGTCTTTCTGTCTTGATATCTTTGCCAGAGTTTCTTTAATTAAGACCAGCTGTGCAGAAATTCCTCACATGTTAGTGGAAGCCGGCTTTGGTGATGATTTTGGAAGTCTGAGCAGGTGAAATCTCTCCCTTTCTCTTCCCGTTTATATCACCTCTATACCTCTAAAATGTCTCACTGCCCCTCCAGAAACTAAATTCTCCGGTGTTTGCCTATAATTGCTCAGTTAGTAGTCATTGTCTTTAAACCATGTCATTCTCGTTTTCAATTGCTGGGAGTCAGCTTCTGGGACCAGGGTACCAAAAAAAAATAAATAAATAAAATAAAAAAAAATAAAAAAAATAAAAGAACAGAAGTGACTACATGGGGCAGATGTGCTGTTGGCAACAAAAGTCACATTTGAGAATCATGCAATCAAGTTACAGGGAAAAAAACTTGCAAAAAAAATCTCATAATATTTTTAAGTTTATGATTTATTTTGGTGGGCTCCATTCATAGGTACCTTCAGCTGCATAAGGACCCCAGGTTAAGGGCTGAACACCCTTGAGAAGATCCATAGATCTGAATCAAAAAGGTGTGTTGATTGATTATAGCAACTTTTGAATATTAGTCCCTAATAGGAAAAATTATGCCAAAGTTGTACGTTTAGCCAACTATGCCTGCATAAATCAGCAATAATGAGGATCTATTTGGAGTATATTTCAACACCTGTGTAGGTGAACGCTTTCGGAATAGACTCCCATTCAGTCCCTGCCTGATTTCCACACGCATGTGTTAGTAGATAACAAGGAAGTACCTTGTATTTGGATAGCTGTGCCTTTTTCTCATACAGTTCCATTTTGGGTTCTTCGGGCGCATGCAGGATTTCCTGGTATTCTGCCATCCATCGGGTCAGCACCTTGCATTTATCTGAGAACTCTTTGGCTAAGTGAAGGCCCTTCTCCAGGCTCATGTGCTCCTTCCTTACAGTGCCAGTCAGGTCCTTCAGCTGCTCCATGTGACCATGGATCTCCTTCTTCAGTGCCTCAGCCTCGCTTTCCTCCAGGAATTTCACAGCCCTTTCCCCCTTCTCTCGAGCGGATTTCAGCAAACTGTGGCCCTTCTCCATGTCTTTTAATAAAACCTGAGGAAGAAAGCGGGTTACCATTGCTGTGAAGAAACACCGTGACCAAAAGCAACCCACAGTTTCGTACAACTGCTCATCATCAGAAGCAGTGAGGGCAGGAACCAGGAGGTAGTAACTGATGCTCAGCATGCTGTCACAGGGAACCCAGGACCACCAACACAGGGGTGGGCTGGGCCCTCGACACTGATCACTGTTAAAGCCAGGTGGTGGTGGTAACACAGCTTTAATCCCAGCACTCTAACATCAGAGGCAGGTGGATCTCTGTGACCGAGGCCAGCCTGGTCTACCCAGCCAGTTCCAGGACAGCAAGGGCTATAGAGAGAAACCCTGTCCTGGAAAAAATAAAAGGAAAAAAGGAAAGATGGAAGAGAGGGAGGGAGGAAAAAAGGGAAGAAGGAAAGAAAGGAAGGAAGGAAGGGAAGAAGGAAAGAAAGAAAGAAAGAAAGAAAGAAAGAAAGAAAGAAAGAAAGAAAGAAAGAAAGAAAATGCCCTATGGGTTTGCCTACAGCTCATTTTCTCCATTGAGGTTCCCTCCTCTAGGATGACTCTGGCTTGTATTGATATAAAACCAGCCAGCACAGAGAACAAGTGTTAAGCAAACACAGTGTGGGTCTTATTCTCTGCAAATAAAGGTTTTCATATTCTACTTCGAATCATCCTGTGGTCCCTTAAAATAAATTTTTGAAGGTTTTTGTTCCAGGTTGGACCTGTCAAGGAAACTGAAATTCCCTTCTTTAATTCAATGGAGGATTTAAGCCTTGGTCAATACACCATTTTCAAGTTAGAGACTTGAACCCAATGTGTCTTTTATCCCCAGCAAACTTTTATCCCAATAGATTATGTTTACTTGTCTGTTAATACACTGGGATGTGAATTTAAGATCTAAGCGTCAGGCTTTGTCTGCTTAACACCGGGTGGACAGTTGCACATGGTCCATTCAGATGACTATGTGTCACACATGAATGGAATAAGCTTTGGCATAAAGCATCTATAACCATATTTGGATTAAAATGATGAGCTGAATGCCATCAACCACTTGGGATCAGGAAGAGTACACATGCTTCCAGATCTACCCGGTGGAAAAGGATCATGAGAGAAGGAGGGGAGGCTAGAGCCAGAAGGATGCACGCCTACCTCCAATGTCTTCAGTTTTTTCCCCATCATTACTTCATCGACTTTATCAATTTTGGTAGCCACATTCTTGAAGTTTTTATGAGTGGAGCCATACCAATCTGAATAGGAACTGAGAGATGATTCTGTTTCCTCCAGACTCTGGATTTCCTCTTCTAAGAATTTTATTTGCTCCTGTGAAATCGAAGAGAAGATTGGACCACGGACAAAAGCCCCAGAGCCCGGGCCACAGTGGACCACTAGACATCTTCAACAGAAGTTGGTGGAGACAGCTTAGGCTCATGATGTCAGCTGTCCCTGGTAAATGTCGGGGGAGGGCAGCTCACCAACACTTGGAGCAGCAGGGCCTGGTACCGGGAAGTCAGCTGGGTGGCCTGGCTGCCCATCCGGCTGCTCACGTGGCTCTCCTCCAGGGTCTCCTGTGCTCTGGTCCCTACCTCCTCTACCTCATCTCTGTGCGCTGCCAGGTCTTCATGCCACTTCTGAAAGAACCAGAGAGAAAGGAACTCAGTCTGGACACTTAAAAAGGACAATACTTGGTGCACCTTCAGAAGAGAACATGATCACTGCATGTGTTTGTGAATACATTTATTCTGGAATGCAATTTTGAAAGTGTGTCAAATACAATCCTTGTGAAAAATTATGTTACAACATGGTGATAACGATTGCATATCTATAATTCTGGGTATTTTTCTTTATATATTATGCTTTGGTTCAAATGTCCCCCCCCCTTTTTTTAATTGTTTCACATCTTCCTTTGCAGTTTAATCAGTTTTAAAATACTGAAATGAATAATGAAAACAAATTGCCACGGCCTATATATTATTTTGGATGTGTGCAAGGAACTTATGTAAAAATAAAAAGAAACTAGTTTGAATCATTAAGTTAAGGAACCATGTTAAATCCCTTTCATATCATAACCGTAATTGCAAAAGATTGTCATTTCCATATTTTTATAATGGAAGTCAGCAGATATGGGAAATAAATATAATAGTTTTATAAAAACTGTATTCTATTTTAAATTTTTTATAGTTAAAAAATTAGTTACTAATATGTGTGCGCTTGAACGTGTGTGGAGGTCAGAGGAACACTTTAAAGTGTTTCTGCCTTCCAGTGTGGGTACCAGGGACCAAACTCAGGTAATTAAGGATATACAACAAGCACTTTTACCTGCTGAGCCATCTCACTGACCCAGCACCAAACCATATTCTGTCAATGATGAACCTAGGAAATAACTGCTTCAAGGAGAACCATTTCATCATTTTAAATGTTCTAGATATGCATAGTGAAAACTCAGAAGACATCCATCTTAGACAGACAATTCCTAAATGTTTCCATGAAACAAACCACAAACCCTTCGAGGCAGTTTGCTTTGACAAGGTTCAGGAATTGCCCGGAGTCACACCTTCATCTGAAGCAACTGCATCTCCTTGGTGGATCGGCTACTCTGGCATTCGCTCCTGACACTGATTTTCCCCTCCATTCTTTTGAGCCATTCATCCACTTGCTGGAACTTCTGCTCCATCAGCCTCAGTTTGTTCACCACGTTGTTGAACTGTGTCCGGGTCTCAGCCAGTGTGTGCTGATAAACCTGCCAGTCCTGACGAAGAGACTCCAACACTCTGTCTTCGGCCTGGGGGAGGCCCGAAGGGATCACTTCCTCCCGGGTGTGCAGTACCGAGTTCAGCAAGGCCTGACCCTCTGCACAGTGCACTTGAAGCTCCTAGGAAAAAGGGGCATGGGCATCATGACTCACTCACAGTTTGTGCCAGTCAGTGTGTCTCAGATAAACCATCTGGGCCAGCTTGGAATTCGCACTAGATGTGTGATTTTATTCTCCACTACTAAACAGTGCATACCTAACAGTGAACATTGCCTTCCTAAGTCTGAAGAAAGGGCCTGGAAATCTCCCAATTAAAATAACAATTTCCACCAGGCAGTAGTGGGGCACACCTTTAATCCCAGCACTCAGGAGTCAGAGGCAGGGGGATCTCTGAGTTCAAAGCCAGCCTGGTCTACAAAGTGAGTTCCAGGACAGCCAGAGTTGTTATGTAAAGAAACAATGTTTCAAAAAACAAAGACAAACAAACAATAACTAAAACAAAATAAATACATAAACAAAAATAAAAAATAAAATAATGATTTCCCAGTTAAGAATCTGAAATTTGATTTTCGGCTTGTAGGCAAAAGCAGTCATGACAAAAGGGATATGGCTTAAAAAAAAGCAACCTAGGCTATTAAAGCCTAGAATTTTCTTACACAGCATGCAACACTGGTGGAGTTGGCATTAACTGGGTGCTACAGCTACTGCTGAGAAAGCAAATGTGGGTCCTCATTGTGGTAAGGGGTGGGAGTCCTCTTCTAGATTTGTGCTCTTGGGAATGTGGTGGCACAGAAAATTTGGACCAGTACCCTTTGTAGGCATATAGACCTGGGAGGCTGAATCATTCCACCATCCTACTAGATGCTCCTATATGAGACTATATCCCCTTGACCACAGTATAAGCCTCAAAGATTCACCCTAAACAAATGAGTATAAACAATCTTAAATAGAATGCTTTGCTTTTTTTTTTATAAAAACATCACATCCTTAGCTATTCTAGCAAAATGGTATTATATACTTTAAATTCTAGTCATAAGAAATCAATCCAAGCTTTTGAGTGATATGCTTATCTATAATAATAATAAAAAAAGAACCATGTAAAATGCCACCATGAATGCCAAAGGCAACATCTTCAGTCAGAATGTAGTAACATAGATGGCCCTGTATCTCACTAAGATGCTTGCTCGGCATGAAAAAGCCATGGCTTTCTAGTCATACAAACAAACCAATAGAACACAACTCCTGTGATGGTGTTCATATGTGATCCCAATAGTCACAAGACTCTCAGGCAGGAGGATCACCAATTTGTGAGCAGCTTAGGATATACGGTGAGTTGAAGGCCAACCAGAGCTACCTAGTGAGACTGTCTTAATCCTCCTCATAGAAGAGAAGTCTACACTGTTGCCTACAGCCATTTGAAACTGCCAAGGTATGATGGTTTTTACATCAAGATCCAGCTACCTCACAGGCTTCCACAGTGCAATGTTCATGTCAGTGCTGTGCTGTGTACTCTGTGTGCACACGAAACAAGACAATACACATTTACATAACACTCACACAAACATGGAAGCTTCATTTTAAAATTCTTAATTTTTTTCAAGGTGATACTATATAAAATTTCCTTAATTTGTTTGCATATTTTTCCTGCAGAGGGACTTGAAAATAAATACTGTAGGTTTTTCAGGTCTTTGGGCTGTGCTATCACTATGTGACTCTGCTAGTACAGTATTCATCCAGCCACAGACAGTGTCAATGACTGTGGCTGTGTGTCAATAAAACTTTCTTAAGGCAGAGACATTGTGGCCATATGCTGTAGTTAACTGATACCTACTCTAATTTATTAATCTTCTTAAGTAATCTCCTTTTCCATGTTTTATAAAAATAGTTTTATCTATTTTTATAAACCATCATTCTACTAGATAAGTTCTCATGTATCCTAATATTTCAAGTATATATGCCAAAGAGAAACATAGTTTGATATTTAAATATGGAAATATGTTCCATGATTAGAATTAGAGCCTTGGTTTACATAAAGCAATTTGTGCCTATGGTCTATAAAATTGTGACTCTTCTAATTTCTAGTATTTATTTGCTTTGTGGATTTATCAGTTAAGTAAGGTTTTATTACTTTTCATTTAGTCTCACTATGTGACGTCATAGAAGCTGTCTTGTGTCTGATGTTACCTAGTAGCAGATCCCACATACCACTGGGCATAGGTGGGAGAACATAAGGATCCTGGATAAGGCTTGTCTTGCAGCCTTATAGCCGGGAGTTGCAGTGACTCACTGCTGGTTCCTGCCACTGCCTTCTTCCTTCCTTGTCAGCGTTTGTGGAGACTCAAGACAGACAATACAGAAGAAACACATGTGTGGTGCTATTGTGTTTGTGCTTTAATAAATAAAGCTTGCCTGAAGATCAGAGTTCGGGGCTAGCCACTAGTTAGTCATAGAGGCCAGGCAAAGCACACACTTTTAATCCCAGCACTCTGGAGGCAGAGGCTGGTGAGTCTCTGTGAGCTCAAGGCCAGCCTGGGCTACATGAGATTTATCCAGTCTAAAAGAGAAACAGAACTCACTCAATGGTGATGCCAGCACTTAGAGTTACACACCTTTAATTCCAGCACTAAGGAAGTAGAGATAGGAGTGGGCAGAGAGAGGAATATAAAGCAGGAGGAGACAGGAGCTCAGCACATTCAGTCTGAGGATTCCTGGAGATAGGATCTTCTTGCCCACTTTGGTATAAGGATTTGGTAGAGGTAAAAGGTCTCTCTAGTGGCTGTCTCTTTTGCTTCTCTGATCTTTCAGCATTTACCTGATATCTGACACTGGGTTTTTATTATTAAGACCAATTAGAATTCACACTATACACATGTTTGAGCCATGCTAATCTGACTTAATACACCTGTGACCACAACAAGAGAAACATGTAGGCAGAACTTGCTGGTTCAGTTGGTGCACAACAACTTAAAGAGCTCAACCTTTGCCTCCCAGGGTGCCTGGAGGGCAGTGGGAGGGGGCTATTTAAGGACACAAAGTCAATTGCTCTCAAGTAACAGCTGTTGGGTAATTGGAAGCCTGCCTGTAGTCCCTGTATTCAGGGGACTGATATAGGAATAGCCTGAGCTCAAGGCTAGACTGAGCTGTATACCAGAAGCCTGTCTTAAACAATGATAGCATGCCTATGTACATGTATGTGTGCACATATACACTGAGTAGCAGTCAGGCCTGTAAGATCTCATGGATCAGAACACTTATAATAATAAGTCAGAGCAGATGAGACTCTTTGATCAGTTAATGAAATTGTTATTTGTATAACTTCTAGTGTTTATTTATCTAGTACTTATTATCTTTAAGTCAGATAGTCTCTTCTCATTTAATCTTCACAATTGTGTTGAGGAAACTGAGTGAGAGAGATTTTTTTCCTATCTTAAGTCTCCTAGTAGCAGGTACCACAGAGAAGTAGAGTCCAGGTTTCCTAACCCCAACCTGTTTGCTTGGCATTACACAACACTTCTTGAAACTCAGCAGTAGGTCATGGGAGTTGCATATACCAGGGGGAACCATGAGAGTCTGCTTCTCCTACCTCATTCTAGCTGTAGGGACATCTTGATAGTCTTGAACCAACTCGATTTGGGGTTAACAGCACACTGAGAAGCTCCAGTACACTCCCTAGTAGGACATGCAGGTGGTCTTATCAGCCTTTTCTAATTCTTTGTTGTGTACTCCTAGAAGCCTTTTTCTGGAGACCTCTCTGATTCTGCCTAACTGTGCAGGTCTGAATAATGAAGGGTTCGATGCTGCCATAAGATCCTTTGCATTAATCTATTGCTGTCTTCACCTCATAGTTTATAATAATCTACTCATGGGTGTGTTTTCCTCACTAAATTACATGAAATGTAATGCCAAAGCCATCTTTACATGCTGCAGTTTGTGAAATATGTGCTTTGTGTTAGGTGTTGAGTAACTGACTGAAGGAGTGAATAAGGGCGTGGGCCGTGACCACTGTACCCCCTCGGTCTGCATTGTTGAGGGCATCCACACGTCTCCTGGCTACCCTGATTTCTTTTTCTTGGATTCTGAGCCAAGGCCCACGCCCTCGGGAATGCAAGAGGCTGTGGCTGAAGCCAAGTGGCTTCAGATCATGCTCTCACTTTCACTCAGAGCCTGCCATATTTTGTTGGCACTTGCTGTTTTATCCTTCATCTGAAACTGTCCTTTTGAGATCAAAAGGTAGGCGTTGTCAGTCAACACCACGCACTAGCTCAGTAGCCACTCTGGTAACTCAGAGAGTCCTCTTGGAGCTGGTTTTGTTGGTTTAAATTGCCCAACAAGTGATGGGAACTTGAATGTTCCAGATCAAGCCTTCCCATAACTGAATTCATGTCAGCTCTCCATAGGAGCCAAGGCCACATTAACTTCCCATCGCTTGAAATGATAACTCCATTTTCATAGAAAGGGACCCTCTGTTGTCTGATAGGATTACCTGGAGATCCCGCAATGCTGTCTCATGAGTGCGGGTTTCACCCTCAAGAGCTGAGCATCGGTCAAGCTTCTCTTGTTCTTGCCCCAGCCAATTTTCAAACGTCTTTAGGTCTCTCTGATATTCCTGGTGAAGGCGAACCAGCCTTTCTAATTTTGTTACTGCTTCCTGGGATCAGCATTTAAAAATGGGTAAGAAAGAAACAAATCACTGAATGCAGAATTCACTTTTGGTGTTAAATTTTCTTTTATGCTCATTCATTTATTTGTTTATTTACTCTCTCTCTCTCTCTCTCTCTCTCTCTCTCTCTCTCTCTGTGTGTGTGTGTGTGTGAGTCTGTCTGTCTGTCTGTCTACATGCATGCCACTGAACGCCCATGGAGATCAGAGGACAACTTTTGGGATTCAGTTCTCTCCTTCCAACGTAGGTGTCTAGATCAAGTTGTCAGCTTTGGTGACAAAAGTCTTTGCTCACTGAAACATATTCTCAGCTACATTTTTGAAATTTTAGAAAAGCATAATTATTAAGCAATTAAAAAAATGTATAATTTCCCTTTAAAAAAATCTTTAAATTTCCCATACAGAAGGAAGACAGAGTTGAGATGTGCCAGGGAGTGAGGTTAATTGAGGGTAAATATATCCAAAATATACTGTATGAAATTCTTAAAGAACCAACAAAAAATGAGCAAGAAAAAGAAGGAAACTGTATTTCTCTCTAAAGAAAACAATAACAAATACTTAAGTCTGGAAAGACCTCAAAGATCATTTTGAAATAACTACCTAGACGACACACAGAATTTAAAAATTTTCAATGAGATGCTGTCTGAAATTTTAGTGAAAATGTTACATTTCTAGTTGGGTTTTTGTTGAGAATTATTTTTTTCTACCTTAACTTTCAGGTATTAAAAATATTTGAAGTTTTGTTTACCTTTGCTAGTGATATTTTTAAAATACTAATGATTTAATGTTTACTTAGCTTGTTTAGCACTGTTTGCACAAGGCTGTTGGTCTTGTGCTTGGTCTTGAATGTTTAAGTGGTCCCAGCTCTCCACACTCCTACCTGGCGGAAGCCACGGGACTCCGAATAGCCATACCTTGGCCCTCTCTTTGATGGCTTGGTGTCGTTCCTGCAGATCCTGCAGCTCTAACTGGGTGACATAATGCTCTGTCATGCCTGCCCTCTTGACTTCAATGGTCTCCAGCAGGCTACTATGACTCAGCACTTCTTCATTTAATAGCTAGAGAAGAATAGAAAAATGAAATGAGTTACTCATGTACAAGCAAAAACTAAGGGGTATTAACTGTACTGTGAAAAAGGACCTTTATCCACCCATCCACTTGAATTATACAGACGTGTGTGTGTGTGTGTGTGTGTGTGTGTGTGTGTGTGTGTGTGTGTGCCTATGGAGGCATAATGTTTCTATGTATATTTCATCGGTCCAGAATGCCTCTGAGACGCTATTTCCCAATTATCTACTTCATGTTTCTTTTTTTTTTTTAAAAGATTTGCTTATTTATTATGCATACAGTATTCTGTCTGTATGTATACCTGCACACCAGAAAGAGGGCACCAGATCTCTTTACGGATGGTTGTGAGTCACCACGTGGTTGCTGGGAATTAAACTCAGGTCCTCTGGAAGAGCAGCCAGCACTCTTAACCTCTGAGCCATCTGTCCAGTCCTCTACTTTATATTTCTGCTTGAATATTTCACATTTCTCATATCTAGAAATGGCCTCCTGATTTCCATACTCTAGCCATCTTTCCTCATCAAGCCTTCTCCCCCACCCCCCAACCCCACCTCACCTTTCAATAGCCAATCTAGAACACAGGAAGGAGTCTCCTGTTCTCTCCACCTACTCCAGGCCACTCTTAACTTTCAATTGGATTTCACAGGGGTCTCTCAGACAGAACTTAGGTGAAAGATTGGGTAGACTGGGATGTGGAGTCTACTGGAAGCCTGCACACAGTTCACAAGGTGCCTGCACCCGCCCACCGATCACCTCAGCACCTTCCCCTACTATCTCTGCTCTAGCAATTCTTATCCCATAGTGCACCAGTACCTCTTTTTCCTCAGCCTATAGACATGATAGAATCTGTCTTTGATTCCTTCCAGACTACTCTTTGTACTCAATTCTTTAGGGCATGGCTGGCCTGCCTCCTGTTTCTTGTCTCTCTGCCCTGACCCCAAACAATCGATGTTAACTCTTTCCAAATTAGTGTCCCACACCTCACAGTTTATCTTTGTGATAGCTCCCCATTATAATTATTTACTTAAATGCTTATTAGTGAGTGTATACATCCCTATCAGAATACAACCCTTATTTGCTATCTTACAACTTCCTGAGGGAGCTTAGTGTTATACTGTAAACAATGGGGACCCAGTGTGTTGGGGGGGGTCTTAGGGAAGTGAGATGTTCACCTTTACATCAATATAGTAGCCAACTGATCAACAAGAAACAAGGTGAGAATTAGGAGCCTCAGAATTCAGGTGAAACACATGGATCAGCAGTAACTATGGTGATGATATGGGGATGAAAAGGAAGGATACTGGGATGAGGAGGTGGCCAACTTAAGATGCTGCTTATGAGATGATACTAATAAGCAAAAATAGAGAGTTTGAAGCATTTCCATGCAGAATATAGTAAATTCAGTTCAAGACATGATATTCCAGTGAGTATGGCCTGGGCAGACGTGTGGCTGCCTAGCAAAGACGTGTGGCTCTAGCATATTGTGTTTGAATATTACTTCAATAAAAGAGGTCTTCTGTTTGTTTGGTTTTTGGTTTTTCGAGACAGGGTTTCTCTGTGTATTCCTGGCTGTCCTGGAATTCGCTCTGTAGACCAGGCTGGCCTGGAACTCACAGAGATCCACCTTCCTCTGCCTCCTGAGAACTGGAATTAAAGGTGTGTGCCATAATCACCCAGCTAATAGAAGAGTTTTTATTTAAACGCTTCCCATATTTTAAAACTTTTTCATATGGTATTAGAACCATATGATATTGGTCAAAAGTAGTAATATGGGGCCTATGGTTTAGCTCTGTGGTTCAGTGCTTGCCTGACATGCACAGAGCCTTGGGTTTAATATCCAGCATTGAAGGCGAGATAGCAGGTACGAAAACAAAAACAAAAAGGAGTGGTAATACAAAAGAATGTAATAAAAAGAAAGCATGTTACTTCTGACATTAAGAATTTACACATTTTAAATGATCTGTGTCATAAAGCATGGGTCTATATGATTATACTAGAAAAGTTTTACTCCTGGGAAAAATGACTACAAACAAAAGCTACTTTAGAAAGATATTAGAAATTATAGCATGAGGTTCAAATATAATTTCCCTGGTGTGTGTATCCCTGGTGCCTAGGTGGCCACTTTTGCCTGAAGTTTATGATAGAATTCAGAGCGCTTAATCCAGTTCGAACCTTGGCTTTTCCGAGAGCGGTCACTTTATCCCGCAGTTCTGTGTGCTGTCTTTCCGATTCGCTCAGGCTGCCTTCCACACCATCCATCCAACTGGAGAACTGCCGGATGTCATCCTGATAACTGGTCCACTTAGAGAGTGCTCCTTCCAGCTGACTGAAAGGGGGTAGATGTCAGTACCCTAATCTGACTGTTCTTATGGGTCTGAAGCCTGTCTTGTGCCTTAGATCCTCTCTAGCCAGCAGAGGGGGGGCAGACCTGGGATAGGTAGCTGGTCTGGGTTTACCAAACCCAACTCTAAATTTCTGATGAAAACAGCCCCAGATAGCAGCATGCATTTAAATCCAAAAGGGGACGGAACATGACCTCTAGAGGGTCAAGGGGACACAAGGCACAGGGAGAGACTGAAGGTCACCCAGATTAGGATCTCCAGGTTAAGTTAGAACAGAACTGACCAGAAAGGGAATCCACCCTTACTCCCAGCAGGTTGTCAGAGTAGGAGTGACAGAAGAGTGACTGTCAGAAGGACAAGCACGGGAAAATAAGCACAGTGCTCATTTCTCATGAAGTTTAAAAGTCAGAAAATCACAATGGAAAATGGGGCCATATTCCTTGAAGTGATCTAAACATTAAAATGTAACATTTCCCTGACAGATAAATATTTCATTGCATATGTCACATATGGAATGCTGTGACTTATTGAGACTAATTTTCATTCTGTGATTGGCCATGGAAGGCACCCTCAGTGGCCACTCACAGGTATCCTCAGATGTCCCACTGCAGAGGAATGTTGTTGAGGACGCTCCCTGGTCCCTGCACTCCCAGATTGAGAGCATTGAAAACAGTAAGTGCCAAAGAACTGTCAGTCCCTAATGGACAGCCCTAGGCGCCCTCCTGTTTCCTGGTTATTTCTTCACCGATATCCCTACTTTCTGCTTTCAGATGGGGCAACTTGGAGGCACTAAAACAGCACCTAGTGTCACCCAGCCAAGAAAGACCCAGCTGTGCCCTGTAGGACTGGTTTGATGACATTCCTTTCCTCATCACTCCCTGGTGAGTGTCTCCTTAAGAATTCTCTCAAGTGAATTACTAGGTTTGAATCAAAATCTTCCCACTTCATGAAACAGTTATTACCGTTTGATTGGTAAGCATCAATCAGCAACAAATACACATTTTACTTATGTTAAAACAGAGGCACAATATTTCAGATCAACTGAAGGCAAAGCCGTACCCTCTATATTGTCTTGTCCTTTAGAGCTCTTATAAGAACAGAGAGAGGGAGGAGGGGAGGAAGAGAGAAAGAAAGGCATGGAGGAAAGAAGGGGAAAAAGGAAGTAGTAACAAGGAAGGGAGGAAAGAGAGAGAGGGAGAAAGGAAGGAAAGCAGCCACTATTGAAGCGTTCTGTTGTCAACCAGGCATGGCTCCCTGGCACTGGGCACCGCCTCCACTCACCTCTTGCATCGAATGGCTGCAGACAAGAGGGATTCCCACATGTCCTTCACAGCCTGCAGCTGCTGCTGCACAGCGGGGCTGCCTTCCGGAGAGGTGCTCTGCAGAACATACTCCCCCCGGGTCAGGATCATCTTTATCTGGATCTCCTTCTCCTGTTTTGTCGACAGCAGTGCCTGTTGACAACAAACAATGCAGAAGGCTTTGTAGTTGTATGTTGGTATTCCTGGCATCCTGTAGTTCAGCAGCTCTGGACATGATAGTGTGGTGTGCAAGCATGCCAGGCAGCACCTGTGGGAAGACAACTGAGGGGACTGCCAGTAGCCAGGCTCCAGTCACCTGCTGGTCTTCCCTGTTTAATTCCTTCCTTCCATGTTTCATTTTCCTGGTTGAATGGGGGATGGTAGAACTCTTTAAGTCTGAGAATGGAAAGAAGCTCTTGTGCATCTAGTGTAGCCTCTCCATGGAACTGAGTAACCTGGATGAAGGTTTTCACGGGCCATGTTCCTTCTAACAGGAAAAGGGAATTCAAACTCACTTGCAAAACTGGTAGCACCTGTCAAAATGCAAAACTTCTGGTCACTTCCTAACCTATGTCTTACACCCCTTGCAGATAGGGGGAACCTCTAGTGGCCCTGTGCCTGCTGGGTCCAGAAGGAATGGCAAGCTTGTCCTCAGTTACCACACTGGTTCTTCCCTTCTAGCTTTTACTTCTATTTTCTTCTCTCTCAACTCTCCATCTAGTCATTTGCAGCAGGACACTCCCTTCTTCTTTAGAAAATAATGCATTTACTTTGTGTGGGAGGGATGGAGAGAGAAAGAGTAAGAGAGGGAGAGGAAGAGATATAGACACCTTGGAGAGTTGATTCTGCCCTTCTTCCACATGGTGGCAAGAATTGGGCTCAGGCTTAATGGTGGCAGGTGCCTTGTCACATTGAACTATCTCACCATCCACCCATCCATCCATCCATCCATCTATCCATCCATCTATCCATCCATCCATCCATTATTCCTAAAAAGCTTGAGTTAGGTATTAGAGTTTCTGGAATACTTGCTGCAATATTCAACCCATCTCTCCTATACTGTTCCATTCCTGTGCATCCATAAGTCACACACACACACACACACACACACACATACACACACACCACCTGTGACCATCGTCTCCTACACTTCAACCTCAGCAGCACACAACACAGCTGTGGGGAACAAAGGTCATATTTTATTCACTTTTGATTCCTTGCTGTCAAAACAGAGTGCCAATCTCGTGAAAGGCACTGAAGTGATGAGGCAGAGATAAATGAAGTTTAACTAATTTTATTACAAATGCAAAATAGAATTGATATCTCAAGGTGGGAGAAGACTTGACTAAATGATAGAGACAAAAAAGTAAGTTGAATAAATAAGATTTCCTCAGAATACACGTGTCTGTGATAGAATTTGAAGCTACCTTCTTGATCACCAACTGAGCAAATAGCCAAATTTGTGTCTTATTTTCTGCAGGGTTTGTGGATGAATATGCCAGGGCGTAAAAGAGTGATTAATGCTCAGGGATGAGCATATTATGCAAGAAGAAACACATCCACAGAGCATCCAGAAAGCTCTTTTAGACAAGAGGACCACATGGTCACACCAGGCTAGCACTGAGAAAAGGCAATGTGTAAGTGAGCATTCTCTCAGTATACACACCTCCAGCTTGAGCATTCTGCCGTCCAGCACACTCTTGTCAGGCGTGGGGAGGCAATATGAATCCAGCATGTGGATGGCGTCTGTCATCCAGTCCTGCAGTTCTTTAACACCCATCGAGAACTGGCTGTGCTCAGCAACGATTCTGTCCAGCCTGGACACTTTCTCCTGGAAACGACAGAGATGGGTTTTCTAGCTGTCAGCTCTACAGAGTGTTCACAGCCTCTAGTCACTCATGTTGGAAACCAACACTTCATCAGAAACTATCAGTCATCCCAGAGGCTTCCCTCATTGCATGAGGTCTGTGACACACCTTGCTAAGTAGGGGAAAAGCTGTAGCATAACCAGGTCAAAAGACATGACAATTGCAATTCCCTGCCCTGAACATTCATAGTAATGAGAATCATGACTTATTTTTTATTCAGTAGAATTTCTTCCTAATGTCTGTTGGCATTCAATTCATCGTCATCTTTAGCATTCACATATTATATTTGGTTCAATTGATACCACATATTCTTACAGACCTACACTGTAGTCAGTCTTTAAAAATTACCAATCTGTTATTTTGTAATAGTTGTAAATTACATGCTTATAATACATGTATATTTAGCTGAAACAAATTTTGTATAAGTGTGGAAGAGAGTATGAGGCCTCGGTATACATGTAGAGGACATAATGTATACACCTGCATTTTAAATGACAAGAAAATCTATGTGGTTGTCCTTATTTGTTTCACTTCAGGTCATATCCATCATGGTGGATGGAGACTTTACATAGCATTCAAGCTTTTGAAGCATTCAAATATCTCTGGCTCTTTAATATCTAAACAAATGCAAATGATTTTGTTTTCTTTTGTTTTGTATTTTTATTTTTTATTTTTTCAAGACAGGCTTATGCAGCCCAGCCTGGCCTTGAACTTGCACCAATCCCCCTGCTGTTGCCCCTTGAGTACTGGGATTCCAGATGTGCATAAAAACACCAGTTGCAAAAAAATTGTTCTTAATTCATTCTAACATCAGGTATGTGTCAGATTTTCTAAAATTAGATAAAAGCCTTTTCCTCAAATATCCATGGGTACAAATGGAGACGGTTCACACCGAGATACTGTGAAAACCCAGATTAGCAGATTAGAAGTAACTTCACTGTAAAATGGGCAAGGCCACATCAAAGATTAAGTTATCATGGAATCCCTAAATGCTAACACCTGGGAATTTTAAAACAGAAAGCACACATCATAGCTTATGCAAGCTTGAAAAGGACATCCAATCACAGGGTCTGCATCACTAGCGGGGTTCACTCAGTGCAGTGCACCCACTACTGTATTCCAAGGACCTTGAAAGATGTATTCATTAGATTAGTCCTTGCCAATTCCAAACTCCACTTTAGACTGTTGTTAATGGAAACTATCAATTAACGCATCGTCATCTACTACATAATTAATATACAGAAGCTAGATGACATTTTAAAAATTACCCTAGTCTTAATTCTATGGACCCCAGAACATTTTAAACTGCTTTTGGGCTCATGGTTTTCTAGTATAATTTAACCTGACAGTCTTCTGGAACTCTGAATTTTGTCTTTTGTTATGTACCAAGCCTTGGGAATCAAGTGCCATGGAACACATAGTTTTATTAGTAATGGAGACTGGCAATGTTGTCTGTCTCTGCAACATCCCTCGCTGACTTCAGAGAGCCACAATAAGAACTATGGTAGAGGTGGCAAGTCCAGTTTCAAGATGAGGGCAGTCATGGTCACATGCCATAAGATTGACCTGGAGACATCACTATGTGGGAGTGTCAGGATGGACCCTGCATGACCTATCGGCATTCCAGTTTTGCAACATCAGTATCACACTCACACACAGCACATGCCAGGCGTTACCTTGGTTACATTGCTTAGCGCTAGATACTGAGAAGACAGCTGCGACACTCTGTGCACAAAGCTCTTGCTGGCAGCTTGTCCTTCCCACAGCTGCCGAGCTTTCTCTTTCAGCCTGTGGAGCTGAGGCTCGTAGCACTGTATCTCCTCAAGGACAGACTGGAAAGCACAAGCGAGTTAACGTTCAGAGGCTGGGGCAAGCACATGGAAGACAAAGCCTGGGCCCAGAGAACATGGGAATAAACATTGACAAGCAACAGAAGTCCCCTGAAGACTGCATTATCTTCAAGCTACACACAGTGGAATGCTACAGGAAGAAAACAAACCATGTCTCAGAGGAGAGATGGAAAACATTAATTCTGTCAGAACAAGGAGAAGGCACACAGCATTTCAAGGTGGTGTCAGATAAAATCAGGGCACCCAGCATGCATCTGGCCACAGAGTGGACAGAGGAGGGAGTGAAGTTGGCCGGATCCCATCACCTGGAGTTTCTGCTGTTCTCTCCTCTTGGCAGGCAGGTCATAGAGGCGATTGCTGCTCTCCTGTACCAACCTTTCGGTTTTACTCAGCCAGTTCTGCACAGGTTCTGCGCTCACTTCAAAGTCTTTCATCTGGATCTTTAGATTCTGCAAGGGTTTAGATAATAGCAGGAATGAATGAGCAAAGGCAAACCCCAAGGGGCTGACAGCCTGTGTCAAAAGTCAGGGATGTGCATTTAATTTGTAGAACCAATGTGAAACAAACAAACAAAGCTAGCATGTGGGCATGGTTTGTGATCCCAGAAGTGAGAAGGACAATACAGAAGATTCCCTGGAGACTAGCAGAATCTAAGCTGTCTAGACTCAGAAAGAGACCCTATCTTAACAAACAAGGCTGAGTTTGATTGAAGAAGATACTTGGTGTCAATCTGTGGCCTTCACACACACACATGCACACACACACACACACACACACACACACACATGCACACACGCACACACACAGGGACAGGGACACACAGAGAGACAGAGAGAAAAAGACATAGAAAGAGAGACATCAATATAGGGAGAAAGGGGGAAGAGGGAGAGGAGAAGAGGGAGAACGAGAGAGAGAGATCTAAAGTCCTTCACTTGGCTTACTTATTCAGTGCTCACCCTCTGTGGCCCAAAGGCCTCCCTTCTTGGGTTTACCTTGTCTCACTGTCTAGAACATTTCATCTTCCACCCTAGCACCTATATGACTTTGAAACATCCTTTAAGAATGTTTACGCCTTTCTTTTCCAGACACAATCATTCTCTTCAATTCTCTAGCCCACCTAAGAGATCATAGCTCTTTTCAGTTTCTATACATTTGCTCTTTAAACCACAGACTTTATTTATCATGGGCAGGGTTGGGCTATGCATTTCTATGCAATGCAGCTATGCATATACCCAGAGGTGTAGGGGAAGCTGTAGCCACGCCTTCTTAGGAGTACAGGAGTACTTAGGCTACAGGAGTACCTGAGGGCTTGTGAGGGCGTGGTCAGAGTGAGTAGGGGTTTCTGCTTTTGAGGTTTCGGTTTCTCTTTGCTTCTTGCTGTACAGACTACCACCGGCTGGCTGGTTCGCTCTGTAAGTAAGGCTTTTCCCTATTAAATACCCTTATATTTCTACCTGATTCCGTATTGGTAATTTCCTACTATACAGAGGCTATACCTTCCACAGTGGAAGGGCCCATGTCTCATGCTTACTGGAATATACCATGTTTCTTTATGGAATAATCCAACATTGGTAAGGACTGGTTAATGATAGGCCAAGAAACACTATATATAAGTACACACCTATATAATTCATGTGTTTATTATGCTTTCTCTCTGTGTGAATATTTGTGTGAGTGTGGACAGGTAGGTGAGGGCATACATGTTCATGAATGTGCTCCTATGAGGTCAACATCTTGGGAACCTTTTTCATGATTGATTTCCACCTTAATTTTTATTACAATTTTCTAAAGATTTCTTTTACTTTTAGCTGTGCATATATGTGTGTGTCTGTGGGTGAGCACGTGCATGTGAGTGTAGGCATTTGTGGAGACAAGAGAGAGTTAGTTGCCCTATAGCTGGAGTTATAGGTGGTTGTAAGCTGCCTGATGTGGGAGGTGGGAACTGAACTCAGGTCCTTTGCAAGAGCAGTGTGTGCTCTTAACCACTGAGCTATTTTTCCGACCTTTCCACCTTATTTGCTTTGAGGTAGGGTCTCTCATTGAACTTGGAGCTTACTAGTTTGGCTAGACTGGTCAACTAGTGAGGCCTGAGGATCTTTTTGTTCCCACTGCCTCAGTTCTAGGCTTTTACAGGGGTGATGGGAATTAAATTTAGAAAGCACATTGCCAACCAAGTCATCTCCCCAACTTCTTGTTCATGTTTCTCTAAATACATTCATTCTATCCATTAGGATATGGTGAGAACTGTGTGCTGATCACATAAAGATAGTATGAATATTAATACTTCATAGACTCTATAGATAACACATTAAAAGCATGCTGCTAATGTGTTACACATTTCAGTGTGGCAAAGGAATCTACCATTTTATGAAGTGCTAGATTCATATGAATTTGAATTTGTTATTAAACTTGTAATGTGGACCAACAAAAGAAGAATTTAGGTAGTTTTAGTAAGACACCAGGTCCATGAAATGCTAGCTGAGAAAGTATGAAAAATGCAGAACCTATTAGACATTGCCTCAAAGCTCTTGCTGCATTTGGTCCAAGGTTATCAATAGTGTTGGCTTCTTGATCATGTTTTCCATAGGGAGATGAATTAGCTACAGGAATGCATCGGAGAGCTTAAAATACTCCAGAGAGGTTAAGATTGGAGAGTTTAAAATACACCACAGAGGTTAAGATAAGCAAGCATGACTCCTGATAAGTCTATGGTTCATTGGAGCAGAGGGCGTGTCCTGTTTTATCCTCTGTTACCTCCCCAGAGTCTAGACTAATCCTTGCATTTGTAAATTTAAGGCATTTTCATCTTTCTGTTGTTGCTGTTTTCATGGAGCAGCTAAACATGGCAAACTAGCTGACCACGACCCAAACCCATGGGTTTCCAAGTACCTCGGGGAGCACAGCAGAAAGCTGGGTGCTTCTTCAGTGCACAGTAACCGTGTGCTACGTTCTCAAACCTTGTGTTAATGTAACTGTATTTATGAGTTTGTGGGGGCACAGTGCTGGGTTTGACTCCTCTTCATCACTTACCTGCTGTGTGAATTTGGCAGACTTTCGGCAGTCCTGTGCCTTTGTCTGCCTGCCCTGCTTTCCTTTCCTCCATTCCTTCTCTATCTACCTTCTTCCCCCACTTTCTTCTTTCTTTAAATTATTTATTTATTCACTTATTTACTGACAGGGTCTCTCTATATAATCCAGGATGGCCTTGAGTTTGCTGCGTGGCCCAGGCTAGCTTCAAACTCCTAACCATCCTGCTTCCATGTCTTTCTGTACCACCATGCATGGTTCCTTTACTTCTTCATCTGAGTGACACAGATCTATAATGGCTTTGAGAATTAAATGCACTGGTGGATATAATCCCCCACAAGTGCCAGGCACAAATTAACATTGACTATCAATGTTTTTTTCAGTTCTGTGCCTTTCCTGACCCTCGTGCTGCTGTTAACCACAGCATTCCTGATCATTAGCCCCAGGCCACTTTCCAGGCACACAACACCGAGTCTGGATCAGCCTGATTAAATCATTTCATTCCCCAAGAATATACTTCAGCTAATAGCCTCCTTATTCACACCTTCTTACAGATGAGAAACTGAAGACTCAAACTTCAGCTTGGCACTACCCCATACAGCTAACTGCCAAATCCTGCTTGTTCGGTTTTAGAGATGAATCATCCCCACTATTACTCTTTCTTCCACTTAGACCCTCCCTTTCAACTGCACTGCTATAATGAGTTTCCTTTGTCTTTCTGGCTATGTAGGATTCCCCACTCTTGCTTTCACTATGGTCAGAAAGTTGACATGTTTATCTCCAGCTTTAAGGTCTGCAAATTCCTCACTCAGTCTATCTCAAGAAATCTTGAGGAAAAAAATGAGTCCTAGCACCCTAAGTATCTGTTGTATATAACAAGTTCTGCCCTCTGTGTCTGGAATGGTACATGATAGGATCCATCCTAGGGAAAACTGTGTCTTGGGTTCCTATGAGGGAAACTGGTTGATATTCAAGCTCAGACCACACAACACACAGACATTTTACTATGTGGTCCTAACCTATATCTCCATTTACCTCTATTGTTTCTCTGTCTAAACTTCATGTCTACACCACATTTTTCAACATCTTCCACTTCTCAACATCATTCACAATTTCCTGGACCCATGCACTCAGCTCCGTCTGTGAGAAACGTCTGCCAGTCTTGGGAAATTTGAAGGACTCGTGGCCTTCAAGGTATAGTTTAAATGTCATGTCTCTGGATACTGTCTTTGACTTTTCAAAATAGAGTCAGTAGCATCATGAGTCTCCATGTCTCCATGCCTTACCCCAAATATTCCTGCCTTAGAGTCACCTTCTTCATGGGAATTACCTTCTAGAAAATGAAGTTCCAGAGACAAAGCAAAGACTTTCCCCTCCTCTACTTCCCCCATGTTTTCCCATTCCCAAAATGTACACTACATGTCTATTCCTATTAGGAAAAGAGGAGGGTGGGTGGGATTGGGTCAAATAGAAGAGTTACACCTGCTATGCAGGAAAGGCAGATTAACAAAACTGGAAATGCCCAGCCTCCCCTGTTCTTGGGGGATATTTGAATAAGATGATCTTGGCATGAGAGCCAGTTTCACGGTATAGCTCTTGCTTTGGAAGCCACATTGAGCTAATGATTTTTACAGAGTCACAGGTAGTTTCCAGGCACTGCATGGTTGCCACTGTGTCCAGTGGATGATGCTTGCCATGAACAATGGCTGATTACAAAGGAGAACTCAAAGCTCTTAGCTTAAGGAAGAACTGAGAGAGTGTCTTTCCTCGTTTTGATGGTAATTCCCTATTACAATCTCCTTCCCATCTTGTATCCATTGTGCCCATCACTAAATAAGGATCTATCCTGGCAGAAAATGTTTTCAAAGACACCTTCCATACATCTGAGAGATGAGTTGATACAAAGAATAAATGATCTCAGAAGAAAAGAAAGTCTGCATCATGGAAGAAATTATGATACCAGATTAGTAAGTTGGCTTTGTAGGAAATGAAATCACATGAATGTTGTCTTCCCTCATCCTCAACAGCCCAAACCTGATGCTAGTGTGAGCTGCATGAACTCTGAGTCAATATTTTGTAGCCTTGTAGGACTTTCCCTGTTCGTTCTCCTGCAACAATTGCCCAAACTGCAGCATTTCAAATGAAAGATTAAATGTGATGCTCAGATGAGCAGGGGGACGCATGGATGAGTCTGTGACAATAGCCCTTGTTCAGAAGGTATCTAATCCTTCAGGGCTACTCACACTTCAGCACTGAGCCCATCTTCGTTTGGCTGCTTGTTCTTATGCAAAATGGGATGACCAGAACGTTTGGAAATCCTGTGGTACATGGGAACCATTTTACCTGTCACCACAACCAAACATCACACAGAGCATGCTTGAGGGGTGGAGGTGGGGGGTGGGGCTATGGTGTACCTCTAAGGCAGATTCCTTCTGGTGGAGATTTGCATGAAAGCTTTTCCAATCTTCTTTTGCAGCAACAACTTTGGCCTGAATACCTTCTGCTTTCTCTTTGGTGAGGAGGGAGCTCAGTAGCTCCCCTTTGGACAGCATCATGTTTAGCTTATGCTGCCCATTTTCACTTTCTGACATAAACTCCTATAAGAAAAATAGAAAATTTGGTACCTTAAGACATGCCATGCTTTAACATTCCTTGCTTTTCCCCTGTGTGTCTCAGTGAAATCAAGGAAAACAAACGACTATTTTATTGCCTAAGTTAAGTGACCCAGGTTTTCCTTCAGCAATCCAGTTGTGAAATATTTTGTTTCCTAATATAAATTCTCAATTGACTGCAAAACATTGGGACGTATTTTTATGAACTGTTATCAACTTGTTAAAAAATAAACAGGAGAAGTAATGAGGACCAAGAGAAATAACTGGTATAAAATAATCTCTGGCTAAGTTTAGTTTAGAAAAATAAATGCTACATGCATAATTGGTAGAGCTGCATGATATCTTTGGCTCTGAGAATCCTAGCTGCTGAAGTGAGAATAGACACAAGCAGGTACATGACTTATAGTGCCTGTATGATAAAATCAAATTACTTCAACAGAACAACTATCCCTATTAGAAGACCACAGGAAAGCTTCCAATGGCGGGGACAGGGTAGATTCCACAAAGTATATGCTGTCAAATGAAGTAGCGGACATTGTTGTTAATACTTTATAAAATATAGTTAAGGACATTTTATAGGGTTGTTCTTATGAAACACAAGTTCATGACATAACAGCAACATGAGGTGTGGCCACTCTTTGTAGCTTTCTCAACATCTGGGTTTTTCCAGAGGTTAGTTTGCCTCTTATACTCTACATGTTAGAGTCGATGCCTGTTATTATTCGCAAACATTAGAGAAAGAAACAAAACGAATAAGCAGCTAAAAGTTATTTTTTTTTACTGCTAAGAAACATAAGCATAGAGATTCTATGCTTTGGACTTTGATTAGTTTTCAGGGGTGACTTATGTGTTGAAATCTTGGTCTGTAGTGTGGTGTTCTTAAAAGGAGGGACCTGATGGGAGGTCCTGATGCAGTTAGAGCCAAGATCTAGAGATACCAAAAATAAATAAATGTATTTATTTACTTATTTATTGTGCTTGCATGTGTATTGTGTTGTGGCAAGTGTGTGGAGGTCAAAGGACAACTTCCAGGAACTGGTTCTCTTTTTCCTCCATGTGGGGTTCCAGGGTTGGAACTCAAATCTTTGGTGATCTGAAGAAAATTCTAAGAAAACAAACTGGCCACTTCTAGCATCAGCTGCTTCCTGTCTGATGTGGCCCTGTCCTCCTGCTGGCAGTTCCATATGCCATGGTAGAATCATAGCATCAGAGACAAACTGATATCAGAATCTTTCCTTCAGCCTTTAGGATGGAAACAAGTAAATCAACTTGTTTACTTTGTAAAGTAGGCTACATAGTCATGCAGAATGGACGAGCACAGGGCTGCATCAAGACATCTCTTTTGACAGATGGCTCCTTCACACAAGCAACTAGGCTAAGAGTCAGACAAAATGCTGTTGTCAAAAACAGAACTGGGTTTCATAACCACAAATAAACTGGTGGTTGAATGTTTCCACCTCTACTCCCGGGCCTGGAGTGAAGTCGGAGGAATTTGAAATGCAGCACATTCCCAAACAAAATCTATCTTGTTACATCATGAACCAAGGTTCAAAAGAGTGAACTAGGTAGATAGAGACACCCTCATCTCAGAGCCTGTGTCCAATAGACAAAGTTCTCGGATGAACCTTTCCTTATTCATAGTTGACTGTATTCATATGTTTTCCTGCAAGAAATTCAAATTCCCCAAGCACTGGCCCAAGATTGCTAGTATAAAAAACAACCAGCTATAGGTGACACATCTATGAAAAACAAATTCACTACAGTGTCTAAAAATGTTGAGGGTCAAGGTGGCTGCTGAAATGGCACTGCAGAGCTGTAGTTAGGTAAGGGAAATACTAAAATAAAAGCAAGCAAACAAGCAAACACCACATGTGGGTGCAGCTCTGGCTGCCTCAGACACAGCCTTCTGACCTCATTGAGACACCTTTATCCCATGGGCATGCTGAGAGCAATAATATTATACACTTGTCATTGGGATGAAAATTAAATGAAAAATAGCCCCAGAGTGCTCAGGTGCAGAGTTAGTACACACAAGGAACTCATTATTTTCCAGGCCTTTATTAAAACATAAAATAACATAAAGTTATGTCTTCCTTTCAGTTGTTTCAAGGGTGGGTCTATCTGAAGTTTAAATTTCTTCAGCTGAACTTTAATCTGCAAGGCACGTAGATGAAAACCCGGAGTCACGTATTAGTCTAACTCAGCATTACTGTGGGCGCTGTCAGCAGAGTGCTTACCTGGATTTTCTGAAGACTTGCAGAGACTTCACTGAGATTCTGAGGTAGATCAAAACACTTGGCTGTGGTGATTTTTGCATTAACCAACCACTGCTGGAAGCCCCTGAAGGCCTTCTGAAATCTTTGTTGCAAAATTTGTTCTTTATTCTGGCAGCCCTTGGATGCTTGCAAACAGAGACTGAAAGGGTAATTTGCAAGTTTGATGATGGAAGAAAAGTGAAGACACTGAGTCAAGTGATGCCTAGTAGAGTCCACTGTTCTTAGAAATGTGCATTTACCTACTTAGGTACTATATTTCATTTTAATTGATATCACTGAAATCATACTATAAAAAACGTTCTAGTCCCTTTAATTCTTTTGTACTGGGTCTCACTTTGTCACTATGTTCTCCATCTATGAGCTTAGGTAGCCCTCCACACAAGCCTCCTCAGAAGCTAGAATCACAGATGACCACTCCATGCTCAATCTAGCTCCTTCTTTGCATAAAAATATTTTGAAGCCAGGTTATTTATTTATTTGTTTGTTTGTTTATCCTCCCTGGAATCCTACCCACAACTGAGACTGAAGCAGGGGCATCTTCCTATATACTGAGAGTCTGTCTCAGAGGAAATACAAATGAAATTACTGTGAACAGTTGGACGGGTTCATGCTCACCAATTATATTCTTTAATTAAACCTGAGACTTTTCCACTGTATGGACTCAGATCCCTGGAAAACCTGCAGAGTTCATTCAACTGAGACTTGAGCTCCTCCGTCATAGGCTCTGCCTTTTGTAGAGCATCCAGGATCTCCTAATAGAAAAAAAAAAAAAAAAAAAAAAAAAAAAAAAAAAAAAAAAGACAAGCACTGAACTGGGTGACTTCCATGTCTTCACACTCTACATTGCATACATAGTGAGTTATTAGTGAGGGACAAACCAATGCAGTGAACTCAGTAATGAAACGAGGTCTACTTTCAGGATTTTTTTTTTTTTTTTAGCCTTTGATGGTATGTGGGTCATCTGTATCTACTTCGAGTTATGGAGAGACACTCATGTATCAAGTATAAAGTAGTTAAATGATTGAATCGTCAATGACTTAACGTAAGAACAAAGAGAAAATACCCTACATTGTTTAGTAGTTGGTCCAACTAGACTGTTTGGATAGTGTCTATCATTTAAGATATTGAATGATTAATGAAAAGCAACATGTATTTTGTACTTTCAATATGTGCCCCAATTGATTTTATGTAATATTTCTAGTGAACACTGATGTTAACAACTTTTTATAACCCACAGGTCTTATTTACCTTCAGGTTCACATACCTCATGACTTCTTTCATGTAGTCATCAAATCTTCACTAATGTCCAGTATGACATTCGAGGACACCCCACTACCCCATGAATAAAGGTATCATTATTCTTCTTGAAGTGCTCATAACTTAACTGATGAGCAATACACAGATAATCACGGTACTAGTGATTAATCCAAAATGAAACCCTATCATTTAAGAGCATAATTTTGAAATCAAAGCCATGGTCAACTGGGCTTTGCAATTAGAACATCCCTCTTATATGATTAATGCCAAGGGACAAAAGAGATCGTGAGTGGCCAAGTCCTTTGCACAATGCCTGCCACACTGTTCAATGCTTACTTTGTAAAATTAGAAGGGGAATAATAGCCAAATATATAATGGAACTGTATCAATAGTGTCACCAGAACAAAATGATTTTTATAAAAATGCATACACACAAGCACACATGTACACACATGCACATACACAGGTGTGCAAACACATATATGCATGATTGTACACATATTCATACACTCATTCTCTCTCTCTCTTACACACACACACACACACACACACACACACACAGAGAGAGAGAGAGAGAGAGAGAGAGAGAGAGAGAGAGAGAGAGAGAGAGAGAGTGTGTAGGCATGGGGGGGGTGGTGGAGGAAGGACGGATAGATAAAAGACTACTCAAGTAGCTATGACCGCTACTATTGCTGTTCTCAGTGGTATCTATGGAGAGATGGCCCACAGCCCTCATCAACATGCCAAGTCTCTGTTGTGTTTTCGTACTATAAATGACATCACGATCCTCTGGCTTCTGTCAATCAGAAGAGTTAGCATCATGCTGTGGTATGTAGTTATTCTCTCTGAACTAAAACTTCCCTTCCTGGAGGGAGGGGAAGCCTCAGAAGACACAGAAACCCCACTAAACAAGATTCAGGGAGGTTGTGAAATTTCCATGACTTGGGAAATGCTGAAAGTGACAGGAATCTCAAGTCCCATCCCTAAGGTACAAGCAGTGACTGAGTGTTGGGGGAGGGAGATGTTTTCCAATGGCGCTGCCTACAAGGGGAGCAGACACCAGCTTTCATGAGTTGTCCCCCATGCTACGGTGAGGTTTTCAATGGTACACCTGCTTCTGAGGTATCCATGCTTTTGTTAGGAGCCCTACAGTACTCACTGGGTCACCAAGCCACACTTTGGTTGAATTCTTTCATCAGTGTGTCATCTGTAATGTATTTGGAGTGAGTGAAATGTCTGCTCACGTGTCCCTAGGAAAAGTCATATGGCACGCTCATTTGTCCCCCTCTCACTGCATGCAGAGACACCCAAGCTTAATCTATCCCAAGTCATACCTCTCTCTTTTAACCACGTGCCTCCTTGCCTGCTCACGTTCTTTCTCCTGGTCCCCATTTACATACTGAAATTTCCTGGGATGGCACGGGGCTCTTAAGTGACTTCTATTCTCTACCCTCCTTTCCTGCATTTCTCCTTCTTTGGTGTTATTCCCCTATCTGATCCAGTTATAATTACCCCCCACCCCTTCTGCTCTACCACTGGTTCCTAAAGGGATTCTCTGTGGTCCTTCATCTTCCCAGGGATGCTTATCTGACGATGCTGTGCTGGCATATTTATGTCAATGAAACACAAGCTAGAATCATTTGGGAAGAGAACCTCAGTTGACACAGTATCCCCACAAGGATGGCCTGTGGGCAAGCCTGTAGTGCATTTCTTTCTAATTGATGATTGATGTGGGTCAGCCCAGCTCACTGGTGGAACATACCATTTCTGGGAAGGTGGTTCTGGGTGCTAGAAGGAAGCAGGCTCAGCAATGGATGAAGAGCAATCCAATAAAGTAGCACCCCTCCACAAGCTCCTGCCCTTACTTCCCTCAGTGATGGAGTGTAGCCTGAGAGTTGTAAACAGAAATAAAACCCTTCCACGCCCCAGTTGTTTTGGTCATTGTTTAACACAGCAATTGGAGCCCTAACTAGGACAGATGTACAGCATGTCTGGGGCATTTGTCATAAGGACTGTCTCTACTTGTTTCAGACTTCTGTGTCCACACAGATTATGATCTTGAAGGCAGGGGCGGGGTTCTTGGAATGCCCATGGAAAGCAGCTCAGTGTCGGAACAGAGAGAGGTTCTAAAACATGAATTGGCTTTTCTCTTTCCTTTCCCTTCCCTTTCATTTCCTTTTATTCTCTTCCTTTCCTTTCTTGTGCTAGGGATGGGAGCCAGGGTCTCACAGCAAGCCATGGAAGAATCCAGGGTCTCACAGCACGCCACAGAAGAAACATTTTTATTTAGGAAACTCACAAAAGCAACCATAGAGTTTCCCTCTGAAATTCTAAACACTAACCCAGAAATGGTCGTTTTTTTCCCTTACCATTCTGAATATTTTAAAAGGAAATATCATGAGAACTACAGAAAATGTAATTATCTACCAAAATATTAAAAATGAGATTTAAGTAGGCCAATTATAAATGAGGTGACATTAAAAATGAAAATCTTTTCAGACAAACCTTACATTAAAAAAAATACATTCATGGGACTGCAAGAGATGGTTCAGTGGTTAAGAGAGATTTTGAGTATCTCATGGGGTCTGAGTTGGGTTCCCAACACCCTCATTGAGGGACTCATAACTACTGATAATTCCAGCTGTAAGTGATCTGACACCCTCTTCTGTATTCCATGGGTACCTGTACATATATGTGCATACATTCATGCATACACACATACACATAAATAAAAATTAAATCTTCAATGGCTTCCTCTTAAGTCCAGATTTTAGTAGAGCCCAAATCTCATGAATACTACATTGGCTGGTATGCTTTTGGTCCCATCAATCTCTGAAGACATTCTTTTCTTTGTCCTGCTTAAAGGAATAGCTACATTTCCAAACTAACAACCTGTTGGTTTTAAGGGGAATTTTATAAATACAATCTACAGGAGGTGTGCAGTGTTGGATTATAAAGTTAATAGACCACAAACCTTAAAGGGATATCCTGATGACATAAGACAAACACTTAAATGGCCTATAGTGTTCACTATGATTGACAGCAGTCAGGAGACCTTCCTGAAAGCAAAATGTTGCTGGTGGAGTCCAACTCCATCTTTTTCATAAACATTTTGCCACATACTCATGGAGTTTGAAGTGCTATCTTAAATTTTAGATAAAATTGCATCATTAGACAATTGACTCTTGTCCTCTTTAGATGACTGTGGTAAGAGGCAATGTCCTATTCCCCCAGAATCTATAGCCCTAGTGTCAAACATAGATGTGACAGCAGGGACTACTTTCATCCTGGACTCAGCACAATTGAAAAATCCCTATTTCTGATTGCATCAGCACGTGTATCCTGATAGCCCTTGTCTATTATCCAATAACAGCCTCGACACAGGAGATGACTGTTGAGGAAAGGAAGGTGATTCTAGCTACAACCAGACATTTCTTTAAAATTCTATTCCCTCAAATTATTAGAATGGAAAGGGAAGCAAAAAAAGAGTTAAAACACTGTTTCATCATCACCATCATCATCATCATCATCATCATCATCATCATTATCATCATCATCAGACTCCACGAAACAGTCTCCAGCCTCTCCTTTTGTTCCTGCCCTGCGTAATATGATTCTGGCAAAGAACCTAAAGGCTGAGGGGGCATTAAGAAAACAACCAAAACAGCCAAAAAGCGTTCTCAGTAAAATAGTGCCCAGCTAGTTATGAACTTTTATTTCATAGTGTACCATGCCTGCCCCCAAAAGTTGACTTAAACAAGACGGGCGCTGGAAATACTCCCTGACTGCCTAATGGGCCAGAGCTATTTTGAAATGATTATAACATAAATAGAAGCAAGGCAGTTACCTCACTAAACTTCCTTTTAAGGACAGCCGTGATCCCGAGTATTATAAAGCAGCAAATATTGAGAGGATTGCCAAGGCACCCAAGAGGACTCGAAGAAGGCAGAGATTGTTAAACCTAAGTTCATTCTCCGCTTTCTGCTCCCCTGTCTCGCATTCTAAAAGAGGTAGTAGCTAAAAAATAAATAAATAAAAATAGCCTGGAAGGCAACTATAAGTGTTAATGTGTATTAACAAGCCAATTCAAGTTCAGCTGTCAAAACCAGGGAAGAGGAAAAACAGACAGTGAAAACTATTAGTTGTGCTTCAGTGAATTTTCAAATGTGTCTTTCTAAGCTATAAATTTAATCGCCTAATTGTTTGAAAGAGTTAACTGGCAAGAAAGCAGCTATGACTCTCTGTCTATTTATGCCTCTGCCCACAGGCCATTTTCCAGGCTGAGTGACTGAATACAGTATTGCAAACTCTTACACCATCAGAAAGAAAGTAAAGAATCTCCACCAGAAATAATGTTGTATACAGGATATAACAGCACCTCCCATGTATGTTAACTTTTACCAAAGTTTGATTTCTAGGAGAAGGAAAAAAGTTCATACATTGCAAATATATTAAATACTTTTTTCTGCCTCTGAATGCTGCATTCTCTTAGTTAGGACAGGGACTCATTTTTTTTCTTTTTTCTTATTTTTTTAAAAAGCAACCGCAAGAACCAAGGAAATGTTTAGCTTATCCACCCCCGTAGTAAACAGGAAGGCAACGACCAACTTACTTGTTCTTTGTGCCAGCATTCCACTATCTCCTCATCAGTGTTCTTGCCTTCCAGGAGGGCAAGCTGCTGGGCCCAGGTTTTCAAAAGAGTACTGAACTGTTCTAGGGCTTGCTCAAGTTGGGCTACCTGGCCAGAGAATTCCTGTTCTGAGAGGGCCATTTCGCTGACCAGGTTCTCCAGGCTGCTCTGTGCTTGAAACAGGCTATCTTCCCACTGCCTCCAGTCGGCGCGCAGGGCCTGCATCTCTGAGTTCAGAAGCTCACACCCACTGGCAGCTGTGTTCTGTTTCACTGCCGGGGCCAGCGACTCCACTCTGCTTAGGCGGCCTGCACCGATCTCTCTGGAATCTATCAGCTCCTGTAATGGAATATCGTCATGGAAACCAAGAAGGCCGTTAGTCACTTGGGCTGCCAGTTTTTGAATGTGTGCAGAATGGGACTCTGTCCTGCTATGAAGTTTGGGCAAATGTGCAAAAGGGATGAGAGTTGTTGAATCTACAATCGCCCATGTTCTATTAGCAGCAATCAGTATCATGAGTGCCCAACTTATTGCAAAATCACTCAGGATGTTTCAGTGTTCTCACAGGTCGGACTGCCTAAATAATAGGCAGTATTTAGATACATGGAAGTGTGGTAGGGATATAGATTTTCATTTGTGGTGGTCAGCTCCTATAGACTAAAAAGAATCCCAGAAAGCCTTATGTCCCTTGACGTGAATGAACAAGGGAATTGCATCCTGTTTGAGGTCTCTAACTTATTCCCATCATTTTCCATAGAAGGGTTGCTTAAATCGTATTTCTTCCTGCTGGGAGTCAGGCTGACCTACAGCAAGAAGAGAATGAGCCCACCTCAATTTCAGATATTTCTGTACCTAAAGAGATATTTTTATGGTCACTGAAATTAATAATTCACAGACCAACTTAATTAAAAGTTTTAAGCAAACTCCAGTCTGGGTTTGTTTATTATGATCATTTTTCCCCCAGAAAAAGAAACCTCACTAGAAATTTGACAATTCAGATACCATGCTTAGTCTTGAAGTTCATACAGAGAATGGGCTTTAGGATGTAATTAGAATACTCATTGTGAAGTAGGTAAGTCGTGGCATTTCCTCTTGCAAACAAATTCTTCTGATGACATTTCTCTTGCTGAAGTGTCATCTGGTGCATACATATGTGTAACATGTAATGCTATAGTTAGATTTTGTCAGTGTTAATGCAAAATTATGTCTTCACTCCTGGGTTAAGTAGCACCAAAGGTGATTATTAGAGACAAAAACAAGAAGAGGAGGAGAAATAATGAACAAGACCAATTACAAGTTAGCAACAGAAAACCAAGGCATTGAGTATCATACATGTGTCATAGATGTGTGAAGCAGAAAGGGTATTTAACTAGTCTACATAATATACCTTGCATTTCATTTCATTAGCCTGAAGTTAATCTGTCTTCTCACATGTACAAACAATAGAGGCACACTTTGGTGTGGATCATTTACAATGTCTGGTTATATGGTGATCAAAAGCACAATCACACATGTGTAAATGTGTTCTTACACACAGCACTTTGTGTGTGTGTGTGTGTGTGTGTGTGTCTGTGTGTGTGTAGTCGGCCTTTCTTGGCCCCAGGATTCTAAAAGACATCTCAGTTTATAGTACATAGAGTGGTTAGTGGCTAAACAAAGAAAAACTATCACTTAGAAAGTGTTGTATTAAAACAAGAATGCTTTAGAACACAATATTCAACCTTTTGAGCATTTTCACATTTGGAATTCAAAGAGTCTCTATGTTCAAAAGTCAGTTTCCTCAAATACCCTCATATTCACTATCTCAGTTGCAGTGGGTGTGAAAATAGCCCACGCTTGCTAACCCTAATTTCATTCACATAGACGATCTTTGTGTGAGTGTATACATGTGCATGTGCTATGCACACTAGTATATGGGTGTGTGTGGCTTATGAGATCAGAATGGGGCATCAGGAGTCTTTCTCCATCTCTCTCTGCCTTACTTTCTTGAGATAGGATATCTTACTGAGCTAGAAGTTGCTCATTTTGGATAGGCTGACTGGCAACCACTTGTCTCCACTCGGCAGTGTTGTGGTTACAGGCACACAGCCATGCCTGGATATTTACATGAGTGCTAAGAATTCAAACCAAGTCCTCATGCTTAAGAGCAGGTGTTCTTACACATGGAGACAACTCCTCAGTCCCAATCCAGGTCTTCAACAAGAACATTATAATTGCAGCGCTTTAAATTAGATTTTGCATAAAATTTCTTGCCTTGATTACACACACACACACACACACACACACACACACACACACACACACACACGGAGACATTGTGCTTCTGAGTGGTTGCTTCTGTGGGTTGGGGGTGGTCACAGCATGGAAGGGCAGGAGGGTACTTTCTTTACCTCCTTATAGGTTTTTCAAATTAGCTTTTCAAAAAATTGATCCATCTTTGCTGTCTTCTCTTCCTTACCTGCCATTCCTTCCTAAACCCATGCAACCTGCTTGGCTCATCACTTCCCCCTGCTGTAGAAACAGCTGTCAGGCTTGCCAAAGAGCTCAGCTGTCAAGCCCAGAAAGTGATCTTCAGCCTCTATGGTAGTGACCATGAATTTCTTCTTCCCTTGTCCTCTGTCTTTCAAAACTCATTTAAATCTTAGGTACACCTGGGCTTTGGATTTGTGTCCCTATTCTATTTGCTGGATCTGCCATTGATCCTTCCTGCCCTGGGATGTCAACTAGACTGTGTGGTATTAATTGATGACATCATCTCTTCAAAGGAGCTTCCTAACCTGAAAGAAGGATGAGGATTCACCAAGTCCTGGATTTTACACCCACCTGGTGGTGCAAGTTTCATCTGTTCATCATTGAACATCCATCTCCCCCTCACAACAGCCTCCACACACACCCATTTTCCTTAGATAAGGTCTCCATTAACTTAGGGTAAAGGCTTAACTTTTACCCCTGACTATTTTACTTATTTATTTGTATGTTTGATTATTTATTTTTATTCATTTGTTTAATTTCTTTTGACACAGGGTCTTACTACATATCCCTTACTGGTCCATAACTTGCTGTGTAGACCAGGGTGGTATTGAACCTGTGAGAGTCCTCTTGCCTCTCCTATTAAGTGTGCACCTGATAAGTGTATTCCACCATACCTGGCTCACTCTCGACTCTTTCATCTTGGCATTCCATTTCGGGTCAATCCCTCCCTTTCCCAAACCCATTGGGCATGGTACTAAGTATTTTTTTTAATCTTTTTAAAAATTTTTTTTACTTGCCTTCTGGTGCTAAGTATTTTATATGAGTGATGTAACTTAGTCCTCCAAACAGCCTTTTAGAGCTGAATCAGAAAACTACAGTTTATAATAAGTAATAAATAATAATAATAATTTCTAATGAGACTTGAGGACATTGACAAAAGTAATTTTTCCAAAACCATATAGAAAGTCGGGATATGAAAGATTCGGCAGAAGGCCCTCTGGCTTCAGAGGTGAACATTTAAAAAACTTCTTAAGCTCTGGTTACACAGGTTTTGTCAGGCCAACAGGGTGGCATGTATTTCTTAGTCTCTCACACTACAGCAGTAAATACATTTGCATATAGAAACACATCCAGACAAGGCCAAATTTTGCTCATAAGAGGAACAAAATCCCTTCCGATTATTTTCTTAAATCTTGTTTATGTTTAGAGTTGCTGATGTATGGAGCAATAACCAGCCAACCAAACTCAGGAAGAAAACATTTGAAAAAACAGAATTTTATCCACCAAGCCCTTATCACGAATCTGCAGCTGTACTGAAGAACCTGTGGATCGATTGGAATAATACCAACCTGTTTGCTCACCTTAATTTTCAATAGTTTTTTCTGAGTGGCTGACGAATCTCCAGATGTGTCTGACCACCGGTGGAGCTCCTCCTTTGCTGAGTGGAGCCAATCTGTGAATTCCTGGACTGCATCTAAGTACATGAGATGGTCTTTCACGATCTCCTCTACTTTTCTCATCTTCTCCTAGTTAAAAAGGAAAAGCACACGCACAGCTGTAGTTACTGCAAGCATGAAATCTAGAGAAATGACAGACTCGATAGAGGTCTCAATGTCTCTCAGAATACCTTGAATTTATTCTTGGATTCTCTGTGATTTTAATATCATAAAAAGAAACCATTACACAAGAGGCAGAGGCAGAGGCAGAGGCAGAGGCAGAGGCAGAGGCAGAGGCAGAGGCAGAGGCAGAGGCAGAGGGATCTCTGTGAGTATGAGGCCACCTTGATCTACGTATGGAGCTCCAGGGCCAACCATGAATACATAGTGAGATTTTGTGAGAAAGAGAGAGAGAGAAAGAAAAGAAAGACAGAAAGATAGGAAAAGAATAAAGAAACTGTGGATTTAACACTTTGAGAAAGCAACCATTTCCCTGTAAGTCTAGCATTTTGTAATTTGTGGCTCAGCATAAAGATCTATGCTAATAGGTATCACAAACTAATTAATCATAATTATTATAGTAACTACTGCTATTTTTATTGTTCCTTAAAATAGCATTTTCCACTGCTTAAACCCTATTATCATCACACGTGACATCAGGGGATGCATAAGTGTAGGGAGAGGCTAGTAACACACACAAGGTACTTATTCAGAGAGAGGCAAGGTTTAGAATTCAAACTTACATCTTTCTGACTCAAAGATAAAAATAAGGATAAACAAACATTTATTTATGTTGATAACAACAGTAGTATCCATAACTCAGAGTGCCCAAAAAGCAAGCCAAAGTAAGGGAAGATCAACACAAATCCCCATGCCTTAATTTCTATAACATCCACAAGTATATGAAAGCATCATGGAGGAAACTATATATATTTATATTTTTTCAATTTTCTATAATTCATATATAATTACACACATACATACACACAAGCTTAGAGTTTAGAGAATAGGAAAATGCAGGGTTTATTAATGATTAAATAAACTCAGTTATTTTTACATAGTTGGAATCTGAGGAGTAAGAAAACTCGCATTTAAAATAACAGTGGTAAATGCAGGGGAAACACAAATCAACAGTTGATGCTCAATCTTGCAAGGAAAATGGATGTGTCTGCCAACAATGCATGCAGATAAGGACAAAAATAGAAAGTTATGAACATTCCCAGGGCTGCAGAGAGAGCAGTGCATGGGAGTAGTCGTGTGTATAGATCTTTTATTTATTTGTGAATTAATCTCTAGGCTAGCATACACAACAATGGGCTTCATCAGAGCACCTTCATCCATATGCATTATGTATTAATGCATATGCATTACGTGTTTCTTCCATTCCCCTTCCCCTTCCCAAAGCCCTTGCAAGTGCCCCCTCCCCTGTGTCCCCTTTCCTTTCCCAGGCAGCCACCCCTTCTGTGTTCCTGTTTGTGCTCTCTCTGTTTTCCACCTTTCTAATGATATTTATGGGATTCCTGCCCAACAAACTTACACATAGTTGTAGACTGGCCAGATCCAGTAATTCCATTCACATTAAGCTTCTTTACCTGTGCTTTGAAGCATTTGCATTGGTCTAAAGTGCTCACCTTGGCCACAGTCGTTATGTCCTGAAACTGTGTTCTCAGTTCTTCCTGGCCAGCTTCCTTGAAGGACTCATCCTGAGTCTTCTTGTACAGCTCCCTGGACCTTGCTGCTAGTTGCTGCAGTGCACTCACATGGTCCTCTGCCTCCGAGACGATGGACTGAAAGTGGTCCAGCAGGGAAAACTTCTCCTTCAGCCCTGACTGCAGCTGTAAAGGATGCTCTACTTTCTGATCCACCGATTCCATCCACTGCTCCAACTGGCTTTTCTTCTCTAGATAGTCATTCCATTGGTCGATCACAGACTCCAGCGTGCTAGGAGTGAGTGCCACACACTGTAAAACTGAGTTTCAACCTTGGTATCTCTACCAAAACACAGCTACAGGGCCAATGAATCTATTTAAAGTGCTCTGTGGAATATTGTAATGGTGAAATGTTTTTGAGTGCAGGGACAAACAACCTTTTTGATCTGCCACAACCAGGGTATAGTTGCTTTAAACAAAACTAACAAATGCTGGAATTTGAAGCAAGATGTTGCCACACAGACACACAAACACATACACAGACACACACACAGACATACACACAGACACACACACACACACACACACACACACACACACACACACACACACACACACTATCTTCCAAATGCTAATTGTCTCAAGTGAATGGATAATTCATGTATTACATGGTAGTTATGAAAATTAAATTAAATTAATTAAATTCTGTTTAAGTACATACAAATTATTAAATAATCTTGTGTTTAGTCTATATTACTAAACTCAGATGGCAATAGTTGTTCACTAACATTTAACTTTAAGGTATTTTTTCCTAGGTAAATATTATAGTTTAAGACTGTACACAGAATAATGGCCAATTCTTTTGTGTTATATTTCTGAATAAAAGAAGACTCGATGTATTTATGGGGACAATAGTCACAAATCTATCTTCCTAATAGAGAAATAAATTCTTTCCAGAATGACAGTAAGGGAAGGTTCCTATTATGAGCTTTACAACAATCTCCTCTCTCCCCTCCCTTCCTTTTCCTCTCTCTCCTCTCTCTCCTTCCCTCTCTCTTTTCTCATTCTCTTACTTTCATCTTCCCAGCCATCTCCCCACACCACCACTCAAACTCAAGACTAGTAGCTTGCTAGGAAGTGATCCACTGACCAACAAAGAGACTGCTCCATGATCATGCTGGGTGAATGCCCTGACCTCCTTTGCATAGTATTTGGTTCTTCTGGAGTCAGGATCACACAGGCAATGAGCTTCACTTGCTCAAACTGTTGCTTCTCTTTCAGCATGTTCGTCATCATACTGCTTCAGAATCTTACCCTTCTGGAGAGTCTCTGGAAGTCTAAATCAATATCACACTCCAGAAACCACCAGATCCACCCCCTCTGTCACAGCTGAGTGTCTTTTGAAAATTGTTGGTAGCACAATCTGAGTCAGTTTTCTGGAATGTACACTTCTCCCTAGTCTCTGGTCTCCTAGAACGCAAAATGGATTTTGCTTCGGCTCGTTGTTTGCCGAAATCACTTGGGCAAGAAAACCACCCAGTATGTAGCTGTTGGATTTAATTTCTTGCTGAACTACAAGGCAGAGCTCTGAACCTGTTTCTTGGATTTATCATTTTATTGTAATATTTGAAAAAATTCTCCCACATCTATATTCGGTTCTACAAAGTTGAAAGCTGGCCCATTGCCCACACTGGGAAGTTATTTGTGCTCTTGCAGCCTCCTATAGGATGGGAGAGCCCCACGGGACCTGACTTTTCTTTGCTGACCACTAGGAATTATGACAAAGATGAAATGTCCTGTTTGCCTGGAAAGCTACTTTCTCTAACTATGAAAACCAGGATGCAAAGGAAGAAAACCCACACTAATGTTAGATGCCCCAGCTGCTGTCTTCATGGTAGGAGATGACTACAGTAGGTCTTCCAACCTGTGACAACCCTTCATTTCCTGTTCAGTGATTTGCTGCAGTCACTTTGGGAACGCACTTCTATAGTGGCTGAACAGTAGAGAGACTTCAGAATATGGATTCTGAGTTTAGTCTTATTCTTGGTACAATTAATTTGAGAAAAGACCTAGAGAAGGTGAAGGCTTCCATTCCTAAAAACAACCAAGTTTTTTTTTTTTCTCTACTTCTTCATCGTGACCAATACAGGGCAGGCCTGCACTCTGCCCCTCCTTTTCATTCTTTCTTCTCTTCTTCCCTACCAACTAAAAAAATTAAATGACACAAAAAGTTGTGTATATTAATGGGGCCATATTGTATTTTGAAACATGGATACACATGTTTAAATCAAGCCAAATACATATCTTTTGGAAAAGCTCTCTGTTCTTTCTATGATGAGACATTTAACTACACTTCTTACTAGATTTTTGAGACGTTTACTACTCAATTGTGACCTTTCCTCATCCTGACATTTATGGAGAAGCACTGCAGATTCTCTTGCTCTTGTTTGTACCCAAGGAGCATCCTTTCCACCCTGCTTCCCCAACATGCTTCCTGGTCTCTGGTAACCACCACTCTACTGTGAACCTTATTGGATCATCTTTACAGGTTCCTTGTATGAGTTAGATCAGGCAGTACTGCAACAGGTCTACACAATTTTGAATGGGTTAATGACTGGCAGCAGAAGAACATTTCCCTTTTTGTAGAATTCAGCTCTCCACATCTTCTCCACTAAATGCCTGGATGTCTGTATCACTGTGACAACCTGCAGCACCTACACATATCTGATATCACCAGCTAGGTGCAGTGACTCCAGGGTGAGGAACAGATGTACACGTTAAGCTCAGTTGTCAGCACTACAATTGACTGACAAAAATTCCCTGCACATGCCTTTAAATAGCTAAGAGCTATTAAAGAATCACATGTTCTTGGCTTAAAAAGAGATAATTCCCCGAGCTTGTGTTTTGTGCAAGATTCCTTGAGAGACATTGGGGTGAGAGTGTGGAGGCTGTGGGATTGGGGGGGGGTACAAAATATTTCTTTTCTTTTGAAAAGAAAACATAAAAGTAAAGCACGCTAACATACCAGCACTAGTCTTTGCCCCATGGGAAATATAACACAGGCAAAGACAGGCATGCCTGTGCATAGGGAAATAACATGCTTGGCAACTCTCCCACAGGCTGCCTTGGTTCTGTGACATGACTTTATTGAACTTCTGGGTCTTTTTTGGGCAAATAAGAACTAAGAGAAAAGTTTGTACCCCTGTGCATGGATGGCAGAACTCATGACGTCAGCCCACGTTGTTTTAAGTGTCTCCAGCTGAGCCTGGATCGCCTGCTGACCCTCCTTGTTGCTGCTTCTTAAGGCCTGGTCCCCTTTGCCAATGGCCATATTCAACTTGACTTCTCCTTCGCCTTTCATGAGGAGAATCTCCTAGGGAGGAAGAAGGAGATGTTGTTAGTGGGAGTCTGAAAACCTGCTATGTTAAACAATGGCTGCTTCCCAGAACTAAGGAGCCGCGGTCTAGAGTGGTAGCTCAGTTTGCAAGCACAAAGATCTGAGTTTAATCCCCAGAAGTCACATAAAAAGCTTGGAGTTGTGGCATGTGCGTGTATTCTTAGCTCTGGGGAGGCAGAGACAGGCAGATCCAGGGATCCCTGGCTAGCCAGTCAGCCTGCTACAGGAACTCCAGGCTAGTGAGAGACTAAAAAAACAAGGTAGATGGTAACTGAGGAAGGATAGGTCCACAAGCATGCACACACTGATGCATGCACTTTCTGCTTTCTGCCAAAATAATCAAGGTAGGAATATCTCACTTCAAGATGCAAGCAATAAATTTGCATAAACTTTAGGCTAGAATAGTATAAGCTAGATATCAGGAGGCATGGGGTCCAAAGATCAACTTAAATTCTTGGAAAATTTTGGGCCACCATCCAGGAATTATAATTTTGTTGACTGATTTCAAGAGAGAGACAATTAATTTAGGCAATGAAGAAAACATATCTGCCAAGAACGAAACCTCTCCTTCTGTTGTTGCCTGACTAACTCCCATTGATCAAGGTCATGTCAACTGCAGGTCTGTCTTGTGTTTACAGAGAAACCTTGTCACTCCATTCACAGCCCAGACATATGCTCTGCAATAACAATTCACACACTGGTCTCTGATCTCTTAAAACACGGGCACTAACTGCTATTTCTATATTCTCAGCAACCCTCACAGTACTGGTAACAGGGTAGGTATTTAGTCTCCTTTGATGGCTAACCACTGAAACAAACAAACAAACAAACAAAAATAAGGCTGTTAAAACAAAAATGCTCCTCCCAAAAGAAAAAAGTAAACACTGTCTCTGAATATTTTATCTATTCCTCTTATCTCCCACATTGTCATTTGTCACTTCCCAGACAACTGGGACTAATTCTAGCCTCTGTACTTCCAATCAGAGCAATGGGCAGCAGTTTGTGGGCTGCACATACCTGAATCTGTGACAATCGTCCCTCTAACGTCTCCTTGTTCCCAAGAGTGCTCTCCGAACAAGCCAACTTGTCTTGCACATCCTTTACCCGGGACCACATGCTCTGTGTGGCTTCTTCAAGAGCTTCGTGCTCCTGTAGGGCCAGCTGACAGCTGCGCAGCCTCTCTTTGGTTACTCTGAGAAGGTTTTGGTAGCTGGTAAGTAGCTGGGTGTACCGGCGGCCTCCCTTTCCAGCACCGTGGCTTTCTTCGCTGAGGAGCTGCCCTCTCTGGGAGAGCTTGTCAAGGGACTCTCTGGACAAACAGAATTTCTTTTTTTAGTTCCAGAATCCTGGGTCCAGGGGGGTGAAAAATGACTGTTGACATTGGATCAGGAACCAGACAAAAGCTCATGGCTGATATGACTTTAACATTAAGATGCTGGGGACCAAGCTGGCTACTTGCCTTCTTAGCGTAGCCAACACGTGTCAGAGAGTATGAGTCCATTTCTGCCATGTTTCCATCTGAGTCCCAATGGCAGAGCCTATGTCTCTAGGAAATCAGTTCAGGAAGTGGGCTCATCTTATCTCTAGCATTTTTTCATCCGTATTTGATATCCTAACCAAGGCAAGCCCCCATGCTCTATTGTGGATGTTATAGCTCGAATGTGAAGTGTGCCCCTTTGGCCCATGGATTTAGACACTTGGTTCCCAGTGGCTGGTGATGTTTGGGAAGTTTGTGGAAGTTTGGAGAAGCAGATCCTTACTGGAGGAAATGGGTGACTGAGGATGAGCCTTGACATTCATTTTATAGCCATGCTCCACCTCCCACTCATTCTGTACTTCCTGACTGCTGATGCAGTGTGACCAGATGGCTGGCGGCCCTGCTCTTGCTGCCATGTCTTTCTCACCAAGATGCCCTCAAGCATTAAACCAGAATCAAGCCTTCCTTCTTCAAGTCACTTCTGTTGGGTATTTTGTTTAAGCAATAAGAGAAGTAACGTATGAAGTTGACATCTCTCCTTCATGAGAATTCTGCTTTCCTGTTACTTTCTAAGTTGCCTCTTCACACCTTGACATAGGCATCACATCCCTAGGCAGTATCCATGACAACCTGAGACAGACAGGAGATGTGTGCAGGATTCCTGTGCCTCTACACCACGTCTTACTCCCTAACTAAATATACCTGAATCTACCCATACGCCATCACTGTCTAGAAGCCAGGGTGACTGCACCCATCTCCATCCCCAGGACATGACACAAGGATAGGCAGAGACAAAGTGGGGTGGGGGACGCTGCTTTCAAATATCATGGTAGGAACCAATAGCCTTCCTTGGTGTACCTTGAGCACTGTGGCCCTCACAGCTTCGAGCTATGTAATTGGGTCTGGTGAAAAGAACTCAAACTCTTGCATGGCTTGGTTGTAATATTCTGAGTTCTTAGTTCAACTTGGCTAGTTTTCTTTCCTTCTTTTAATTATAAAGTAACAGTTTGTAGTCACGTAAATGTATGGTTTATAAAGCAATACTGTGGCTTATGAGCATAATGTGGAGTGATTGAATCAAGCTGTTCAATGTATCCATCACCTCACATATTTCACATATTTTCCATAGTGGGAACTTTTGAAATTATTTTCTTAGGGATTTTTAAAAATACAACTTTCTATTTTTAGCCACATTTGAATGCGTCCAATAAACTACAACTGAAACAGAACAAAGCCACACACTCCCATATTCCTTGGAAGTGGGATTTTGTACCTTTTGGCTATCATCTCTTCATTCCCCTTTAGTTCAAAGCTTCTATAAATACCAGTCAGGGGAGCCTGAACTTCTCATGAGCACATTTATCAAGAAAAGTCTTGGTGATTGGCAAGAACAAGGGGTCTTAATTAGGACTCTTAAGTAGCTGTGGAGGTAGCTTAGTTGGCAAAAGTGGCCATCACATATGCATGATGACCTGAGTTTAAATCCCCAGAGCCCATGTAAAACTTTGGACATACTGACAGATGTCTGTAATCCCAGTACCAAGGAGGCAGAGACAGATGGGTCCTTAGAGCTATCTGACCTTTTAGCCTAGAAAAGATCTTATCTCAAAAATTAAAGGGGAGAGTAACTCCTGTAGATAGTCATTGCTGACCTGTGACCAATACCATGTATAAGTTCAGATATGCATAAACTACAGACACACACACACACACACACACACACACACACACACACAAAAGAACATAATGTGTACTATCTACAAGTCTGGCTGTTTCTGAGTGACTCCTATGTAAATAGCATCCTTTGAGTCACTCTGAGATACATTTATCCAACATGACTCCTGCTCTATAAGACTGGTGAATTTGTAATCAGTTGGCTTAATGAGCAGGAGGGTGAGTTGCATGATATATTATACCTGTCATGAGCTACATAATAACTAATATAAAACATTTCATTGCTACTACAAAATGGTTTGCTCAATGGATGGTAAGCCTCCCTGAATCTCAGGTCTTTATGCTTTTACACAGGGTACTTCCCTCTAATATTTGAGGGACTGGGCACTTTATGATGTAAAATACCCAGATAATTGGAAGGAGCAAGCAGCACACTTGACAGAAGCAGTAGGGTGGTGTGTCTCACTGTGGTGGTGCACACTCATAATCCCAGCATTTGATGATTGAGGTAAAAAAGACGGTTAGTTGTCAGGCAGCCTGGTTTACATAGTGAGACCCCCAAAACAAAGAGGGAGGTGACAGCATGAGAATCTGAGTAAGGAGCCCTTTGCTGCTTCTGGAAGTGGCCAGTTGGTAAGGAAAAACCCCAAGACAAACACACTAGAGGTCACTTAGCATCTGGTCCTAGAATACCAGAGAGTGATACTTGAGTGATTATGTGTCTCTCGATGTTGCAATTATTAGAAAAATAATAAAGACCAGGGCTGATGGTGTGCACACTTAAAATTCCAGTGCTGGGAGGTAGAGACAAGCAGATGGTATCTCTAGGACTCATTAGTGAGCCAGCCTAGTTTACTTAAAGAGTTGCTGACCAGTGAGAGATCCCCCCACAGTAATAAGGAGAACCGTGTCTGAAGAACAACAGCTAAGTTTATCTTCTGCCTTCCACATGTATAATTGGGTACTTGATGGGGGAGGGCCTTCTGTGTATATGATTGTCTTATTAGTTGATAAATAAAGTACTGTTGGCCAACAGGAAAACAAAACAGGTGGGACTAAGAGCCAAGGAGGATTCTGGGAAAAGGTAGGAGAAAGCACAGAGTCACCATGTGAGCCTGGAAGACAGGACACTTCTGTTGGCATCTGATAAGGTAAGTCTTATAAAATATATAGATTTATGATAATTAAGACTGAGCTAGCAGATGAGAAATCCTAGTCATTGGCCAAGCAGCATTTGTACCTACTATAAAACTCTGTGTGTTACCTGGGACCATAAAATGGCTGCGGGCAGAATTTGGGTGGCCTGGTGGAAAGCGCCCACGTGGCAGCAGGGCTCGGGCATCTTGGTGGAAAGACTTACTGTAACAGGTACTGATAATGGGCACTTGATAATGAGAGGTACTAAAAGACAATGAATTTGGTGGTGGGCCATTTCTTCCTGTGCAGGTTTAGAACAATGATTTTGGGAGAAATTGTGATAAATGTAAATAGAAGCTTGTGAAGAAATGGGAGCCAAGAAGAGAAGTCATTTACAATGTCAGCAAGAAAGGCAGGTGTGCGGTTGGTTGTATTATATTGTATCTATACAAGAGTCAAGATTTGGAAAGCAAAATGTAATTTAATTTTCAGGAAGTTAATAAAAAATGATGTTATTGTTCTCTTAATTCTATCATCATTTTCTGTTTTTCCAGACAACAGGAATGTAAAGGTAGTAAGAAATGAAGTCTTGAAAGGTGTCTAGAGATGGACACAAATCATGCCAGGGGCATGTCTCAATAGTTATCAAACTGGAGTACCAACAGGTACCATGCTGGGTAGGCACTTTATCCTTGGGTTGCACATCTGCAGATTTGACCACTCACGTACTGAATACGTATTTTAAATAATCATGTCTGTATTGAATACACACAGACTTTTTCTCACTACTCATTCAATAACAGTACAATAGCTACTTCCATAACATTTACTTTTCGCTATATTGTAAATAATTGAGAGCTGATCCAAACTGTGGGAGATACAAGCAGATGAGATAAAGTGATACCACATTTCATGTCTTGGGTGCTCATGAATCTTGGTCCCCACTGGGGTCCTGAACACAGCTTCACAGACACAACAGGATGGTTAGTCATAATACATGTTCTGTTGTGCATTTGTTTACATGGATTTTCTTTAAGACAATCAACACCAGCATATTTGATCATAATTAGGACTCGGTGGACACAGAGAAGGAGCATGGTCTGAATTAGGCACTTTTTACTCAGGCTATGATTTTACTGATTTGTTTGATTAAGCAGAGTGGGAAGCCCTTACACTAGAGAGGCAGAAAGGGAAAGTGCTAGAGGTGGAGCAGGAACACAAGGAGCAAAAACACTGCAGATGGCAGTTGTGTCAAAAGATAAGGGGACTCTACCCATGAGAGGAGTCAGGGAAGAAATGAAGAGAGACCATAGGGGAGACAAACCAAGCAAAGGCGAGACCTAGTAACCACAGCTCTCATGACTCTATCAATATTGTAAGGACCAGTAGATAGGACTGGGCTGGAATGGGAGTTGGGTTTCCCAGCTGTGCTTTTTCTCAGTGTGGTTTTGTAGTTTTCTTACGGAAGCTTCCTCTGGAAATAATCAACACAAGCTAACACCAGGAAGGGAAGTGCAGCGTTCTTAATAAAATCTCTAAAAGCTAAGCTGAAGTTAGAGAGAGAAGGGAACAATCAGAGAGGTAACAAAACTATAAGCAAGCTACTAATTTCTACCCACGCTTTCTGTAGAAAACCACACAGCCATAAAGAATGCAGCCTGGTAGCTGAGATATTCAGGGACTGAAGAAACCACAGCCACCAAACCAGTAAAAATCAACCAAAAAATCAAGCCAGTAACTAACTGATCAGCCTAAAACGTGTCAGCAAATGAAGAACCCACTCCATTTCTACACTCTACCTGGCAGCCAGGAGTTCTCCCAGGAACATCTCTACTTTATGGACTTCATTTTTCTTCTCGGACATATGCCGTTTACTCTCCCCCAAGTTTTCTGTTTTTAACCTTTCTTCCATCTCATGGAGCCACAAGCTCAGTTTTCTGTGCTGATCCTCGAAGCTAAAAAAAAAAAAAAACCATCTTAGAAAAATCTCAATGTGTCTGCTACTGTATCAGTGGTCGAAGTTACTACCTCTTCTTGTGGCACCTAAGGCCTCATGAATTTTCAGCTTAGAGAGAAAATTCAACAAGAAGTTTGCTTAAATGATCAGGTGTGTGTGTGTGTGTGTGTGTGTGTGTGTGTGTGTGTGTGTGTGTGTGTGACTGACTGAACTCTTGATCTATGAAATTCAGTAGCTTCTTTCTCCCAAGACTATCCCAGCAGAGACGAATACAAGGAGGAAAACTGGTTCTAATAACCCGAGTTAGCAAAACTGACTGACATGGCATGCAGCCAGATCATTTGTAATTACCAGTGGATATAAGTCCTTAAACAAAGCCAAATAAAACTTTCAGAAGCAGTCATCAATTATTTTCTTGCAATTAACCTGTGATGCAGGCAGGGCAACATTCATTATAATTTAAACTCAGAGTTCAAGTACTACTGTGTTTTCACATGAATAGTTCCCACTAAGCCTTTGAAAACCTGCATTTATTGTAACAACCTACCTCCCCAGCTCCGAAGCACAGTCCTGGAGAGCCTGCTTGTCTTTAAGGCACTGTTTCAGAAAAGCTTGGAACTCTTCATTGGCTTTTGTGATTTGCTCCTGGATGCTGCTAACCATTTGCTTGGGCAGATGTGCGTACAGGGTTTGTCCTTCCTGTGTCACTGTATCCAGCTTGCTCTGCCCATCACTGACTGAATCCAGGACACCCTGGAAGTCGAGGTAATATAGATATCTGCTATTATAAATGGGGTTCTTCATGACAATGCTGAGCTGAGGCAGTGAAGTAAGGGGGAAACAAAGTTTAGTCTACTGTGAGAAGGTCTAATGAGGCTAGGTTGAGAAGGATGCATGCAGTTGATGAAATTGAGGTTTCTAATTGAGGCAGTGTAAGACAGGACAGCAATGGAACTGAGGAGGAACTAAAAGCAGTAAGCTGGAAGAGAGGAGGTTCTCATCAGGGCCCCATTATCAGTGTTTTCCTGTTCTTAATGCCCCAGTCTCCTGGATCCAGCTCCTATCTCCTCAAGTAGTTGGCGGGACAGTCTGCTAGCAAGGTGGCCACTCCACCTCTTGCCCGTCTTCTCTGGCTACTCTGCACAAAGTCCAGTCCTCAGGATGGAACCTTCCTTTCTTTACACATACCTCTTCCTCGGAAGGTCTATGTCTGGGCTTCCAGAGAGCAAGAGAAACCTAGAACTTAATGCTGGTCATGTATCCCTCGAACTCCAGAATGTCCCTTCAGTTGTTATCCAGACATTTCTGTGTGGAATTCCACAACGTGGAGGACAAGTCTACTCTGAATTTACTATGCCTCTTGCAAAACTAGCCTTGTACATGAAACAATAACCTGACTTCCCATGCAGACGGCTATTGACAGAAATTTATCACCCATTGGGCCATACAATTCACAGGTTCCTTAATATGGAGATTTTTGTTGTTGTTGTTGGATGGTTGTCTCGTGGAGTGTAGGCTGGCCATAAACTTGAGAGCCTTTTGTGTCAGAATGCTGAGTGCCAGGATTACAGGCTTCATCATAACACCAGGCCTCATTGATTTTTGAAAATAAACATTGGAACTGGGCATGGTTGTTCATGCTTTTTAACCCCACCACTCTGGAGGCAAAGGCAGGTGGAACTCTTGAGTTCGAGTTCAACCTGGTCTACAGAGTAAATTTCAGGACACCCATGGCTACACACACAAAAAAAACTTGTTTCAAAAAATAAAACAAAACAAAAAAGGTTAAAATAAAGTTTCATTTTCAATGACTTTTAAGGAATGGCCAGTGGGTTAAAAATGAGACCTAGACAGTTTCCAGCTTGCTTTTGTTTTTACCTGTGACTTTCTTTGTGGCCTAACACCTTCTGACTCAACACCCCAACTCTTTAATGGGTAGAAGAAAAGATGGATAAAATAAGAAGGTTTGGGCAAGGAAATAGTAAGAAACAGTCTGGGTCTGACTCAAGGCAGTGAGTGTGTCTGGGAAGGAAAGGTATCAGCATCATAGCATCCATATCACAGCATCCATACCCACATCACAGCATCCACATCTGCACCACAGCATCCACATCAGCATCACAGCATCCACTCAGCATCACAGCATCCACATCAGCATCACAGCATCCACATCAGCACCACAGCATCCACATCAGCACCACAGCATCCACATCAACATCACAGCATCCACATCAGCATCACAGCATCCACTCAGCATCACAGCATCCACATCAGCATCACAGCATCCACATCAGCACCACAGCATCCACATCAGCATCACAGCATCCACATCAGCATCAAAGCATCCACATCAGCACCACAGCATCCACATCAGCATCACAGCATCAACATCTGCACCACAGCATCCACATCAGCATCAAAGCATCCACATCAGCATCACAGCATCCACATCAGCATCACAGCATCTATACCTGAAGATCCTGTAGCCTGGCTTCTAGAACTTGGCTGTCACCAGTTAGATCAGAAGCGTCTCTGGCTGCTGCTTTTGCTCCTACAAACCATTCTTGGAATTCCTGCATGGAATCTTTTTGAAAATAATAAAAAGGAAGGATAAATCCAAAATGCTGAGTGAGCTTCTAGTACTGTCACAATAAATTATTTCTGTATTCTAGCCCATTTCATCCTGCTTTTTAAAACACTTCAAAAGGGAAACAATGGGGTATAAAATATTATAATGTGATCGACAGCCATGAATATTTATGGTAAGGTGGAGAAGTTTCCTTAGAGACCAAAAAGTAGTAAAATACTTGGAATGCTTGATTTCCCATTGGGTTGCTTTATTTTGGGAAAGGGTTTATAAGAATGCCAGGAGAAACATGCTCTGGAGTGTTAAAAATGTGCATGCATGTTCATGTGTGTACACATGTATGTGTTTGCATGTGCATGTGTGTGAAGGTCAGAAGTCTACATCGGCTGTCTTCCTCTGTTTCTATCCATCTTTGTTTTCTGAGGTAGAGTGTCTAATCTGGAGGTCATAGATTCAGCCAGACTGACCTGTTAGTGAGTGCCAGGTATCTAACCATCTCTGCCTTCAGAGCCAGCCTTCTGAGGACATGCAGGGGATCCAAACTCAGCATATCAAGCTAATTACCCATAAGCCCTCTCTCCAGACCTAATAGAAAGGATCTCTTAATGGCCTGGGCAGGAACCACTTCCTTGTTTTACTACATTGACTTGGAAAGCCACCATGTATTCTCATCAGAATGGAACACAGCTTCTCAAAAGCAGAGACGGGGAGTGGGAGTTTTCTGAACCACGTGGCTGTCATTGCTATGGCCTCTTCCAACATCCCTGTTTGTAGTAAAGGACTCATCCTAGCATGAAAAAGTGTCCTGAGCTATTTGTGTAGCAGTGGCTGATCACCCGAATGGAGGTAGTTCTTATCTAGAAGATCCAGGTGAAGTTCAGAAAAACCAAGATGGGCAGACTCCCATTCTTTCAAGGAGGAAGGGCAAACATTTTCTGAGAGACTAGAGCATGTAGGACAGAACTTTTGTTACCCAAATCTCAGAGCACGAATTTAAAACACTAATGTGACTGGAAGGTTTGCTCAAACTTTGGCTGGCAATTTCTGAACAGTATTTGGTCCAAACAACCTCTCATAAACAGTGATTCAGACTAAGGTCCTTCAACTCACCACTGAAGTGTTTTTCCAGAGAGTCCTGCATGTTGGCCTGGGTTTGGGAGCACAGCTGGCTCGTGGCTTCATGTTTCTTTATTAGCCCAGTCATTGCCCGGCCCAGGCTCTCCAACTCCACTGAGTGGTACTTCCGGCACAGGCTGTTGAGATTTTCTTGGGTGGAGCTGATGTTATTTTGTTGACTTTGGAGTTCTTTTTGTATGTCCTATGTGAGGAAAGCACACCGTGAATATACTACGAAGGACATTCATCCCATTCAAGAGAAATACTGTAATTATTTCACTCTGGTATTTTTTTAAAATCTGAAAAAAACAATGTAGAAATTGCCTCAGCTGTGTATAGCTGTGGGTGGGATTTAAAATATCTTTTATATATGGAAAGGAGCTGTACCCATGAAATCTTATCAATGTGGTCACCTAAAAAAGATATGTACAATGACAATACCAGTTAACATCGAAACTTGGATGGAGATAATCTCAGAAGGGCTCCCCCGTCCCCAAGCAAAGAGCTACAGATATTTAATGGCTGCTAAGACAGGGAGAATCAGTTTTGTCTAGGGACAGGCTCCCTGATAGGTTATCCAGTCCCAGGTGGTTAGCCCCAAACACATATACATATAAATGGATTTAGTAGGTTTTACACACACACACACACACACACACACACACACACACACACACACACACACACACACATAATAATAATAATAATTTAAGAAGAGATCATGAACTTGAGAGGAAGCGGGGAACAAAGAAGGAGTATGAAGGGGAAGGGCTGGGATAGAAATGATATAAATGTAATACTCAAGCAAAAATCTCAAAAAATAAAATAAATCTTAAAAAATTGAAAAGAATTTGTGTAATAGACAAATATCTATACTTATATGTATACATATATTTATAGACCTGTATGGATTCTATCTTTTTTAGTGTGTGTGTGTGTGTACTTGCTTTCATGTGTGCACATGTATTTGCATGCATGTGGAACTTAGAGGACAGCCACCAGGAGCTTCCCATCTTCATGTTTTTAAAGACTTATGTAGGACATAAGTATGTATGTATGTATGTATGTATCTATCTATCTATCTATCTATCTATCTATTTATTATGTGTACAGTGTTCTGTCTGCATTGCCCCCACCCCGCCCCCCAAGGCCAGAAATGGGCACCAGATCTCATTACAAAATGGTTGTGAGCCACCATGTAGTTGCTGGGATTTGAGCTCAGTATCTCTGGAAGAACAGCCAGTGCTCTTAACCTCTGAGCCATCTTTCCAGCCCACATCTTGATTTTTGAGACAGGGTCTCTTGTTGGACTGGAGGTCACCTTGTTTATTTGAGACAGGGTCTCTTGTGGGAGTGGAGCTTTCTGACTCAGCTAGGCAAGGATTTACCTGTCTCCATCCCCAGCACTAAGACTAAATTTGACTCAAATACACAGATTTTATGTTTTGTTTGTTTGGTTTTTGGTCAGTTTAGGTCCTCAGGCTTACTCAGGAAGCAGGTTACCAACTGAGTTGTTTCCCGGTCCTATATTGATTCTTTAATAAAGTATATCAGTCTTCTTTGGTAACAAAAATCTACTAGAAAGTAGACAGAATCTGGGTGGTAATCCGGGATCTCAAGAAAATTCAGCAGGTTGTCATAGCATCTCAGCTATGTATGGTATTGAGCATTGCAGCTCACATTGTTCAGTGGGTCACTGTGTGGTTTTATTTAGGGATTACAGGCCACACACACACACACCAGCAGTTGATTTAAAGCTCTATGTCCTTGTCTATAGTGTAGCATAAAACTATACTAAGGAAGAACAGAGCCCAGGGATGGAGAGACAGCTTAGTGGTTAGTGTTCTTGCAGCTTTCTCACAGGACCCAGCTTGGTTCCCAACACCCAGGTTGGGTGGCACACAATGACCTGAAACTCCTGCTCCAAGCCCTCTTTTATACTCTGTGGGCACCTGGATTCACATGTGAACACACACACACACACACACACACACACACACACACACATGTGCATAGCCATCAGGTAAGGTCTATAGCAACGCATGCTGTCTACTTTTTACCTGTCTTTCACTTCTTGATGCATGCATTTGGTTCTTCTCATGCCACTAACTCTGTTTTGCTCAATCTTATGAATTAGTTAGTCTGGGTGTTTAATATGTTAAATCTGGGTAGTTGAAAGCAGACATTATGTGTTTATGATAGTTACAAAATAGGAGGATGAATCTAGACTTCAAGTGGGAACACTGAAAGCTAGTTTTGACCTACCTTGACTTTCTTCAGTCCTTCGCAAGTCCCAGTTTGGGCACACCTGGTCAAAGATTCCTCCACGTTGATCAGCCACAATGTTATGTCCTTGACGAATCTCTCCACTTGGGTACTTTGAGCAGTGAAATCTTTCAGGGTTCCCTTCGCTTCCTCAGTGGTTTCTTTGGCGTGCTCTAGCTTCTGCCGTAAGTCTGCTTCTATAAACTAAATATAAATCCAGAGTTTGGGAAGATCTGGGAGGACTGAAAGCACACTCACCCTCCAAGAATTCTGTTTATGTGTAACTCCATTGAGAACACATTAGGCTCACCATGGAAGCCACTCCAATACTAATAGCTTTCCCCAGGATGGAAAACCAGCGAGTGTGGGCTGCCAGACACACTGAGAGAAGGGAAAGAGGAGGGCTGCGGCTAACCCTGGACTTGAATAGAGTGTGGTTTGGATGGAGGTTCCAGGGGAGGGAAGATCACATCTTAAAAGCAAAGCTGGACCAAAAGTTTGCTGTTAATTCTCCACAAGGAACACTCACACGGGCCTGCCTGGATGTGACTGCTTGGAGGAACCCGCCATAGGATTTAACCGTGAACCGATTTTATCCTGTAAGATGTGCAGTAGGGTTATTTGCTTTATTCTTCTGGGATGAGCTATTTTAGGAAAGTTGATTTTTGTGGCTCCTGAGTTAATAAAAGGACTTACAACTACTCTGAACTGGAAAATGGCTTTAATCCCACAGCTCAAAGATCAGTGCTATTTGTCAAAATCATCAAACATAAAGGTTTGTTGTATTTTCTTAACTCCCAGCTCAGAGCAGCCATGAACTAGGAGCTGAGAGTCTCTTCTTGCTTTGCTGCTTCTGTCCCTGCTTGGCACAGCTGTGGGCCCTGCAAGCCTGGATGGGAGGGAGATGGGTGAGGCATTCTGAACTGAAGACTCACGGATGAGTGTGAGTTGCCTCTCATAGCCCCACTTCTTTTAGTTTGCAGGGTTTTTTGTGGGGGTGGTGATGCCCTCGTTGCTGGACCCTCCAGCTGAAAGTCCCTATGTGAGACCATATACTGTATTTTACTTCTTTACTCTGCCCTTTCTCAGCCCAAGGCACTATGAACTTATCCCCTAGAAAGTCTTCTTAGACAACTTAGCTGTCCTTGAATTGTGGGCTTGTCTCTTCCTTCAATCATAACTTCTGGGCTGAGGCCACAGGCTGGTACTCACCACCCCATCTGATGCTGAGATGCAGGCCTCCCATACAAGCATTTACTTTTCAGCAAATACATCAGAAATCAGCCAGCCTGCCTGGCAGGGCTTTAGAAACCAGATGCTGGTGACTGCCAACTGTAGGGGACAAATTATGCTACCCACTAAGTGACATCACAGACATTCTTCTACCTGTACTAGAGGACAGTAAAGACATCTCACACCTCTTCTTTGGGGCTGAGAAAGTCAAGAGAAAGAGAATAGATGTGGAACAACAATAACTCACACCCCAAATCCTTGCTTAACCCTTACTCTACAATAGTGTGTTGCCAATTGATGTCTCAAATATACGTGACAGTAATCAGCATCCCTTCTTCTCGGTTGTGAATATGAAAATCACATATTCCTTTGCTTCAGGTGAAATGTGCAATATTCCAATACATGCCTGAGATCAGCCACAAGCAAGGCTAAGTCAGTTAAAGACAGAATCAAGGACAATAGTACAGCAAGAAGAGAAAAGCCCTGAACATCTAAAAGAAAATAGGGAAAGATACCCCAGAGACCTCAACCCAGTGCTGGTGAGGGGTCAATCAAAGCATACATACCACACAGGGTGCTTCTAGGGCTTGGACACTTGGACACTTCTAGGCCCAGGTTGCCTGGCCAACTCAGCTCCTCCCTGACCTGCCTCATGGTCCCTGGGACTGGAACCATCTACAGGGCCATGAACAGACATAGGCAATCCTAAACCTGTCCCCAAGCCCAGTTACTGTGTAAATGAATTAGCCCAGTTACTGTGTAAATGAATTAGCACATTATAAGTAAGAACACGTATTCATTAAGGGGGGCAGGAATTGGTCTATTCCTGTCTAAACACAGAATGTACCAAGAAACAATCATGTTGATAATGCATCCAGAATTCTGTAAGGAAAATTGAACTACCCTTATTATAACATTACGACATTTGAAATGTAAATATGGTCTGAACATTGGCATAAAGATTTCTACTGATGTTAATGTTTAACCTCATATATGAAAAAGTCCACATTTGCCAAGAATTATGGTGATATAGACATATACACACATATACAGGTACAACAAACACAAACATTTTGGATTTTGGGAATGAAGATGTGATTGGCTGTTACCTGGTATTTATTGAAAAAGTCATCTTTTGCTTACCTGCAGGTCTGTTGGTGTCTCTGGATTTTTTGTTAGTTCTTTAAGGTCATTGATTTTGGAGTGCAGTTCTTCCAATTTCAAGGCTTTGTTTTTAACTTCAGACTGTGAAAGTGAAGACACAGGGGAAAGGCATCACTAATCCAGAGACTGACAGGCTATGCTTGGCATCTCGTACTATGAGTTAACTGTCACCACACCACCAGCTTTCAGCGATATTTAGAAAATCTGCCCAACTTTTTCATTAGTGTGGAAAATGTTACCATTAAAGTTAACTCTGGATAAGAAGGGGCATGTGGGAATTTCTCTCTCCCACCCTCTTTTATTGGGAAAAAAAATCCCCTGGAAAAAATGAAACACTGACCCAACTCACTGAGTCAGTGAAAATGTCCACTAGGTTGTCATTTATTCATTAGCTGTATTATTACCAGTTACCATGGCAACGTTAAAGTCTTACAGAAGCATGCTAAAACAAATGCATATCGAGACTGCTTGGGGACTATCAACAGCACACAGAAGACACGCTTCAAATAAATATTTACAAGACCTTGAAGCAGAAATTGTTTTGACATTTGATATTTTACCTCTCCCCTCCACCCTGCTTTTGGATCAACAATTAACATACAAAAGAATACCAAGCAAGAATCATTATTGAGCAAAGACGCTTATCAACTTCATAGTTTTGAGTCACAAAATAATATTTAACACCAGAGCCCTCTCATCATGGAAAACAGAACCTACTGCTTTGTGACCACAGAATTTCCAATGGCTTGTACAATATGGAACTCACTGCCAGGACTGGTGGCCTTTTACAGAACCAGCTTGGTGTTTAGGGAACTCAGCTGCTGACCTGCAGTAGGCTTGGAAGTAGGAAAGACAGGGCCAGGTATTGGGCTAGTTCCAATGTACTGATCTAGTAACTGGCACATCACAAGATCAGCAACAAAAAGTCCATCTCAGAGAGACTGAACCTTGCCAAATAAGGGTTTGAGACACACAGCCGAGTTTACGCAGTCAACAAAAGATGGCTGATTTGACAACTTCCTGTCCTACTAAAACTCATGCTGTGGTATTTAACACCACTGCAGGCTCTAAGCATGGTGTCACTGTCCTTGTACAACAGAGAGATGCATCATAGAATAGTGCAGCATTCCATGCCATGTCCAGTGTCTGCTCTAGATGTAACAGACATCAAGAACCCAGGGGTTCTGGCTGGTGGTGTTGCACACGCTTTTAATCCCAGCACCCAGCAGGCAGAGGCAGGCGGATCTCTGTGAGTTCGAGGCCAGCCTGGTCTACAAGAGCTAATTCTAGGACAGGATTAAAAAGAATACAGAGAAATCCTGTCTCAAAACAAACAAACAAACAAACAAACAAAAGAACCCAAGGGCTTAGTGCACACTAAAGTATATAATAATAATAATTAACTAATGATAATGGTTTTTTGTTTGTTCTCAAGACAGGGTTTCTCTGTGTAGCTTTGAGCCTATCCTGGCACTCGCTCTGGAGACCAGGCTGGCCTCGAACTCACAGAGATCTGCCTGCCTCTGCCTGCCGGGTGCTGGGATTAAAGGAGTGCACCACCAACGCCCGGCACTAATGATAATTTTTTGAGATATGATCTTGCTATGTGACTAAGCTAGTCTCTGACTTGTAACCATCGCCTACCTCAGCCTCCCAAGTGCTGAGATTATAACTTTGCACCATTGCCTTAAAAAAATGGTAAGTTTTGAGTATGTACTCTTTTGTTTTTAATAGAATTTATTTAGCTGTAAATTTATTTGTAGTTAGGCTTTTAAAAGATGTGTCTGTGTGTTTTTCCTGCATGTATGTGTGTGCAGACTGTGAATGCCTAGTGCCCTCTGAGGCCAGAAGAAGGTACATGATCCGCAGAAACTGGAGATACAAATGGTTGTGAGCTGCCATATTAGTGCTGGGAACTGAACACAGATCCTCTACAAGAGCAGCAGGTACTCTTAGCCACAGAGCCATCTCTGCAGGCCCTACTATTAGTTTTTTAAAGATTCAATTTACTTTAAAAATTGTGTGTATGTGTACACGTGTGTGTGTGCATGATGTGTGTATACTTGTGTATGTGTGCACATGTGTATCTGTGTGCATGTGTGTGTGCACCTAAGTGCCTTTGGAGGCCAGAGGCATTGGATCCTCCTGGAGTTACAGGTTGCTGTGAACTTACCAACATGGGTGCTGGGAATTGATCTTAGGTTTTCTGTAAGAGAAACATGCACTATTACCAGTAACTCATGATTCCAGCCACTCAATTGTGGTTTTTTTTTTCTTACTGAAATTTATTTTTTATTTTAGGATATGAGTGGTTTGTCTGTGTGTATTTCTGGTTCCTGCAGAGGCCTGTGACATGCCTGGTTCCTGCAGAGGCCAAAAGAAGGTGTCACATTACAGATGGTTGTGCGCCACCATGTGGATAATGGGAATTAACTCCACGTTCCCTGGAAGAGCAGCAGATGCTTTTAATCACCAAGAGAACTCTTCAGTCCACAGTTTTTTCTTGTGTGTGTTTAATTCTGGCTTACACAATTTGCAACAATCACCCTTTGTGAGTCCAAATACCTCACTTCAGCACAGAACACTGTATGAGCTGAAATACTAATTTTAACATCAGCAATAGCAACTAAAAAGACCTTGGGATTCTTCATGTCTGAATGTTTAGTCTGTATAATTTTCATGAATTCTGATTATAAGATCTCTAAAAATTGATTTGAGTGTGAGATTGTCCAGTAACTTAAGCAGTACAGTTAAATTAGACTACAGTCATTCATCCACTTATCTGTCAGGTTCTTTGTATGTGCCAGGTATGTGTGTGTGTGTGGGGGGGGGAGGTTGTTGTAGAATATTTTTTAATTCTTTTTTTATTAGTTCAAATTAGGAACAAGCTTGTTTCACATGTCAATCCCTTCTCCCTCTCCCTCCCCTCCCCCCTTCCCCCCTGCCCCCGACCTACCCCCCATCCCATCCACCCTCCACTCCCCAGGCAGGGTAGGGCCCTGGATGGGGGCTCCCCAAAGTCCACCACATCACCCTGGGCCTGGCTTAGGCCTTCCCCCATGTGTCCAGGCCAAGAGTTCATCCCTTCACGTGGGATGGGCTCTCAAAGTCCCTTCTTACTAGAATATTATTTTAAGGTATGTTGCATTTGTCTATGCTATGGATCATTTGTTTAATGATGTACAGATGCATTGCTTTTGTTTATGCTGCATTTATTTAACTCCATGAAGCTGTGATTCTTTGCCTGTCTAAAGCACCCGATGATCCTAAGAAAGAGCTGAAGACCGATAGTGAGGCAGGAGCAAGGGTAGGAGGGGCTAACAGGCAGAGAGGCTAAATAGAAGGACAAATGAGGAGGAAGAGGAGGAAGAAGCAAGAGAACAAGGAGAGGAGGACATCGGGGGACAGCCACCCAGCCACCCATGGATAAGACTCCATGTGTGATCTATTTGGGAGTTGGGTAGTGGGCCCCCAAAAGAGGTAAGAGTTAAAGAGTAAAAACACTATCAACCAACAACGGGCGGGGGGGGGGGGGGGAGAAGCAGGCTGCAGAATGTGACTAGGAGCTTCCCTTACTGAAAGGACAGTCAACTACATGCCTTTTGAAACAGCTCTCTCTCTCTGTAATCTTTCTAATTTCCTTTTTTAACAGTATCTACAAGATTTTAATGCTTAGTTTTCACAAACAAGTTTCTATCCAATTTTATGATTTACAGTAAAAAATATTAGTGTTTAAAAATGGGCATTATTCAACTATCCTTCATACTCTCTGCCAATCTTTTAAAATTCATCACCGGGAGTTTTTAATCTAAGTAATAACTCTGCTGTATTTACATCTGAATTGCATGTCTTAAGAATAAACGAAAAACATGATATTTTGGTTAACTCGGTGTTATTTATAAAATGAAAAGTTCTATCAAAATACTTTTCACTGGAAAAAATAAATAGAACAGACAATGGATCTACTCAAAGTCCACATTCACTTTGGTAGACTTCAGTGTAGGACAGTTCATGACAAGCATATTTGCCCTTTTCCCCCAGAGCTGATCAGCTTCCAAGCTGGTGGTTCATTTTTAACTGAGATTTTTATCGTGTTGAAATCTTGCTCATTCCATATCATCTTCAAGCAAGCTCTGAGCACTTACAGTTCTCTGACTAATGGCTGGAAGCTTGGTCAGAAGCCTCTGGAACACTGGTGGGGGAAGAGTCTTGCAGCAGCTGCTGAGGCTGTCCACACACAGCAATTGCATTTGTCAGGTGGTCTACACCCTTCTCATATTCACCTTGTGCTAATAACTCTTCCCCAAGCTATATCTCTTCAAGGAAGAATTTTTGAACAGCTTCAGCATCTTTTAAATCAGGTAACTTGGAAAGACCAGCTCTTTCTTTAGCAAGCTTCTGTTTCTTTCTTCGTTCTCGAAGCCTGTTCTTGAAGTTAGGGTCATTCTGCCTTTTGCGGTCAAAGTAGAATCAGTACTCGATGAAGAGGTGCGCACACGCCGGCGGCGAAGGCACTGTTCCGGCCCACCATCTTTGCTCGGCTGGGGCGTTTGCCGGGCCACGGAGGCCCACCAAGCAGCAGTTAGCTCCGACAGATAGGAGCACCCCGGCTGCTCGCAGGCCCAGTCCAGACAGAAAAGCTCCTGTCTAATTTCTAATCATGGTCCTATTGTCACTGTACATTTTTTCAATTGTGTGTAATATGCATTCACACGGGTATGTATGTTGTCATATGTACAGGTCTGTGTACCTGTGTTGCAAAGGCCAGAGACCAACACTGAGTATCTTCTTCAATTGCTCTCCACCTTATGTATTGAGGCATGATCTCCGACTTGAACCCAAAGCTCATTGATTTGGCGAGTCTGCCTAGCTCCCCTGCTTGATCTGGGGATCCCCTGCTCCTGATTCTTGGAGATGATAGGATTACAGGCAGACCACCACATCCACAGGCCATAAGAGATTGTTGGAGATCTAAGACCGGGGTTTTATATTTACACAGCAAACATTTCGCCTGTCACAAACACTGTGACCAAAATCAACTTGGGGATTTATTTGGCCTACACTTCTGTGCCAGTGACCATCACTGAGGGAAGTTAGGGCAGAACTCAAGAAGAGGCAGGAACAAAATTTTCTCACTGGCTTGCTACCCATATCTTGCTCAGCTTGCTCTTTCATATAATTCACCTGCCTAGAGATGGCCCCTCCTACATAAATCATTAATCAAGAAATGCCCTAGAGGCTAATCTGGTGGAAGCAATTCCTCAGTTGAGGGTCCCTTTTCTCAAATGGCTCTAGTTTGTGTTGGGTCACAAAAAGCCAAAAACAACAAAAAACGAAAAAACAACTGGAACAATGTTTGCTAAGAATTTCCTGGCTGAATTTTTATTTTAAACACCAACATAATAAATAGGATTGAAAGTAGTTTAGAATAAATAGCCAAGTACAATTTTCAAAGGTTGGGTATCTTTAATTTTTCTATAAATGAAGTATAACATGTTACCAGTTGTAGCCACAGCACAATGCAGGTTCTCAGTAGAAGATATTTCTCTTCTGAATAAAGGACAGTAGGTACAAAAAGTTACGAACACTTCTTATATGGGTTTTTGCAAAGGAAGGGGCCATATACTCAGAATAATTGGGCATTTAATGCACTTTTCTTTTTACACTAATGTTTGAAGTCCATTGACAGGGGTTGAATAAAAAAATGTCCCCATGGGCTCATGTCTGGGAAGCTTTGTTCCCCAGCTGGCGGCACTGTTTGGGAAGGTCATTGAAGCATTAGGAAGTGAAGCCTTGCTAGAGGATGTGTGTCCGTGGGGTGGGCTTCAGGAGTTTGTACCCTGGCCCCACTTTCGGATTTTGTATTTCTCTCTCTACTTCCTTTGTGAAGATGAACTGTGGTGGGCCAGCCTCACACTCCCCCTACCATGCTGTCCCTGCTAAGATGGACTGTATCCTGCTTGGAACCATCAGCCTAAACAAACCCTTTCTCTCCAAAGCTGATTTCTGTCAGGGCATATTATCACAGCAACAGAAAAGTGATGAATATCAGCCCCAACTAAGAAATAATTATTTAAAATGCTTAACTAGAGCCTAATCAATTTTTTAAATCAATAGCTGAAGTTAGGTGATATTTGTCACATTCATCTGTGTCTTTGAAAAGCAGAATGGACTTAGGAACACCCATTTTTTTCTCTCATTCTGCATAGTGATGTACCCCAACCTCCACATGCATGCATTGTCAGTTACCTCAAATTCCTTCAGGAATTCTTCAGCTCCGCGGCTGTTGTTCAGGTCGCTGATGTGTTCAGCCAGTTGTGGAAGGGAGCTGTTGGCCCATCCTTCAATCTCATCCTTACTTGAAAGGACATCATCCCAGATGGACATGCTTACTCTTAACCTGTCCATGTTTTCTTCAATTCTCTCTGACACCTGGGAGAGGAAATAGGAACCAGGCCATCATAATACGGGGTTCTGCAACCCTCACTACCCCACCAGCGTTTTCATGAGAAGAAAAATTACATTCTGGCAAAAATTCAAAATAATGACTGTACATCAATTAGCATATCTTAAATGCTAACCAATACACAGACTAAATCCATCAATGGGTGAGTTGTTTGAATTCTGAGACAGTCACTTTTCATTTGTAAGTTGGGGTACTAATGACAAAGGGTATGTTAGAACACAGAAGTGTCACTCACTACATAGGAGTCTACCGGACTGAGGTCTGTATAGGATGGTATTGTGTTTATTTCCTTTATCATTTTAAAACTTACTTTATGTCCATAGGTGTTTTGCCTGCTTGTATGTGTAATGTACTACATGTGTGCAGTGCCTGCATAGGCCAGAAGAGGGCATCAAATCTCTTAGGGCTAGGGTCACAGATGACTGTGAGCTGTTGCATGGGTGCTGAGAATCAAACCTGGACTCTACAGCCAGTGCACTTAACCTCTGAGCCATCTCTCCAGCCCTGAATTTATTTTCAAAGCAGCAAGTACTCTAAGCACTTTTATTTGTACTGCTATGATATAGGAATGGGCATTAATTAGATTAGAGCATATCTGTGATATAGGAAAATATTTAGCATCTGGCCATGGAGTTAGTGAATGATGGTGCAAGAACTGAAAGTCAAACCTCTAAAGTACAATCCTAATCCTTTTCAGTGCAAGACTACAGTCTCTATACTGTACATTCATATTTACTGTGATTGAATTTTCTACCAGATATGAATAAATGATCCAATTTTTATCCACAATTTCAACATTTTGAGAAGGGAAACATTCCAAGTTATAATTTATCATGCTTGTAGTTATCAAATAAAATTCCAGAAATCTGTCGGTAAGTGTTGTCAAACTAGTTCATATAACATTTTCTGTTGGCATGAACTCTGAAAACTCAAGGTGGAGTTCCAATCTCAAGTTAATCTCTGCCTGAAAGATCCTGCATATAAGCTGCTCACAGACTCCAGGGGGTGCTCTTACATCCAGCCACTTGTCCAGGGTGCTCTCCATGTCTGTCTTGACCAAGCCGAAATCTCCACTGTGGATTTTCTTCAGTTCAGATAGCAAGTGCTTGCCTTTGCTGGTAAAACTATCCAACTCTTTCTGTTTAGAATTCATTTCATTCCTGACAGTTTCATGCTGCGGACATAAATGTTTCCTTAATTGGTAAAACAACCAATGATAAGGGTTTAAAAATATTTTCCCTCTAAGAAATGTATTTTGTTTGGCTTTACTCAGAAAACTAATGATAATATGTGTATGTATATATACACACACCTGGATATACATATATACACAGACATGTATATATAATTTTCTTGAATTAAACTTTTTCAGAATATTAGTATTCTTAGAAAAAAGTTGAACTGCTAACAGGAATTATCCACATCTAGATAAACTGACAACAGAGAGTTTCTTTAGGAGTAAAATGCATGAATGAACACTGAAGGCCACTTAAATAAATGTGCTTGCATTTTACCTTGGAAAAAGCCCACTTAAGGTCCTCCTGGTCCTTCACAGCAGCTCTCATGGCAATAACATCACCAGCATTTTCCAGAACTTTACACACAGCTGACTTCAAATTCTGATATTCTCTTATTAAGTCAATAAGTCCACAGCACTGGCCCTGGCTGTAATGATTAAAGAAAATATCTTACTTATCATGCACCAGGAGGGGAATGAGTTCTCTAGGACTAGACCTACTATATCCTTGCACAAATTCATTCAGAGATAGGTGTGGGTGCCAAGAGAGAACCATGCTCTCTGCCACTGAAATCAGTACTGTTGTTAGTTAATTCTGCTAAATTCTAACTCCAGTCTGCTCTCCAACTCAATCTTAGACGAGTCATCCAAAATATTTTAAGTTTTAAAATGTTTTTTCATGTTGCTTTAGTTATTTTTGATGCTGTAAATAGAACGGCAGGTGGGGAGAAAGAAACCAATAGTAGATGAAACAAAACAAAACAATGTTTGTGTGGCATGGTTAAATGAAGAACCTATGTTTGAAGTCACTGCATGGGCCATTCCCAATTTTCTGTCAAAAGCCTTTGTTTATGACACAATGGGGTCTGAGGCTCACTTCTTTAAAATGCAAATGAGTCACCAAAAGTCCCAGCATCCTTCGTTGAAGAGGTCCTCTCCATCAACTCCATCATGTGACATTGTCAAAAATGAGTTGATTGTGTGTGAGTACATTTCTCCATCTTATTTATTCTATGTTCCATTTAATTATTCTTCAGCTACAATATCACAGTGACCCAGATAATGTGAGTCCCATAATTCCTTTTTAAAATTCCTGTTTGTATGTATATATATGTGTGCACTTGTGTATGGAGGCCAGATTTCAACATTGGCTATTTTTCTCAATCCATCTCTACTGGATGGATTTCAGGCTCTCTCACTGAACCTGGAGTTCTCCATTTTATCTATACTGGCTGTCTAGCAAGTCTCAGGACCCTCCCGTCTCCACCTCTCTGGTGCTGAGGCTACAGCATACACTCGGTTTCATCTGGGTGCTGTGCTGGTGCTTGAAGTCATCTCTTCATGCTTGTATAGCAAACACTATTCATTGAGCCAGCTTCCCAGCCCCATTTCCTCAAAAAATTAGATTACTTAGTTATTTGTTTTTACATATAAAACTTAGAATTGTTTGTCAATTTCTATACAATTATGTAGAGATTCTGTTTGGGATTATACAGATATAAGAAAGACCTCAACAACAACAAATAACCCAGCCAATTTCAGTAAATATTTAATTGAAGAAGATATGTGCAGATAACTAAAGAGAACTATATACCTATTATCCTTAAGCACCACTCAAATACAAATTAAAAACATGAGATACCACTGTATGTGTTTTAGAATGGTGACTACTGGAGCACATGTGAAACTTGAGAGTAGTAAGTGTGGGAAACAATGTATACCTGCTGGAGCTTTCACCTGCCTGAAATGGATACTTTGTTGAAATTACTTGTCAGTGTTTTATACATCTAAGCATACACTTACCCAGAAACCCAGTAGGATAAAAATCTGATGTAAAAAAAATCAGAAATATGAATTTCCATAGACATTTCATGTTAATTATTTAAACCAGAAAGACCCTACCTGCCCATCAACAGGTAACTATATTGCCTGTGGTACACCCATTCAATGGATTTTAACAGCTGCATATTTTAAAAACTGAGTTATCCATATGTTGTGGAAATTAACTATGTAAAGATGTGTTACATTTGTTTATGTTGCGGAATATTACTTTAATGGTGTGAAGGTCTGTTTCATTTGTTTTTGCTGCCATTGTTAATGATGTAAAGATGTGTTACATTTGTTTGTGTTGCATTTAGTTATGTACAGATGTATTGCATTTGTTTCACCTTGCCTGCCTAAGGCATCTTATTGGTTGAATAAAGAGCTGAATGGCCAATAGGTAGGCAAGAGAAAAAAATAGGCGGGGCTGGTGGGCAGAGAGAATAAGTATTAGGAAAAATCTAGACTGAGGGAGGAGATCAAGAGAAGACGTTGGAGACTAGAATGAGGAGAAAGAGAGGGACATGCCTGTGGCAAGAAGTCAGGCAGCCATAAGCCAGCCAGACTCAAGAAACAGTGAAAGTAAAATATGCAGAAGGAAGAAAGGTAAAAGCCTTGAGGCAAAAGGTAGATAAAGAGAAACAGGATAGTTTAAGTTGAAAGAGCTAGCCCAAAATGAGCCTAGGTTAAGCTGAGCATTCAAAACTAATAGTAAGTCTCTGTATCATGATTTGGGAACTGGCTGGTGGCTCAAAAAGAAAAAAGCCTAGCACATTCACACACTCACACAGCAACGTCCATTATATGCAATTACAGAAAGAGATGAAAGGGAAGATACGAAGGGATCCAAGGTTGCCAGGAACTGGTTCGAAGGAGGAGAGATGGATTTCAGTGAGACATGAGGGTTTTTCCATTGTTAGAACAGATACTGTGAAACTTGACAGCTGAGGCCACTAAATGAATTTGTCATAGAATTCTCCAGGAAAAAAAAAGGGGGAAGGAATCTTTACAGTAAAATGTGTACTTTCAAATTAAATATATAATTAACTCTATTACAGATAATAAAACAAACTTAAAATTCTAATTGTAGCATCTTACAGTGGCTGATAATTATTGCTTTTAGGAAATCATTTTTTTTTTTTACATTAACTTCTCTTTGCCACACCAAGAGAACAACTTCAAACACATTTCTGAAGAACTAAATTTTAATGTTACTAGCAGGGTCTAGAATACCGAGGGTGACCACATCTTCAGAAAGCAGCAGGTAACTCACAGTGTCACGAAATGAGTTGGGAACTTTGACAAGATCAGGAGGCTGCTGACTTACTTTTCATGAATTAATCTTTTAGTGTCCTCCCAGGTAGCTTCTAAGCGGTTTATCTCCCTATCTACTTCCGGGGCAAAAGCCATGTCCTTCTGAGCGATTTGTGTCGCTTTGTCTTTCAGCCAACGGAGCTCATGCTCATGGGAGTTTAACTCGTCCTCCAGCTGGTTGAATACTCGCAACCTGTGAATTCAAATGCTAGTTTAGTGCCAACCTACTGAGGCCATGAGCCAATGCTTCCTCTCTCTAACCACCTGAGCTCAGAAAGCACGTCTTAACACAGCTAGCAAAACTCTCAACACAGCAATTAAACTAATGCATATTAACTGATAGAGACTTTTGAAACAGAGAAGCCATCTCGAAAAAACAACAACAAAAATTACTTTTGTAAATGACTGTATATCCAAAGATACTGAAAATCACCCTTACTGTTCATTTTCAATATTTTATTGAACTTTTACCTTCTCCTCTTTTCATTGGTAGAAGGGTTCTCAAAGAAGGCTAACTTTATAGGCCAAGGAGGTGAATTCTTCTTTTGCAAGGTCATCATAGGACATCTTTCTGAGCTCTGGGGTCCAGGTCACATAAATAATTATATATTGGTATTACAGTTGTTTCATTTAAAATCAAAAGAGCTCTACCAAAGCTCTATGAAAAATATCTATTAAAAACCTACATTATAGCCAGGCGTTGGTGGTGCACGCCTTTAATCCCAGCACTCAGGAGGCAGAGGCAGTCGGATCTCTATGAGATCACCTCGAAGCCAGCCTGGTCTCCAGAGCGAGTGCCAGGATAGGCTCCAAAGCTACACAGAGAAGCCCTGTCTCGAAAAACCAAAATAAATAAATAAATAAATAAATAAAACCTACATTACCTCCTTTAATAAAAGATTACTGTGAGAAAACCTGATTTTGTGTCCCCTAATACACAATCATTTGTGCCTCTGTAATATGTGGCCCTACAGGAGGCCACTGACCCATCAGTACATTTTGGTGTTGTACTATAATGTATAATATGACTCTATTCCCAAAATGGCTGCATGCGAATGTCCCCCATTCTCTGCACCTTGCAAGCATAGGTGCAAGGTGCCTACAGCAAGCATTACAGGGAGGCTTCCATATATCCAAGACTGGGTAAATCTGAAAATTTATTGTAACCTCAGCCAGTGCATGCTTTTGAATGGATTAGAGATGTTGGCATGGCTTGGAGCCTAGTTTGGGGCTTTGTCTCCAGAAGCCTGAGGATGCCCCATCTACTTGGCTGGAGCTGGCCAGCGAGGGTTAATGCTGTCTTGCCTTCCCAATGCTGCTGGTAGCTTCTGGGATGAGCTACAGAACACAGCTCTGTCCCTCTTTTCTTGGAAATTTAACTTTCTCAAATCTTAGTCTTTCTTGTTGATTTATTGTTAAACTTATCCGATATCACATCAGATGAGAGAAGAGGCCTCTGTAGCTCTGATGTAAACCACATTCCTGTCTTGGCTTCCTGTCTGGTTGTGATTAGAATGGGATGAATGACAGTGATCTTGGCAGAGACAATGATCCTTGTCAACTATGGACATTGGTGCAAAGTGCACTCAAAGTTTCCCTGCCTTCAAAGCCAGGGACTGATCTCAAGCTCTTGAGTAGGGACAGAGTTTTATTCACAAAATAAAAGAAGATTGTACTGGAGTCTACAGTCGCAGATGAAAATCACTTCTAAATTTACTAAAGGAACTAAGGTTCCTTTGCTTCTCCACTGAACACTCCAGAAAAAGACCCAACTTTGCTGGAACCTTCTTGTCTGCCTCCTGCTTCCCTCCAGGCAAGAAATTAAAAAGCAGTTGTGGAGAATCACTTAGTCAAGCTGACTGATGTCACTTTAAATGAATGAACAGGGACCTCAGAGGGCCACCTGCCTTTCTGCTGAACTGCTCATTGCAAGGGAGAACCATTTCATCTGCTTCCTCTCCTCTGCCACTTGTCTTCTACTCTCAAACAATGAGCTTGCTCCAGTCCTTACTGAAGCATTAGTAGCCTATGTCTGCAGGGAGGAATTTGCTGACCCTTTCATATCAAAACCACACATTTATGTGGGTCTCTGCCCCAGTTGTTTCATTTTTATAATGACTAATTCTATGTGCATGTATAAGCACTTGCACATATCTATTGTACTGTGTGTATGTCTAGTGACCAGAAAGGTTAGAAGAGAGTGTCAGATCCCCTGGGACTGGAATAAGAGCTCAGGTGGTTGTGTGGCTTCATGGAGGTGCTGACAACCAATTCCTTCCCTGCCCCCCACCGCCCTGTTCTCTGCAGGATCAGCAGGTGGTCTGAACTGCTGAGCCATCTCTCCAGCCCCTCTGCCTGCATTCTTGACAGTAAGAAACTGCTTGCAATAGATAATAGGATGGGCAGGCAGTGTTGGTGCATGCCTTTAATCCCAGCAGAAGCAGGGAGATCTATGTGAGTTTGAGGCCAGCCTGATCTACAGAAAGATTTCCAGGAAAGCCAAAGATACACAGAAAAACCCTGCCTCAAAAAACAAAACAAAACAAGCCCCCACAATAAGATAAATAAATATAAAAATGAAAACAAAGAAAAAAAACAATAGGTAATAGGATGTATGGGCCTCATGCAGGTAAGGTCTCAGAGTGTCCATACATACACTGTCTTTAGGAAGGTCCTTAAGGAAAACAAAGACATTTTAACAATTCCCAAGTGTCACATTTACCTTCCAGGGAAGGGGGGCGATGACACAGAAAGACAGACAGAGACAGCGAAGAGAGAAAGTGGCCCACATAGAGCACGATTAACTCTTTGTAGGAAAATAAATTTCAGAACAAGCAAAGCAGAAGAGAGCAGCATCCATCAGGTTTCTGACCTGTGCTGCAGGGCCTGGCGGGTGGGCTCCTTTAAGCGCTCCTTGTCGGTCCTCTCCTCGATGTCTTCAATGCTGCTCAGCAGCTCTTCTTTCTGCTCATGGAAAGCCTTTTTCAACACTGCCAGGGCATCTGCCTCACCCTGCTTGGTTCCCAGAAGGTTCTGGACCCTCTCCACCTCTAAAGAGAGCTGCTCAGCAGTGGCTCTGCATGAGGTCCTTTGCTGGGTGCTCCCGCTTTTCAGGTGGTATTGGGCTTTGGTCAGGATGCCATCGAGACTGATGGCGCTGGATTCTAATGCTTTCACGTCTTGAATAGCATCACTAAGGTCTTTCTTTAGGGAGTCTGACTGCTTCTTGCTCATGCTTTTGGTGGCTTCCACCGTTTGCCTGAGCTGGTGAAGGAGAGTGGACGCAGAAGCATGGCTCTGGAGGAATTCTGCTAGCTGTGTCAGAGCCAGCTTCCGCCTCTCCACTACCTGGTTGGCCTCCTCAAAGAGCTGGAAGCAGTCATCAGCCTTGATCTGGAGCAGATGAAGGTCCTCGGCTCTGCCCAGGGACTGCAACTTTGCTATGTGTCCTTGCAGACTCTCTGCTTCTCCCCTCTTCTTCTCGATTTCTGCAGCGTGGTCCTGAAAGGGAAGAGAACCTCTGATTCTCAGACACACTACAGTTATTTCAGATAGACAACAGGCTTTGTGTTCTCGAGGTAGATAGTACATGCCACGGATAATGGAGCATGCATTTATTATTTATTTATATGTCTGTGTATGTGTGTGTACTTATTCGTGTGTGCCTTGGTTTGCACGTGTGTATGCATGTGGAGGATAGAGGTCAATGTTGGGTGTCTTCCTCAACTGCTCTCCCCTTTATGGTCTCTGGGAACCTTAAGGTATCTGATTGGGTGAGACTGGCTGGCTAGGAAGCCTCAGGGTTCATCTTATCACTGCCTCCTGGAACCACTACCATGCTGAAATTTTACATAAGGCTGGAGAGAAAACTCTGCCCCTGGCACTTGGATAGCGTTTTACTGACTGAGCCCTTTCCTCAGCCTTTAGCTTAGCAGTTAGAATTCATCCACGGGGTGCTGAAGAAATGGCTCAGTGGTTAAAAGTGATCTGTGACCTTTCAGAAGGCTCACAACTGTCTGTGACTCCATCTCCAATAGATCCAATGGCCTCTTCTGGCCTCTGTGGGCAGCTGTATTCACATGTACACACACACATACACACACACACACACACACACACACACACACACAATTAAAAATAATAAAATAAATATTTTTTTAAGTTATCTATAGCAAAGCTTTCAGAAACATTCATAAGTGTTTCCGTTTTCCTCGTCTGTGCATGCGATGTAGAACACAACTCTGTTTTAGTTACTTTCCAGTCAGATCTATGTTTTATTTGAGTGTAGGATTTTGACCATCTCAGATTATATAACATGTTTAAAGTCCAACAAAAGATTGTCACCAAAGCTCCCACCATAGAGAGACCATTGCTTGTTTTAATCTTAACCATAATAGCTTTAGATAGTTCCCAGCTTGACAATTAAGCCACTTCTTCTCACTCCAGACCCCTGACGTCCTCTGTATTTAGAGATTCTCCTCTAGAAAGCCTGCCCAAGTAAGTCCATACTCTCCGCTCCTTTGTGATGTCAGTCTTTTGAAATCCCCTGGTTTGGGTCAGCTGGAGAACCTGCCAGCCATGCCTGTGAAGTACTGCAGTCAGAAAGCTTCTCTGGCTGTGGCTTTGCAGTGCCCTGGGCTTCCAACTTGAGCCTTCCATCAGCTGAAAAGCTCTCCCCTGTCCTGATGACTGGAAGGTTTGCTTTTCCTTTCTTAGAGGGGGGCATATACAGCCAGCAAAGAATAAACACGCAGAAATTATCAAATGTTTTACATGGATTCTATATAGAAACTCTAGTATCTCTATATCCGATCAATAACCGATTTTGAGTTTTAATAACACCCAATAGATACCATTTGTAGTTTATAAATAAGGGAAATTATCAGTAATTCATGAATTTGGAACCATTTTCATACTAAGGAGATAAATCAGAAAAAAAAAAAAATGAGCGGTTAAAACACTGGAATTTGTAGCAGTCTTTGGTTTTGGACCAAAACAAAATAGAAAATCCAAAAATAGAAATTCCTAACATTTTATGCTACAAATGACAGGGTTTTTTTTGTTGCTTTTGTTGTTATTGTTGTTTTGTTTTGTTTTGAGTTACCCAGCTATTTTACCTGAAGTGATTTTTATCCGCTTAATCTACCTGCTCAACACAGTGGCTGGGTCCATAAGTTCAATTATTAAGCCATTTTCCCAATCAAGCAAAAAAAACTAACTTGTTGCCATGTACGTATTGCCATGTAAGAGTGTCATCCCTTTGAATTCAAAGCCCTTCTCTTCTGAATACATCTGTTTTCTGTCTTGAGAGGTTAACCCGTTTTACCTTGTGCCGAGTAAGAGCCACTTGGTGGTCCAGTAAACTGATCTCTGAAGTCCTTTGTAATTCACTGAGAAATTGCTTAATCCAGACAGAGAAAGAAAACAGTAGCTCATCAAAGTGTTGGTGTTCAGCCAGCACTGCCTGGAGGAAGTGCATCCTGTGGGGAGAGACGGGTATGAAACAGTTGGCTATGAACAGAATGGTTTTTGCTATACTTTGGGAAAGGACTTTACCCCCTGAGCAAAGCAAAACAGTTATACAGAGACAAGCCAGACCTCTGGTTATATTCAAATCCCCAAGCCCTGTCTGTCTCACGGTTTTCCTGGTCTCGGTGAACCACTGTCCACTCTGGTGCGTTGTTCTTCCTCTCTGTGCTTCGCCACCGCGTCACCATTCCTGAGCTGTGCCTGCTGCCCCAGCAGCATCAACACCACAAGGAGAGTGGTGTCTCTCCCTGTGCCCTATCCCACCTACCTCTAGTCTAAGTCCCTTCCGCTCTTGCCAGGTTTCTAGAAGCACCCTAAACTGGCAGCCTTGCTTTTCCCATACTTACCCACTGCCTACATTCAATGTGACAGCCAGACATAATTTATTGGATTAGAGAATTCCTGTTATGTGTTCATAGCACTTCCTGTTAGATCTAGGAAGACAAACTCCTCAGAGCTCATGACTGTGCCATAGCAGTGTCCTGCCTGATCTCTTTCTCTGGGCTCAGCTGATAAAGCCTACCTACAATCCCACCGATCTCTTTTGTACATGTCCATTCATTCCTGCCTTCGAGTCTTTGCACATTTGCTCCCTCTCCTGTGTGTGGGTCCCCAGAGCAACATTAGTCTGCTCTGGTATACCACTTAGATGTGTCTGAAGTGCTATGTTGTCTTAGTGGTATTTATCACCAGAAACAAAACAGATTCTTTGGTTCATTTGCTTAATGATACATTTATCTCCTCCAACCCAGTCCTGCCCCTCTTCCCACCACACAAATGCAACAACTTTATTTGTTTTGCTAGCTACAGAACTGAAAAAGAGGCTTGGTGAATTTTCAGAGACCAAGCAACTTATAAAGTAAGTGAATTAATTAGTTGATTAATAATAGGTTACTGAGATCAGAATCCCAAACTGGAATTAAAAACAGTAACCCCCAAATACTAATATGCATTACAGTAGTGTGCATCCAGAGTTTATCTACATACTGTCTTTATATTCTAGTTAGCTTTAATGTGATTGTTAATTGACTTAGGAGAGCCTACTGTGGGTAGCACCATTCTCAGGCAGGTGACCCTGGGCTATATAAGAAAGCTAGCTGAGGGCTACCGTGTCAGTGAGCCATCGAGCAGTGTTCCTCCATGGTGTCTGCTTCAAATTCCTGCCCTGACTTCCCTCAGTGGTGGACTGTGACTTGGAAGTGTGAGCTGAAATAAACCCTTACTTCTCCTAAGTTTGCTCATCACAGAATTTTATCGCATGGAATATATTATGGAACAGGAAGCAACAGGAACACCTGGCATGTACTTTCAATGTCTTCACTCACTTGTGTCAGTTAAAATTCCTTCCATTCTGTCTGGGAGTTAGAGAACAGACCCTGCTCTGTTTTAAGGGACACTTCTTGACTCTGAAGAGTTGTCATTGATTTTTCTCTGTGCCTTTCCTGTTTGTGTTCTGACAAATAAAGCTTGCCTGGAGATCGGAGGGTGGAGCTAGCCACTGGTTAACCATAGAGGTCTGGAGGTCTATACAGACAGACAGGAAGTGATAAGGCAGGGCAGAGACAGGAACTCAGCCCATTTTTGTTCTGAGGAGTCAGAGAGGTAAGAGGTGACTGTGGCTGGTCCTTTACTTCTCTACTCTTTCAGCTTTTACCCCGATATCTGACTCTGAGTTTTTATTATTAAGATTAATTAGGATCTTGCATCACTTTCCCCCAGCCACCCAAGCATCCTGCTTCTTCTTCCTGTGGTCCTCTGTGCTCATCCCTCTCATGGATTTCTTCTTATTGCCATCTTGATTTTAAAAATACTCAAGGTTAAGTTTTGTCCATTTTAATGGTGCCTGGCATGCAGCAGGTACCCTGTTAACATCTGTTGTTTGATTGAGCAAATAAAAGATAACAATGAAGCAAACACAGACACTATGAAAGTGGAGAATGATCTCCATGCCTAGAAACAGAATTTCATTTCAGAAACCCAATGAACAGTTGCTGAGTAGGTAAACTCTTTAAAGACTATGAAGCTTGATGGTTACCGGATATTTGATCATACTGTGAGCCCCAAGTTTGTGTTAATTAAATAAAACCTTGGATCAGGAGGCAGAACCTGAAACTAGTTGATAGGGAGTAGCCATAGAGAGTTAGAAGGAATAAAGAAAACAGATAAACACAAAGAAAGTAGTAGGGAGGGACTTTGAGTTTGGTGGTCTTTTCTGGTTTGGGACCTCAGAAGAGATAAATGCTCTTTTGTTGGGTCACTGGCTAAGGAGGAAGGTCAGCTGTTGCTTCTCAGACTCTCTGAGCTTGCAGGTTTCACCCCAGTATCTTGACTCCTGAGTCTTTACTGGTAAAATAGAATGATAAAGACTCAGTTAAAAACTGCATTTGGCTGCAGAGGCCTGGGGGACCTTCTGTGTCCCATGGGCAGTGATTGCAGAGCCTCAGTCAGTAGCTGAAAAAGCAGTAGATTCTGGTGCACCCATTGTGCTGACAATAAAACCATTGGTAATCAATACCAATTACAGACATGCTTTCAGTTAGAAGGATCAATATGCCAAATATTAATACTCAACTTAATTAAGATTTCATCTATTTTCACCTCCATTTAATGCAACAACATTTTACTTTGTTCCTCCAAATGTGTAGATTGGAGTGATAGGGAGGAGTAGTTGTGTACAAAAACACTTCTGGTTGCTAAATAAATAACACATGAAACAAAATATTAGTAAGTATTTTATCCCAAATACAATAAACAATGCAAATAGCAGCAACCTTCTGTATTCAATGTTTTTGAGTTGGGTTCATCGTTTGGCCCTTTGTAAGACCGATGCTTTGAGTTCAGGCTCACCAGCAATGTCACTTCTGAAGACATCCTGGATTCTAACATGATAGACAGAGTAGTTTTTCATCTCTTTTATAATCTTTCTCAAACAGCCACACCGTTCACCCCTGCAGACAAATGAGCATCATTCGAGGCTCTTTTGTGAAGAACCAACCTTTTGCTGATCATCTGGGGTAAGGCGCTCCAGCGCTCATCCAGCTGTTCCAACTGCAGCTTCATTGTTGCCACATCATCTTTGGAGGCTGCTGTGAACAAGGTTGCCTTCAGCTGCAGGAGGTTGCTGTAGTGGGAGGCCTGGGACTCAACTTCAGTTTGCAGAGCCTGAAGGATGTAATGCAAGACAGGCCTCACTCTACCAGGGCTGACTAGAGGATAGAGATTTTGTTTTTTACTTGGTTTGTCGTTGGTTCTAGGTCACCATTGACACATTTTCAAAGATGATTTTGAGACCTGTGGGGTTTTTTAGTGTCTGAGTATCAGTTAGGCACATTTGGAAGCTGAGTGTCCCTTACAATGAGGTAACTGAGTAGACAGAGAATTAAGGAAAATCTATTGCAGAAGAGATCACCATGCTGTGCTTCTAGCTTAAGTCAGGATGCCATTCCAGGCACTGGGAATATGGTGCTGCTGTATGTTAGGGACTTTATTAAGCAAAACTGAAGGACTGAAGGGGTGTTCATTTTACTTGCATACAATACAACTGCTTTATTTTTATTTTTGATGATTAGGTAAAGAACTTCTAGGGTGCTCTATGGCCATGAGAACCTTTGGCTCTTGCTAATGAGAAAAAAAAATCAAAGATGATGGCAGTTGACAGTAATTAAAATGATCAGGAGTGAGATGACAAAGCATATAGTAAACACTCATCAAGAGGTTTCTTTTGCTTCCCTGTGAGGCCTCACACAGGGTGGATACAAAGCTGTAGAGGCAGGGGAGGATGGAGCACCCTCCCAAGATGACAAGGAGGACTCTCAGCAGGTACTAGGCTCAAAGCTAGGAAAGTTGCAGGAGAGGGAAGGCCTGGGAAGCAAGGGCAGAGATGAGCAGCATTTGTCAGGCCACAGTGGAGGTGAGACTTGGCTGACACTGCATTATTCAGACCCTGTGACAGAGGCCTGGGACCTCTCCTAGTCTTCTCACTGTCTGGCACTTGTTCATTTGTATGGCTTCAGTATTTGGTATTGCACCTGCCTCACAGCAGGCACCCAGTCAATATTTTTTTCTTCATTGAACAAATGGAGGAATTAACAATGAGATTAACACAGGCATCACCAAAGTGAGTTGTGGATCTGTGCTTTTGTTTTTAGGGAAAGGAGCCATGGCTTTCCTTCTGGAACCACCTTTCCTCACTTGTAAAAGCTCCAACTGAGCTGTGAGCCACGTCACCCTGAGGGCAGTCCCAGGGTTTCTGGAAAGTGACTTTTGGGAAGATGAAGAGCATTCAAGCTTCATAAGTTAGAGTGGGAAAGGCCAAGAGGCATGGCATCCTTCTAAAGTCAGGGAGGGAAAAAGCAGGGGCAAGCAATGGGTTTAGACACTGTAGGTTTCTCAGGTGGACAAACAGGAAAAATATGAAACTAGCAGGCCTACTTCTTTTGCTGGTTACACTAAGGGGTGATGGGGAAAGTGTAGCTATGAGTCTGTAGTACAATAAATCTCTTTTCAGAAGCAATTTTGCCTGCTGACTTTTCTGGCCTGGACAGCATCTTCCAAACATTATTAATATCCCAAAATCTGCAATACTGTATGCAGCTTCAATAATGAAATCTTTTTTAAGTTTAGAATATTGGCTTCTCAAGGATATTTTAAACCACGTTGTCTTTCTATCTTCCTATTGGGGATTCATTTTTTTTTTTCTGTCTTGAATATAACAATGACTCTTGATTTCTTTTTCCATTCTACTCTTTGTTTTTTCAAAACACCTTTTGTTTTGTTTAAACACCAATGATCAAAAGTGGAGCAATTATATTTGCTGCCAACACCCCCCATCTATACATTTCTTACTTGCTCCATTCTTCTGGAATGCCAGTTATATTCAGGTGCTACCCAGTGTATGGCAGGGTTTTCAAAGACACCATGGACACAAGTCATCACAGAGTTCCCATTGGTACCATGTCTGTGAGCCAGAAGTATGTTGTGGAATATTATTTTAACTAAGCAAAGATGCCATACATTTGTTCATGCTGCCGAATATTACTTTAACTGTGTGAATGTGTGTTACATTTGTTTCTGCTGCCTTTGTTAACAATGTAAAGATGTGTTGCATTTGTTTAATTATTAAAAGATGCGTTGCATTTGTTTCACCTTTCCTGCTTAAGGCATCTGATTGGTCTAATAGCCAGGGGTAGAGGAATAGGCAGGACTGGTGGACAGAGAAAATAAGTAGGTAGAGAAATCTAGGCTAGAGAGAGAAGAGGGGAGAAAATGGAGGAGAAAGAGAGGGACATGCCTAGGGCCAAAATCCAGGAAGCTGCCAGACAGACAGACACGAGAAGCAGTGCAAGTAGGATATACAGAAGGAAAGAAGGGCAATAAATCCCCAAGGCAAAGCTGGGCATTGGTGGCACACACCTTTAATCCCAGCACTTGGGAGGCAGAGGCAGGCGGATCTCTGTGAGTTCGAGGCCAGCCTGGTCTCCATAGCGAGTGCCAGGATAGGCTCCAAAGCTACACAGAGAAACCCTGTCTCGAAAAACCATCCCCAAGGCAAATCATAGATAAGGAGAACCAGGTTAAGTTATAAGGGCTAGCAAGAAGCGAGCATAAGATAAGACCAAGCATTCATGACTAATAACAAGTCTCCATGTCATGATTTGGGAGCTGGTTGGTGGCCAAAAAGAAAGCCTGTTAGAATAGTGGTCTCTTTGTTTTAGTGCATCTTGATGTCAAATGGTGCTTTCAAGATGGTTATGTGACTTGGATATTTAATTAATAAACTAACTTTAAAATGTAACCACACAAGCCCACCCCATTCCCATCCTTGCCCTGTTTGAACTTGCCTGTATTAACTGGAGTTCACTCTCTATTTTGACTCTGTCTGCAGAAATGTCTTTTTCTGGTGAACTGGCTATGGCTTCACATCTCTCTAACCAGGTCAGAAAGGGTGACAGTCCCTTCTCCAGTCTAAAGAAAGAGAAAAAGAGACATGTCTTCATCCAAGATGATTACACTAGAAGACAAAATCTGTAGGTCAGCAGGTCCAACACGAACTGTTAGAAGAGGCTGTTTTATTCCTGAATACCAAAGGGATTAACCTCATTTATTTTCATGTTAACCCTCACACTTGTTCACATCTGCACAATATGTTAAGATACATATACTTCCTCTCTACTCTCAGGTCTATGTCTCAATGAATAGTAGACATCCAAGTTCACTAATCTCATATCCAGGGTGACTCTTTCCCACCACTTAGAGAAGAGCTCAGCTGGACTCTCCTATCTACCATGGAGAGCAAGCCAAGAGGTAACACTGCTGACCTTTGCCAGTGGGCCAGCAGGTCCTCCAGTGCCTTCTGTCTCTCTTTGGCCTTGTGTAGTATCTCTTCATACTGCTGCTGTAGGGCCACAGCCTCATGCATGCAGGACTCTCTGTTGACCACCTTCTGGGCACTGGCTGAGAAAGTGGTGACCGTGCTGTTCAGAGACTCCAGGGCCTGACAGAGATCCTGAGGAGAGAGCAGACGAAACACAGGAGCTTACTAATTCACAGGAGTTGTTGGCCAAAATGATTTACAGTAACTGCAAATGCAGATGGCACCCTAGGCACCATATATTTTCTCTATACCCATGTCAAGTTTAATTATTTATAAACTAAGAATGGCAAGTGACTAACAACATAAACTCAGACAGAACCATTGTTAGTTATTTCCTGTGATTGAGATGGTTAGTACTGGTTGCCAACTAGATCGGATCTGCAATCAACTAAGAGACACGCCTGTGGGTGGGTCTAGGAGGATATTTCCTGGGAGGATTAACCCTCCAGGAGCACTCCTGATATAAGGAAATCTGAGGGAAAAGTTGTCTCATTTTGCCTTTCCACCTCTATCCTTTATTGTTGAGAGTACTCTGAGGTTGCTTCTCCTGCATCCTTTGCCTTCCAATAAGGAAGACAGTGGCTCTTCAGCATCCTCCAAACCTTCAATGCCTGATTAGAACTACAAATAGTCCTGAGGACTAAACAGTTATAAGGTTCACAGCCACTGCAGTGTGCAGACAACCACGCTGGACTGTCCAGTGTGCATCATGTGAGTCAGCCTAGAAAATTCCCTTTGTGATATACACACATCCTGTCAGGTCTTCTCCTGAGTAATGAAAGATATTCAAAAGCTATGAGGTACTTATTTCTAGACTTCTTACTTTAGTATCTTTAACCTGTGGTTGACCTCAGGTAACTGAAATTCCAGAAGTCAGAAGGGTGGTGGAGGGAGACAGCTGGATAACAACAACAGCATGGCATGAACAGTGAGGCCCACTTTCCAGTGAGACCCATCACAACGAAACCTTTTCCTTCAGTTGAAAAGGCCACCATAGAGTTCAACAAGTGAAGAGTGTCCTGCCATGATTGACAGCAAGACATTGCTTCCAGCATACAGAAATCTGAAAGGAGATGAACTTCCACACGCTGTGGCCTGTGAGATATCTCAGTGGGCAAAAGTACTTGCTATCAAGCAGGATGACTGACTTTGATACCCCTGACCCACACAGCAGAAAGAGAAAACTGATTTTTCTAAGTTGTCCTCTGACCTCTACACTACCCCTGGTAAGAAATATGTAAATGTAATTTTAATTTTTTTTAAATCATGAAATCTATGTTCAGGGCAAGATCATGTCTTAGGCATAACACATTGAAAAAGAGAATACAAGGCTGTACATTTGAACAACTCAAATCTAGACTTTGTGAAAATTATTAATTATATGCCACATATATGAAGCTTTTAAAATAATGTTCTCATATAAAAAACACATTTAAGGTGCTACTTTAATCTATGGAAATATATACAAAGATTCATAGGTGTTATTTTGGGAGCCAGGGATGATGATAATAAAGAAATATAGTAGGAGTTACACTATGTGCATTGCAAGTGTTAATTTAATCCATGTTTTATTTATACTTTAATATCTTTTTGTATTTCTGTGTGTGTGTGTGTGTGTGTGTGTGTGTGTGTGTGTGTGTGTGTGTGTGTATGCATAGTTAAAAAATATTTGGGAATTAAAATTCAAAAAAATCCTGAGGTATTTTAAATTTGTTTTCTATTTTCTTATTAGAAACTAAATGTCTTCCTCTAAAATATAAATGTTGGAAAACCAGAATGTGATCTTTTCTGGTATTCCAACATTAGATGAATGTTAAAAGAGTCAAATGTTAATGTTTTGTTAAGATAACCAAAATATTATCAAATTGGATTTTCCTACTTTATCTTTCTTGCTGAAGTGTTCAAGTCCTAGAGATCCTACCATTCTTTCCAGATGCGCGTTTGCTGATCATTTGTTTGTGTGCCCTCGGTTCCCTTCCTCCTTCCTCTGTAATGGAGACAAGCATGTTGCATGTATGTTCATAAAGCAGGAACTGAGTATGTTGTTTTGCTCATCAGCTGACGTGTTTCCTGTTAGAGTTTGTGTGTGTATGTGTGTGTGTGTGTGTGTGTGTGTGTGTGTGTGTGTGTGTGGACAATTCTCTACTTTTGAATCTTTCCCCACATTCTTCTTGGGCTGGTAGTTGTCTTGCTGAAGACTGACAGTGCTCTGCAGTTATGTAGCCAGGCCAGAAGGCCAGTTCTCAGGGATCTTTTAGGGAGGACAGATTCTCTCACATCGAAATGGGGCTGGTTAGGGTTTAAATCTGCTCTGCCCACGTTATCTTTTCTTGTACATAAAATAGTGAAGAGGGGGGAAAGGGATTCATTAAAGAGATAATCTGAAAACATCACATATTCTGATGAAAAAAAGACACATATCTACATATACATACATATATGATGCACATTTACACATCATGTATATCTGTGTGTGTGTGTGTGTGTGTGTGTGTGTGTGTGTGTGTGTGTGTATGTGGTGTTTGTGGTATGCAAGTGTGTGTTTACATGGGAGGGTACACACATGCAGAAACTCAAATTTGAGGTTGGGTGTCTTTCTCAATCACTCCCCACCTTGTGAATTGAGGTAGGATCTCTTCTGAACCTGGAGTTTTCAGCTCTGACTTGTCTAGCCAGCTGTCCTGCCCCTGCCATCCTGTCCCTGCCTCTTGAGCATTACAGAAGGCCATTGTGCCTTCCCTGATTTCCCATGGGTGCTTAGGATCCAACAGGTACTTACGTACAAGTGCTTTATCAATTCACTCATCTCTGCAGCCCGATAAATATATTTTAAATGACTATCCAATATATATTTTATATATGGGATATATAGTGGTATACATAATATATATGGGAACTAATTTGCATACTCAGATGTCTTGTTATAAGAAATGACTATGTTTGAACCATTTAATTCCTCAACTAGCATAAAATATTTCCAATTTTAACTCTCGAAATATTTACTGTTTTCTATTCAAGTAGGAGTCACCAAATTTTTGAGTGGATAAATATGAAAAAAGTGTGGCCATGCACTCTCACCATATGCTCTTGGAGAACTTTGTATGTCTCTGCAACTGAGGAACATATTTTAATAGGATCAGCCAGCCTCTCTGCAAATTCAGACACAGATTGCCCAATCTAAAAAAAAATGGTGAGACATAAAAATAATTTAGGATACGTAACAAGGGAGAGGAGGTTATCGAGGACACAGCACCCTTTCTGTTGTGGATGAGTATTGCATTTTTAAAAAGGCATCTTAATACAATCCAAAATTGAGAGGTAGGTTGGAGCTACAGGCCCTGAGCAGCATCAAGGGAGCCTCAAACTCAGATCTGGGAGCAAGGAGTGATCTCCAGGTGAAGCAACAGCCGCACTTAACAGCTATAGCTTCCAGAAACTATTGCGAAATGCTCCCTGGGAAAGAGCACCTGTGTCTCAGCCAACATCCACTGCCATTTCTCTGTAGGGCATACCCCGCTACTACATTGGCTCAGCCCCATCTACACCTCCAAAGAGGGGTTCATCCACTGGAGCTGTAGCCCCACCTGCACCTCAAGGAGTGACCACCTGAGCATTGGGCCCACTTTCACCAGGAGGAGTGTTCACCGGAAGCTCTGCTCTACTTGTGCATGAAGGAGCGGTCACCGGAGCCACAGGCCCCAACTATACCAATTGGAGAAAGAGAGAACCCCTGAAGCACAAGACCATGACGGGGAAACTCACAGAATCAGCTGACCTGAGTTAGTGAGAAATCGCTGACTCCGGTCTGACAACTGGGGAACTTGCATAAGACCTAACTAGACTCCCTTAATATAGGTGACAATGGTGTGACTGGGACAATATATGAGGCCACTGGCAGTGGGCCCAAAACCTAATATTAATGCACAAACTGACCTAGTGAGGCCCATTCTATATGCACAGCCTAGACACAGGGGTGAGGGGGTTGGAGAGGTGCCTTGGCCCTGCCTCAACTAGATGATGGGACAGACTTAGTAGACTTACTAGGGGAGGCCTTACCCTCTCCATGAAGCAGATGGGAGTATGAAGGGGAGTAAGAGAGTAGGAGGAGATGAGAGAGGGGCAACTGGGATTGGAATGTAAAAAATACATTAATTAAAAAATAAAATCTAAAATCATTGCATCTTATTTGAAAGAACAAGTATTAAGACTTAACCTTAACACAATGTATAATGACATATGTACATCCCAAGGGTACCGTATAAAGAATTCTGGATGTAGTTAAAAACCCCTTGTTGGGTTGTTAGCATGTGGTCTTTCTTTATTGCTCTCTTTCTGGAGTGTTTATTCCACTTACATATATTAAATATTTAGCTTGCATGGAACACTTCTTACCTTTATCAGATTCTCTTCAAACTTTTGCTGCTGTGATAAATGCCCCAGGATCGTCCCTTCCAGGCCCCGTGCATGCTCTCGGAGTTCCTCCCAGTATCTTCTTATTTGTGTTAACTTGGCTTTGATGCGAGCAGACTCTCCAGTGGTGACAAACTGAGCAAAGGACTGAGCTTCTTCTTCTAACCCTACAATGCTGTCGATTTTACTTTCCGTTTCCTGGATTGTGACCTAACATTTAAAACAAGAGAAAACGTCAATGTGGGCTGAATAGGCTTGCCTTCATGAATGACAGATCAGCAGTAGCGCCTACCAGGACAGTGTGCTAAACTGACATCTAAACATACTGGGATCAGGGGCAAGCAGCTGCAAACAAATGGCACCTGCTTCCTGAGCACATTTGTGGAGAATAGATGCATAGAAACACATGAAAAGTGCAAAGCAGTGGTGGTTGTGTTGGCTGGATGGAGAAGACAGAGGAACTGCTACTTCTCATGATGAAATAAGCAAGAAGCTATCCTGGTGCTCTCACAGTGCCTCTGAAGACAGAGGAGTGAGTGTGTGGTTTCCTCATCCATTAACTATTAAAGGTCAGCTGATCTGAGAAAGCTGCATGTTCTAGGAGCTTACTAAAACAATAATATTTGCATGTGTTTAACTTTTCCAAATGTAACTGAGTATGCTGTATTTACTAAACCCTTTCCAATCACACCTGAAAACAGCCTTTGAGAAGTGATCATTTATTTCTTAGGCTAGCAGTTTCTCACTATGTAACTCATCAACATATTAGCTTCATCAATGGCCAGACACACATGGTCTAAGAATTTTAATATCTGACAGATTCTCATAGAACCCGGGACTTCACTGCTTTCTTCCTTGTCTAGGTACTCTACAGAAAAATAACGTGTATGTGTCATCCATTTAATCTGGGATAGACAATATACTTTATATAATATTATCCAATGCAGGAAAAGAACTGAGAGCAACTCAGGATGTGTGCACATATGTGTGAGCCACAGTGGAAGGGGAGAGGTCTCATAAACACAACAAAATGCAAGTCATTGCTCTAAGGAGGGGTGCAAACAAACAAAATAATATGAAAATATTAAATGTAAAATACAGTTACCCTAGAAAAGAAAAATGTGTGACTTTTGTTGAGATGAGACAACTGGAAAGAGCCCATGTCACCTTAAAGTCTGTTTGGCATGACTTTTTAATTTTCATTTTTTCATATGCATGGATACAGCAGAGTTCCTAGTAGACATTTGTTATCTGAGCATAAATAGTCTCTGTTCCCTTTGCTATTTTATTAGATTCCTTTTGAAAAATATACTCATAAGTTCAAAATGTGTATTGTCTAATATTCCTTAATAATTTGTCTACATAATCATACCACATAACATAAAGAATCTTATTTAAGAACAAAATTATGAGTTCTCAGCCCCATTCATGTCACCAACAGATTTGTAAACACAAGTCATGGAATTACATTGTGAGGTTCTAAGGGCGTGTGTGTGTGTGTGTGTGTGTGTGTGTGTGTGTGTGTGTGTGTGTGTGTGTATCCTATCATCCATAAGATGGAAAGTGAGCCAAGAATATGTTATTGCTATTTGTCAGTATTGACTTGGAAAAATATACAATGATGAACAAGAGTGGGCCTAAATTGCCTTTACAGCCATGCAAATGCTCTATTAATTTTAACGGCAAGCTTGATTTAAGGCAAAAGGATATTGTAAATATACTTTTAATCTTTCTGAATAGTTTAGCTATTTAAACCATCAGTTTGAAATTAGAATGTGAACCTTCTAATCAGTCTTTTGGATTCCACTCTGTTGTTGTTTCTATTTATATGTATCTTTTTTTGCTATTAATATATTCCAGGTAATTTTTGAAGTGCCATTTTGGATGTATCAAAATGTGTTTCCATTTTGATGGCAAGGAAACACACAACTGACTATATATTTAATGATTAAATATTTTGAATTTTTTTCTGAGGAATTGTATGACATCTGATAACTTTTATGGTCCAGAATTCTGTGAAAATACTAAATACTACAGTAAATGAATGACTGAAAAGAATAAAGTAGGTCATAAAGTGTTTTTTAATCCCTGGAAGGAGAAATTTCCAGGCCAAACAATTTAAATGTGGCATTTTCTTTTTCTTAGAATTAGTATTAAATGACTGCTTTTCACTAAAGAGTTAAGATATTTTGTGAATTTTATTTCAGGGCTTGGCATCTGCTCTCCTGGACAGGACAGAAGACAGCAGGCTGTGTTTGCTACGTCCTATGGATCTCCAGTTGCACAGGCTGCCTGATGAGCAAGAGCCCTGTTAGCTGCGTGCCCTCTTACCCTCCCACCCTGCACATGGCCATCACTCGTTCTGAGTCACAGCGAGGAATGTGTCCTCAGCTTGGCATTTACTGTATTATATTTAGTGGCAGAGGGGTTTTCCATTAAAAAAATGAACTGAGACAGCAGAAGGAAGCAGGTGAATCTGAACCTGTGTGGCATGAAATTATATAAAACAAAGAATGCATATTTAAAAGGCATATAAAGTTCTGAAGGAAGACATGGTGGGGGTTTTGGAAGGAGTTAGAAGGGAGACTAGCTGGTAGATATGATCAAAATTCATTGTTCACATGAAGAAAATTCTCAAAGAATATATATATATATATGATTTTCAAAAACATATATATACATATATTATTATTATTATTATTAAACAAAGGATGATCACTCCAGTCTCATGTTTCAATAATCTGATAATCTCATGATTTCAGTCCATATTTTTTAGCTGCTCTACTGGAGTGATCAGTGATGACTTGTATACCTAGTTCTTTTGGCAGCTGGAAAGCTAACACATCAGAATGACTGTCCAGGCAGCAAGACCATCAACGAAAACAATAAAACAACATGTCTAATGGCTTTCTCTATAGAAAGAAATCTTTCTAGCTCCCCCTTCTGGTTAGTAAAGGTAAATGCCACTAGTGCATTTTGGATAGGTGGAGAATGGGTTGTTTTGGGTTTTTGAGACAGGGTCTCACTATGTATCCCAGAGGGGCCTGGAACTCCATATGTAGATCAGGCTGTCCTTGAACTTGTGGCAATCTCCCCACCCTTACCTTGTGATTTCTGGAGTTATAGAAATGTACCACCGTGCCTGGCTAACACAACTAATATGTGAGTCTGACATTTGGAACAGTTCTTACAAAGAGCAGTTAGTTGTAGATGATGTATAAATGTGTGAACAGGGCACTCCAGGGGCATCAAACCAAAAATCAAGGAAAAGAATAATGCAACCATAAAAAATAGTTTAATGATATTGCACACAATGTTGACTTTGAATCTGTAAGACAGACAGTATGAACACACAATTTCATTTATGAAGTCTCATCAACCATGACCTCTTAGCTTGGCGTGAGTTTAACTTAAAAGAGCCACAGAAGAATGGAAGATTTGTCCTGGGATCAAAGAGCTTTTGGTGACACAAATGTAAGAGAGGTGTTCTTAAAAGAAGAGAGATTATAAGCAAAACGTGTGTGCAGGTCACCTTGATTTGGCTGATCTGCACGTCCAAGGCAGACGCAGAAGTTTCCAAGGCATTGAGCTCCTTTTCTTTCTCAGTTATCCAGATGGACAGGGTCTCAAAATTACTGCCAAAATGATCCCACTTGGTTTTCACCATTTCCATGGTTTTAATACTAAAATTAACCAAATTAAGTTAAAAAGCAGTATTTCCATAAAGAATAGCAAGACATTTTTTTTCCCTATATGTCACTAGGTGAAAGATTTGGGGGGATGTTTATGATTCTTTCAAAGCAGGAACTATTTGAGCAGAAAAGGCATACATGTGCGATCTGAGCTGCCTACCTGAGCCCAGCCTCCCTCTCTCTTCTGGGAACAGGCACTGGAGGGGGCAGTGCACACACTACATTGTGAGTGGAGCTGTGCTTTGAATGAAGTTCTGTGCTGGCTCCAAAGGGCGTGAGCCAACACGGTCCAGCTCTGCATTGAAGCATCTACCCTTAGTACTTAGAGTAGGGAACTCTCCCAGAACAGCTTTTGGGGTTGAATAGTTTGATGCATTGCCTTTACTTTGGAGTGTGGGGGGGTGCTACTGGGACACTTTATACTGAAATACTTTGGTAAAGTACATGTTTGTGAGTCAAGATAGAGCCACGGTCAAATCACAGGCTGCATAGCAGCACCTGCTGTCTTCAGCTCAGTAAAGCCTTTGGTTTATAACCCATAATATTGTCTGTGAGTCACAGGTCTACTTCAGTCTTTTGTCTTCAAAAGACTTGCACAAAGTCTCATTCATGAGCACCCTAACGATTTACAGGCAGCATTGGCTCTCTGTGCAGTAAGTCTAATGAATCAATTTCAACTGGAGAATCTCAGTTGGTATTAGCTCTGGATATGTAACCAGGTGAACACAGCTTTCAGTTGAGAAAGAAACTAGGAAATTAACACTTGAGCACTAAACTAACTGAAGTCCTTGGGTGAGGAAAAGTGACAGAGTATACCTGATTACAAAAGGCACTTGATACCAAGAACAAATATGGCATCAATTGATTGTCAAATTCAATAGTGTTACAGTCTCAAGTCTGAACCCTGTGTGTGCCTAATGCACTTAGCAGTGTAAGAAATGCAAATGCAATATAGCTTATAGTGCAGGTTTTTTACATAAAATTTAGCTTCAAGTGGGTCTTATAATCCTTTTAGAAGAAGCTTATTTTCTAATATAGTCTCACATTTGCTATTTACAGAGTTTTATGGAATTCAACAAATATAAAGCTGTCAATGTTTGAAGTCAGTTCAAATAAAATATTGATCAAAATTTAAAGATTAGGCAAATAGAAAATGTTCAAGGCAAGGCCTCAAGAGTACTAAAAACAGTTTTCATGTTCTGAAACCCTTCCTGTGCTTGCAGTCTTGTTTCTTGAGAGTCATGGACTATTTATTAGTCAGTGTGTCACTAAATAAAAATGTTAGTGATAGTACTTTAGAGAATATCAACTATGATATCAAAAGCTTATGTTCAAACTCTGTAGAAGGGTATCACAGGGACACAAAAGCATTTCCTCTTTTCATAGAAACATTAAATGTTTAAAACCAAGACAGAGTTTTGCAGGTAATTGCTGGAAGGGGATATATGAATCCATGATAAACTGAATTCTGAGGCACTCTGGACACATAGTGAACTTTGGGTTTGAGATATTTCTTCTACATGATGTGTGCTTAAGCCTAGAATCTGTTATCAGAATTTCTCCTCTTCTAATGGGTGACACTACAATAAAATAGTAAAAAAAAAAAAAAAAAGTAAATGTGGGTTTGTTTGGTTTTTTTTTTTTTTAGATTGCCTCTGCATTATATGAAGGCCACAAAAATGAATAGATATGGCTTAGTGATGAATATACCAGTTCAAGATGTAAACACCACATCGCTTGTATACTTTCGTTATTATGGGTACCAGGTCCTGAGAACCATTTTCTTTTGGACTGTGAGTTGCTTCCTCAAGATAGGTGCAAACATACAGACACCTGGAGATTTTTGAAAGACTGGAATAGGAGACACAGGAGAGACTGCACGGGATGTTATCCCAGAGAGGAGAGTTTAGAAGTTGTGAAGCACATACTCTTCTTCAAGAGTGTCTTCGAGCTTTTTGACCTGCTCCTTGATGGACTTGGCCTGCTGCTGAAGCAGGTGTTTATTCCGGGGCCCCAGTGGTATCTCTGAGGCTTCCTTGACAAGGTTCTCAGCCTGGGTGGCAATGCCTTCTGTCCGCTTAGAAAACTCCTAGAAAAACAAAACAAACAAACAAAAAACAAAGATGGCGGAGTTGCTAGGTGAACATTTTAAACTCTTGGATGCTGCACTCAAGCCGACTGAACATTCTTCAGAGATTGACCAAGACATGGTCATATTGTAGGGTGGATTCACATAGGTTATTTAGCAGCTTTGTTTAAATGTTTCCGAAAGCTCTTGTAGAATCGGTTTTCCACTTTCATGATTTGGGCCTATCATTCTGAATTCTGAGATACTTATAGCCATTAAATTATCCTCAGATATGTTCATTTACTATCATCTACTTCACAAAACAACCAGGAATTATTGATTCTTTGAGCTTAGGGACAGTAGATCTCTAGACTAACTGATAGAAAGACTTTTTAAAAAAAATCTAATTAGAGGGATATCTTATCTAACACCAAGGACCAGTAATTTTTCTTATGAATCTTTTTCTCTGGAGAAAGTGGTTATTATTTCACTGAGAAGTAATACAGTCTGTTTTTAATGCTGGGGAGTCTTACTTTATTTATATACACATACAATCTGTGGGAAAGGAGCTTGGGTCTTCCGCTTTGCAATTGAGACAGAAGCTCATGCATACCAAGCAGGTCACAAACACAAACTTCCTGCTGCACTCATCCTCCTGCCTCTACCTCTTGAGTGCTGCAATTGTAGGCATACACCACTACACTAGGTTTACCCAGCGAGCATCCAACCCAGAGCGTCCTGTGTGCTAGGTAGACTCTTCCAACTGAGCTGCATCCCCACTCCCAGCAGAGCTGAGTTTTGAATGAGTCAAGCCTGTACTATGACTCTGAATCACTTGTTTCCCCTCTTTGGTGAATTGCTTTTCAGGCTCTTTTGTGTGCATGTGAAATGTACATAATCACATTTTCTTCTGGAAGAGAACTCAGCATCCACCAGCAGATTCACTTTTAAGTGCCTTCGGCTGGCAGGTACCAATTATCATCTTTATGTCTTTCATTTGGACAGAGGTGGTTTATTCCACCTGCTGGTTTTCAGTAGCTCTGAGCTATTTTAATCCAAAAGTTTTAATTTGTATGAGGCACTGCTACCTCTTAGGTGCTTATCTGAATCTTGTCAGGTAAATAATGTTGAATATTAAATTAGAAAACAAACCTTAACGATAACCTTGAGTGAAGAAAATTAATGTCTTATTTCTTCCCATGCAAGAAAACCTGACAAGAGGTTTAAATATTCATCGGCTTCCCTTTTTTAACTAGTCAGTGTAGAATAGAATTGCTATGTAAATATTTGTAAAAGGCGGCCTGCCACTCAAAGCATCTCCCTAAATTATTGTAGAATACTATATATGAAGACTGTACTTACAAGGATCATTCCTGAAGTCACAATAGTGTAGAAGACAAAATTACATCATAGAATCATTATAGCTTCCTATTTGAAACACTCAGTAGTCTCACTTGAGCATTGCTGTTGCTGCAGAGAAGCCACCCATGGTTCAAATAAAACTAGGTAGAGATTCCCAATGGCACAGAGATGTACAGTATCCTAAAATACAATGCTTGGTGATGTCATACATTGAATCTCTTACAACTACCTGTGAGCTCCCAGGACATTGCTGGTCCATTTTTGAAGACCATGAGTCTCAGTGGAATTCCTCAAATGCAATCAAAAGTGTCAGTCAGTGTGGTTGCACCCCCACTGTTTTTCAGAGCCTTGGAGAAGGCAATGTTTAGAAATGCTTGTATTTTTTATATAATATTTTGTTTGAACTATCCACGGGAAATTATAATATAGAGGGCTTCAAATAACAAAAGACGATTAGTAAAAACAAAATTAAACAAAAATAGAATGGTGTTGTAAGGTGTTGTCACCAGAGTCCAGAGAATACAATGTACAAATAGACATGGGAGGCATTAGTTAAGAGTTGGCTCTCATCGTGTAGAATTATAGCTGAAATCAGGCTCTGCTCTTTGATAGTCAAGCAACCTTCAGCCCCATCTCTCTAAACATTCACTTCCATGCCAGGTCATGTCTGTTGGGACATTTAACTCAACCTTGCTGTGTGTACATATTACATACCGGCACATGGAAGGAACTAAAGTCCCTTCGCACAACCACCCAGGGGTTGTCAACTAGAGTAAGTGTTGTCTAACAGAGTAAGAGAACACGGATGTCAAAGACAGCCCTAAGTGTTGACTCCACATGCTTGTGTGACAGTGTCTGCAAGCACATAGCAAGGCTCTGAAAGCAACTGTACACAGCACCTCAGTCTGTCACCCTTTCTATTTGATTTCTATGTCTACTTAGACACTCCCTCCCCCAAGGTACATCTATCACTGTGTGATCTTCTTAGGAACTCTCAGATGAGCCAGCTCTATGTTTCCAGGGGAGTAACACTACAGTTTCATTGTTGGAATATTGCCCAGCCTTCCAAGTTAACAACCTTTTATCTCATACTGCGCTACAGAGTCATCACTTTAGCGCTTTTCACACCTGATGCTATTTCTCTACCCAGGACCGTCTGTCTGTCCACCCTCCAGCTCCAAAAACGCTTTTCTCAATCTTATCCAGCTGAGTCATAAATATCGGTCCCTCCACAAATCAGTTTCTACACACCTCTGACAGGGGACTGATACTTTCCCACTATCATTGTTCTTAAGGTGTAAATCCTACTTATGTTTTTGTTTCATGGTGTACTGAACAGAGTGGGTTACCAGTAAATAGTAAGAATTGATTAAATGTGTAATAATAACTAATTATGACAGTGGGGAGAAAACGTTCTCTGAAAGAACAATGAGGACACTTTTGGCCTTGATATACCTTTGTCTGCTCCAACTCTGATGACAAGCTTTCCAAACTGCTGAAGCTCAGGAAGCGCTCGTGGCTGGATCCTGTTTGGAAAAGGTATCTGACCACCGTCTCCTTGTTTGTCTCAAATCGCTCCCATTTCCTCAAGCTGACCTAAATTACAAATAAATAAACAACACATCCTGTCACTTTACAAGTGGCCAGACTGAATGCTAACACATTGCAGCCTTCTCATTCATTGCCCGAACAGTCAACTGTAGCATCGCATGGTGACACTGACTGAAGATGATCCTGGTGTCTTTGATAACATTTCCTTCCCATGCCTCGGTCTTCAGATGACTTCTGAGTGCCCCAGCAGATGTAAGGTCTTCTGCTTCCACAGATGTGGTCATAACATACAGATAACTGACAAGCGGGGGGAATCACCTTTCAATCATTGTCAGGGAAGGCTAGGGGTAGCAAGAGGGAAGCAGGAAGGAAAGCAAGAGTGATAAATAGCAAAAGCTCAAAAATCATTTTTAGGGTGGTGTGTCAACAGCACCCTGAAGCACAGGGTGGCTTAAAGGTATGAGTGCTGCATTTCCTGGATATTAGAAACTATATGACCAAGTTCATGGATTCAGATCAGTGTGCAGCATGCAACATGGGGACAAGTCGCTAAACTCTGTTAGGTAATGCTGTGATTTGGATGTGACATGCTATCCGTTGGCTCATGGGTTTGAATGCTTGCCCCACAGTTGATGGGCTGACTGGTAAGGATGAGGGAACTTTAGGAGGTGGAACCCTGTGGGAGGAAGTGGGACACTAGGGGCAGGCTTCAAGGTTTGGTAGCCAGCCCCCACTTTCTGTTCACTCTGTTTCCTGACTGAGGATGTAATATGAACATCCAGTCCCTGCTTCTGCTGCGGTGCTTGTCTCACCATGATGGAATGTGTCCCTTGAACTGTCAGCCAAAGTATTCTGTTTACAAGACACCCTCCAGAGGCTTGTCAGGACTAAAAACAATCCGGGTAAAGCACTTAACCAAATGCCACCTTCAGCAGAGGAGGTGACACTGGCTCTTGCTGGAGATAGGACCTCAGTCCAGTCAGAGCTCTTCTGAGCCAGCCCAGCCCTACCTGTATGCGACGTTCCTGCCGCTCCCTGCTCTGTTCCAGGCCTGTAAGTGTGCTTTCCAACTTCTGCAGCTCCTCCTGGCCTGGGCCTGCCTGCCCACCCTGCTGCGCCTGCTCCATCTGCTGCTGGAGGTCTCTCTTCTTCGCTGAGATCATCTTTGTCTTTTGCTAGAAGTAGTTGTTCAATAGAAGAATAAAAATTGTATTGTCTATGAAGCTATGCGGGGCTACGATCATACGGCTATCAGAGGCATGGAAGGCAAAGCCTCATATGATGTAGGCATAAACCATGTTTTAAAGGAGACGTCAATAGTTTAAACATTAATGTCAGAAACCCTGAGTTAACCAAAGATGGGTGTTTCTTAAACATGGCTTATGTTTTGAATGGCCAAAATGTAAATAATTTGGTTTTAGTATTTTAATTGTGTGTGGATTTGGAGAACATGTAATATATGCAACATTCCAAAATGATTTGGTAAAAATTGATTTGACATACTTCTTAAAATAGTTGTTTTCTGTCTTACAAAAAAATCTCACTCCATTTTACTATCTGTGCTGTAAAAATGCAAATATTAAGAATTTTCCTTCTTAGGTATAGATATTTGAATGGTTAATATACTGAACTATTTGGGGGAAGCTCTACTACATTCAAGAAAAATTTTACCATATAACTTTAATCATGGCATATAATTTTATGTAAGTATTACTTTTGCATAAAATAGTACACAGATTTCAAGTGTTGAGTTTATATTTCCTTATAAAGTTTGCACACTCATGTAACAAAGTCCTGGCCCAAGAAGAATGATACATTTTAAAATATTATAAATACCAAAAATCTTATCTCTTTGACTTTTCTGGTTTTTTTTTTGTTGTTGTTGTTTTATTTTTGTTTGTTTGTTTTTGACTTTTCTGTTTTACACATCTTTAAGGCAATTAATATTTTGTGTATACAGTATAATGTTAGCATTTTACACATGAATTTAATTAGAATTTCATCATTAAATATTTTATTTGAATAATACTTTGATTAATATTGAGTTAGACATGCAGTATACTCATATATACTACTCTACAAAAGTGTTTATGTATATATTATATATATATATATTTAGGTATATATACTTAGGTATAGTTATAAAGAGTATGTATGCAGCTATACATATACTTATATGTAAATATAGTGTATATAAATATAGTAGTATATTCCAACTGCACATATATCTAATGTCTACCACTAGACTATCAGGAAACAAGTTGATTAAAATAATTTATTATTGGGGATTAAGGATGTAGTTCAGTGGAGAGTTGGAGCTTGGAGTTGAGGTCCTAGCTTCAATCCATCAACAAAAAAGATTGACTATAAATATATTGATACAAGCATACACATATACACACAGACACACAAACATACATATCTATAATACACAACATACAATTACACATACATATTCATATACATACATAATGCATATGCAAACATACATCTATAGATAACACATACATATGTACATACATACAAATAATTCCTTTGCTTTTAGTTCTAATCTTTTGTGAGAGAAAACTTACCTGAAACATCTAGTATTTCAAGTAAGTTATAGTTTTGCAAACTAAACTGTCTAGGAATTTGTCTTCCAGGGTACTCTGAAATATGTAATGTTTATCAGAAAGAACGGAGAACAGAATTGCCAAGTACTTGGAACCATCCAACCAGCTCCCTCTCCTTCTCCTTCTCCTTCTCCATTGCCAGCCTCAGAACCTGTTCTCCATCTCTCATCAATGTGTGCTGTGGTGAATAAGGAGGACTCTCTACCTGGTGATGAAGGAGCAACTGCTGGGCCTCAAACAGATTTTCCGTGTCCAGGATCTTCTCAGCCTGCTCCTGGCTTTCTTGGGAACCATCCATCAGCTCCTCAAGGGAACTTTTCACTATTTCTTTGTATTGAACGCATTCTCCAAAGTTGCTTAACATCTTTTCAACCTACATTTTCATAGAAAAAGAAAAGGAAATCATATGCTAATTAAAAAAGTTTGTGGAATATTTTTAAAATGGAGGTGAGTTTGACAAATTAACATTGCATGCAGCTAATCTACACAGTGAGATGCTGTAGCACACACATTATAAAGTGGTTTAAAAATTTCAATACATTCTCTTTTTTATGTGAATAAGTGTTTTGCTTACATGTACCTCAGCACTACATGCATGCCTGGTACCTGCAGAGGCCAGAAGAGGGTGTTAGATCCCCTGGGCTAGAGTTTCAGATGGTTTTGAGCTGCCACATGGGTGCCAGGAACCTGGCCCTCTGGGACCAGTATACTTAACTGCTGGGCCAGTGCTCTGGCTCTGAGAAATAACTTCTCGAATTGAGCTAATTAATCCTTCCATTATTCCACACAGACTCATTTTGTGTATGTGAGAGATTCAAGGTCTATTGTCTTAGCCAGTTTCAAATATATGAAATAGTTCTGTTTATCACACTGTACACTACACTTCTAGAACTCATAACTTCAGGTTTATGCCCTTTGAGTAAAATTACTCCATCAAGGCCTATGATACAGTATATATTTTAAGTGTATACATAAACTGTCTTGACAGCTAAAATAGATTCATATATATCTAATTTCTATTAATTTCTATTATTTTGCATATCTTTAAGTCTTAATTGTTGTTCAATGGTGCAGCTACTTAGAGGAATCAAGAGTTTCACTTCATTGGACATTATTCTGCACCCTATTAAAAACCTATTCTAAAATTAAGGAAAAATGCACATGGCTTGATAATCAAAGTAGAATAATAAAGTTGTATCTATTTTATACTTCATATTGTGGGGTCTCTTCATTATAACCTCATGAATACTACCTGGCTATAATAATATATTTTATAAAATATTCAGTCTATACTACATAGACCAGTAAGGAAGAAAAATCAGGGAGAAAATAATAGAACATTTGTTGAAAATGTCCTTCCAATACTACTTTATCGTTCCATACCACCTCCCCTCTCACAAACACATGAGCTTTAAATGTGTTCCATGTTGCCTTCTCAAGCTTCCTACATGCACATGGATGAGTGGAAGAGGCCCTACTAGACATGGCATTTGAATGTTTTAACCTATAACAGAATATAGCTTATTCCATTAGAATGCATATTAAATTTAGAATGAGTAGGGCTCCACTAAAATAGAATTTTTCTGGTCTCTCAACTAACTGTTGATGATGATGGTGGTGATTTATTATTACTGGTTAACAAAGAAATAACAGAAAAACATAAAGGAGAAAGTAATAAAGATGCCTGAAAATCAGACAGCTTATCTGTCTCAATACTCTTCCAAGTCCTTTACCTTCAGTATTGAATTTTAGTCTTTGCTACTCCCTCATTAGTACATTTTTAAACTCTGTTTTAAAAGTAAGGACATTGTGGCCTAGGGACACTGAATAAAAACTTCAAGATTATGTGGAGGTAGGATATTAACTATAAGCTCTGCTGCTGGGTTAGTCTGATTTTCAAGCATCTTTATTACCTTCTCCTTTTTTCTTTTCTGTTATTTCTTTGTTTATAGATAGATCCACTCTCACCATGTAGCTTAGGCTGGTCTTAACTTGTCATGGAGCCCAGGTTGCCCTTGAACTTCCTATCCTCCTGCCTTAGCTAGGATTACAGGTATGCACCATACCACTACACCACGCTTCTCAAACCCCTTTTCATAAACTTGGAAGCCTATCTTTAAGTGATAACGAAATAGTGATATTTTCAGTAAGAGCAAAAACCATTTGACTGATCATACGGTACTTCAGACATAGGTCAATAACTTGAACTACTCGGATCAACAGCATTGTCCATAACTCAAGCATCCTGCACACCTTTCCTAACAATCTCCATATAAACAGATATGGTTTCTTGTAAAACTACTTGCTAAACTACAACCAAAACAAAGATGGCCCTGCAGCCTCCTCCCCCAGCTATTGCCTCCACCCTCAGAACTCTTGAGCATAGCAAATGATATACCTCTGACAGTAAAGCCACGAGAGCCTTGAAAGAACTTGATAATTCTGCCAGCTCATCTCCTCGCTTTTGGGCTTCATTCTCGGAAGAAACGTCAATCAAATGTTTAAGCCTGGATTTCAGCCAGCTGAGGGTCTCTCCTCTTTTGGTAATGTCATTTCTGATCTCCTGGAATGAAAGGACACTTTTTTTTATTAACAAAGAGTGATCAGGAAAGAAACTCAACCTGAGAAGGTTTGTAAAAGGGCCATCATAGCATCAGCTAGCTGTTCTATCACAACAGACTGAAGAGAACAAGAGAGCTAGCTCATGATGCTCCTCATACTCATCATGAACAAACAGGATGGTTTCCTGATGCCCAAACCTAGTGGGCAAAGCCAACACTGTGCATATTTTGAAAATCACCTTCAGAGTTAAATTAGATGCTTATAGATATTTCTTTGATTTTAGAAAACTTGTGGTAAGTTGACACGAAACTAGCCAGCAAAGATTTGTAATTGGCACCAAACTCTAACTAGCAGGGAGGGTTCACTAGCAGCAACAGTGCTGGGAAGATTCCAAAGTCTTACGTCTCCAGGACATGTAGAGGGCATGGTACCTGGGACAACCATTTATACTAGCTACGGTTAGTTTAGGGCAGGGGAAAATGCATACCAGACAGGAAACAGCTGGCTTCAAAATCAGTCTCTGCATTTTAAGACAAGGTTAAAAAACCAAAACAGCAACAAACAGAAAACCCATTTTCTGTATGTACACAGTAATGTTGAATTCTCTACTAGTGCCTCGGGCAACTTTATGAATTAAGCAGAGAAAAAGGGAACCTGGAAGACAGCAGCAGAAAGACAGAATTATCTTCTATAGTAGTAGATGTGTGACTTTAAAGGATCAGAAATGTTGAGTGAGAATTGCATGGTAGTCTATGTATACCAAGTAGAAGTCTTTCTAAGAGAGCAGCTGCTGCAACGAGTCACAGATAAACGTGATATTCAGACCCGGAGCTCTGCTACCTTGGCTGCCTTTATTGTCTCTAAAGCAATGGAAACGAACCAGTTCAGTTTGATTACATCAGATGAATAATCAGAGAATCCCAATGTGATTTCTATTTCCTCAAGTTGTCTGGTTAAAACTGTATTGTATGGAAACACAGCGTTTTTGTTTCCGGTGACAACTCTAGATCTATGCTGTATTATAAATCACGCATGCTCCTTCCTGCTCCAGTATCCCCCATTAGGTACAGCTGCATTAGAGGCATCACTGAACATGCTTAAATCTCAAAGCTATCAGTAGCTCCATAGAGGGGGGAAAAAGCCTACCCTTACCACGGTAATATGAAGAGATGTTGTCATTAAAGAAATATAGAAAACACACACACCAAACAAACCAGTTACCCTATGGGTGCTTAACTGTTGGAAATTTTCCTCTAGAAAGAATCATCTCAGAACTTACATCTACCACATGCTTAACCTCATCGTGGTTGGCAGAGTTGATGGCTTCATCCTTGATTTTCTTTAACCCTGCCTCCTTTGCAGATACCCAGGATGAGAACTCAGAAAACCTGAAAACACACAAGAATTTTATTACAAAAGGGACAAACTCTCAGGAAAGTGAGGTAAATTTCTCTATTTTGAATTCAGAGAAGTGGAGTCAGTGATGACTAAATTGACGGCATTTTCTTGGAAACATTAACATGAATCCCAAGGCAAGTGTGAGGTCAGTAACTTAATCTGAGGCTAATAACTTAAATGGAGTTTAGCTGAGGACATGATGTATTTCGGGGCTTGAGAGGAAAGACACTACTTGAGATCTGGCTCCATGCATCTCAACAGAGTGACATTAACCAATAGAAGCAGCCACTCCTCGATGAGGAGGGGAATGGAAGAAAACCAAGAGTTTGGGCCTCAAGAACATCTGCATTATTTTGAAATAAAATCCAGACACTGTTTTAGACTGAAACCCATTTAAAAAAAATAAAAAAATGAAGTACCTTTGTACAAAAACATGGGCAAGACTAAAGTAATCTGATTTTCTTATTGCCTAAAACAAAATCTATACCATCCCCTGTTCTATAACAATCTCTGAAGAAAAGAAGATGGACTGCAGACCCCTGGAAATGCCCCAGTACCTGCTCGTGTAGTTCTCTCTCATTATGATAGACTGGGGCTGTCTCTGCAAATGTACCTGCTAGTATAGTCCTTCCACTTGTCCGGGTCATCAATGAGCATCATGTAAGTACTATCAATGGAAGCTTTGAGCTCTTTGAGAGCCATGTGACAGGCTCCAGATGTGTCCCTGACTGGGTCCCGGACTGGGAGCTTCACACACAGTTCCTCTATGAGCTGCAGTCTCTTCTCACAGAGGTGATGAGGACCCTTGTCACTGAAGAAAACCTAAGACATGAGAAACATGTTCACTATCTTGGTGAGAAGCCGCAAAACACCTCTACAGTCTCACAGGAAAACTAAAAGCAGATTCACGGGGGGGGGGGGGACCAATGTAATAAGACCATTTTCCTCAGACCATCATATCTGCAAATATCTTCATGTAGTTATGCACTTCCTATGGTATGACACACACCCTGTGTTCCTTGATGATCTTCTCACTGCCTTCTTGGGGTACCAGCTTAGTCTCTCGCTCCAGCTCAGCTCTGCACTCTTCCACAGCAGCTGAGAACCTGTTCTTCTCCACAGCAATTTTTAGGTGGAGCAAATGATAAGGTGCTTCTCCCTGTAGGTCCTGCATTCACAAAAAGACCCACAAAGACAGAATAAGGCTTTTGAGTAGGTCTATGTCCTGTTGAGAGGCCAAAATGTCCTGAACTAGTCCTCTCTTACTCCCGACTCTCCGAAATGCAGAGCAGGTTCAAGAACATGGATTTCTTGTGTTCCCATAATCTCCACTCACCTTCCACTGTTTGTGCAGCTTTCTGACAGCCTCCTGCAGTCCCTGCTGCTCCTGTTCTGGGAGGATGTCAGTGAGCTCATCACAGGCTTTCAAGAAAGCGTTGAGGACCCTCTGGTCCAGCTGGCTGAAGAATTCCTATCAGAGAGAGAGGAAGAACTATTCGGATGCTGCGTAGAGTAATGGCATCACAAGACATGTCCCACTGAGCCTTATAGCCAGCAGTTTCCTTCATCAAAACTTCAGGCAACTCTATCCTTCTTTGGGAACAAACTATAACCATCCACGGTTATGAGTCAGAAGTCATCACACCTGACATTTCACTATTACTTTCTCCATTTTAAGAAAAAATATCTCTGCAGTTCCTAAATTTGGTAGGGTAATCTGAAATGCTACTGGATTACCCCCAAACCTTGATTCCATGGTGATAGAGATACAGGTCCTCTTTGGTAATTCAGAATTATAGCACAGGGTCTCCAAATGCCCTTTCCTCACCTGGAACATGTGTTAGTTGTGATATCTACTGTGAGCCATCACATAACTATCATGCATGTATTTTAATACTGGTGCTGTGGATGGAACAGTGTCCCCCATGGAGTTGTATGTCACATTCATAAGAGTGATGAGGTAATGGGGAAGACCTTCCAGGCAAGGTCTCCTTCCTGACCTATGACAACATGGATAAGTGTCCATGTGTCAGCCAGAAACAGTCCTCATCGAATCCCCTCCATCGTGGCAAGCCAAACTCAGACTGCAATGCTCCAGACAGGTGAGAAAATCCACATCTACCTTCAAGGCCAGCTAGCTGCTATCTTCTTACAGCATCATGAGAGATAGAAGCACACATGTACACACACTCAGTCTTGAGAAGGCTCAGCAGCATGTATGCAGAGGCATTTTGAAACCACATGGATTCAATGCACAGAGTAGCATAACATTTACAATTATAAAAAGAGTAAGATAGATGCTTTGTGGCCACAGACTCAGGGCTCTAAAAAATGCCATCCCTAATACATGCACCATCCTTTCACATGTCAATAAATATAAAGTTCATGTTTTTATTACACTGTCCATTACCTTATACCATGCATCCATTACCAGTGTCTTCAGCACTAATGTAATTTAAACAAGAGGGAGGTGGTCTCTCAACCTTATATAATTGTGTGTCAGCTACTAAATGCTGAGTGGCATGGAGTCTATACTGTGCTATGATATCCCATGGTGGTTTATTAAATGAGCGTGAAGAACTGTCACTCAGCACCAAGTGACATGGAGTCTATATTATGCTATAATATGCCATGGTGATTTATTAAATGAGCGTGAAGAACTGTCACTGAGCGCAAGCTATTTAAGAGCATATTTAGCTATGTAAAACTCTCTGAGCTTGTAGTTTAAGAGCCTATGTCATCCATATTCACTGCTATCCTAGGAGCTCAAGAATGGTCCTGAACAGTGGCAAAGCAGTTTTTCTTGCAGTTCTTTTGATGCTGTTTGTTGGGTCTGATGCCTTTATAGTCTATGCCTTGCTGCCTCTGCCTACTTCCCTATATTAGGTCAGTCTTTTTATTTTACTATCTGAGATCAGTTGTCTGCCCACGTAGGTCAGATGTACCGCATAGAGTAGACTCACTGTGTGTTTCCGAAGGAGTTCCTCAGGATCCCCCTTCTCTTCTAAGCCCTCCTGAGCAACCCGTAGCACCTTCTCCAACTCTGCCCGAGACTCCTCAAATTTCTTCATTAAACGACTGTTGGCTTCCACATGCTTCTTCCATTCTCCAGTTTTCTTGATCATATTCTTAATGCAAAAAATAAGTCAATCCTTGGTACCCATGCATTCACTCCAGGAGCCTCAAGCATACCAACATGCACAAAAATGAGAGACCCTTACATCAAACGACGTGGTGTCTGTACATAATGTAGACACATCATCTGGCATACTCTAAAACTAACCCATCTCTGTATGACTTTCAATAATCCACCAGCAATGCTATGTAAATGCTTGTATTACTTAAATAATAATGGCAACAACCAAAGAGATGTACATGACATGTTCAGTACAGAGGTGAGTTTTTCTTTAAATTTCAATTTAGTGTTGAAACCACCTATAGATGGGCCACCTATAGTTTGGAATATACTACAAACCATAACTGGAAGCTGCTTCATCAGTACTGAGGTTTCATTTGGCCAGGTCACAGTATTATGGCATCACTATGAATTATTAATATCATTATTTGTTTAGAAAGCATTTGGAGGGAAGATAGTTCATTATAAGGTCAATTTATTATAAGGTTATTAATGTTAGGGAAAAAAGTAATGAAATGTTTGGTTTTCAAGTACCAGAGAGTGCGGTGTGTTGTTCTTGATCTCGGTTTTCCCGGATTTACATATATAAAGCAGGGAGATGAACTTACCTGGAAGGCATGGCGGACATCTGCTGTCTGTCTCTGTAGCTTCGTGTGGTCCCAGTTCTTTAACACGGGGCTCAAGGTGACGAGCTTCTGGACACTTTGACTGCCCTTCTCTACAAGTGCCAAGATTTTCTTACAGCTTTCTTGGCAAACTAACAGCTCCTACAAGGAAAGGAAAGACACAGGGGTATTAGTTATGTGCCAGAATGAAAGGGAGGGAGGGGAGAAGATAGAGAGGAAAATAAGAAGAAAGGGAGGGAGGCACCAGTGTAAGTAACAGCATTGTACAGCATTTAGACTTTTAATGAGAAATAAGCAAAATAAAAAATACAGAGAAACAGTCCTTTTCAAAAGATCTTGATTTAAGCAATCATTGAAATCAGTGCTTTTTATATGTGCCATTTAAATGTCACAGTGAGGTTTTAGACTTCTTTATGTTTCATGCACATCTTATTAACATTAAGAAAATGACATAACATAAAAGTGGTCTAGTTTCTGAATTCCTCCAACTGGCTGTTAGGCAGACCTGTGGCTTTTCAAGAGAACAATCAAATCTAATATACTTACCAGGTTTTAATTATACTAAGTAAATTTAACACAATGCACACTTCCTTTAGTGTATCCAATGCTAAAGATTTTACATCACTTGTTTACTCCAGATTTGAAAGGATACAGTTCAAGCTATCCTCCTTCCTAATGAGACCTAATCAAAGCAAGCAGAAGACTAACAGGCCTGGGGAACTGCTTGCTCTTGCCACACCATTCAAATGGGATGCAGCATTGATGGACAGGACCCTTCCTTCTGCCTCTTGGCCTTGCATCCTACCAATTAGCCTTCTGGGAGATAGTCACTTCTGTCTTGAGGGCACAATGCTTGCATTTCTGCATTTTCAAATGTTTTGAAGAGAACATTCAAACTGTTCATTTGGATGCCATTTTGGTCACCTAAACGCAAATATTTAAACCAGACCTTTTTTCTCTGACAAAATAAGTTTAGGGCTTACCTTTTCCTTTTGAAAAATTAGAAGTTTAAGGAGTAGAAATTGAAAATATGTTATAAAAATATTAACATGTGTTGTCAATAATATATGACTTTAATGATGGAAAGATTATTTAACCATGTTTTAGGAAGCTAGGGAATGTTAACAAAATAAATGAATTTTCATTCTATATGCCATGATATCATTAGAATAGTGTGTTCTAATAATGATTGTAACTATACTATCAATAATAATAATAATAATATAAATTATTGAATAGTTATTGTATGATATGGCCACTATTGATGTAAGATGAAGAAAGTTAATAAACAGTTAGCCATGTGCTACAACAAACCTAAACTCTGACTATCTTGTCACTCATTTCAGACACACTGTCAATCTACTAGCTGAAGCTGCCCCTTCTATGAATTTATTTCAGTTAGTGTAGTGGCAAAGGTTTCCTACATTTACACCCTCAAGTAAAGGACGGACCCACTCAAGATAAGCCAAGTAAACAGGTTATTTGATTGAGCCTCTCACTAGGAAATTCGGAGCACACAGATCTGCTCACTAAATATAAATATAAAATTCACAGCAAGCTAATTTCCATAATTTCATGGTTATTTAAATAAATGTATTCCCACAAAGGACAGACACCATAAAACAAATATTATCAATACCTGGTTGAAATAGGGTACAATTGCATATTTAATCTATACATTTAAAAAGCATAGACACAAGGGATCAAGGCATGAGAGGCTTGTGCACTCTTAGAAAAAATTAACCATTTTATCAGCTAGTGAGGTAACTGATGAGGCCTCGAGACACATGTGCAGTGCCAAGTCAACAGAAAGACAGAAAACTTGAACACTCACATATGTGTCCTATTCTTCCTAAAGTACAAATGAAAAAAATAATGTTTTACATTAAACTTTTCTTGAACCTTATTCATGAAATAGGATCCCTAGATTTGTTGGAGGAAATACAGGGTTAGACAGTTAAATAGCCTGTGATAGAGGGGAAGCAGAGACCTTTCTACTATTGGGGGCCCTTTTCGTTTCCAGACAAGACAGCAGATTTGATCTTCTAAATATAGCACTTATTCTGGAGAACCACTGTGGAGATCCCACCTCCCACATTTGGCATTCAGAATGTATGTATGTAGAACAGGCAATGAGAAATGGTGGCCAGTGTCATCGCTCGTGTGGCCAGTTCAAAGATGCAGAGAAAGGTGCTCACAATGGATTCCTTTTCCTAAGTGTCCTCAACTCAGAATTTTCCTTCAAATAAGCATACAAAGCAAGAAGTTTTCATGTCATTATCAGACACATTTAGTTTTGATGTCTTCACTCCTCTGCCTGGTGCCTCCTTCCCTTATCTCCCAAGGAACTTCTTAATCCAGAGTTGTGCAGCCTAGTTCTGACTTGATCCAGGTGTTCAATCTGACTGTACCCTGGAAACAGTTCAAGTCTCCAGTCCTTCCACTAAGCACAGAGCAGGTTTTCTTTTCTAGATAAGACATACACTTAGCTTTGAGCTACTAGTGCCCCACTATTCTGGAAAAATACCTTTTAGACTAACTGTATTCTATGACAGTCAAAAATGCTCCAATCTTAATAAATACACTTTAAAATGAGGATTATCTCTGACAGGGAGTTTTCTTACCTGGTGTTTTTGCTTAAAAAGAGAGCTAGATTGTGCTTCATGCTCAAGGACCGACATAATCTCGTTGATTTTCCCAAGTGAGTCGTAGAAGGATGTGATCTGTGTCTCCAGTTCTTCCAAAGGAACTGACAGCTGCTGGGCCTCAGACAATAGTGGGGAGTAACATTCTTTGACCTTTGAAAGTGCAAAGAACAAAACAAATCCATGAAGGGCCATTAAGTTCCCAAAGCTCCAGCTTTGCCCTTAGTTCTCAAGAACTTTTCGTGTGATGGTCACTTGGCACTACGGCATCTCTGAAGATGGTTCCCTTATTTTGTGCTATGTGATTGTGCTTTGTTGTTAAAAAATAAACAAAAACCACTAAAATACTATGCCACTGAGACAAATGAAGGACTGTGTAGTTTTCTCATGAAAATTCATCTAAGTTGTCCATCTGGATGGCAATCACCATGTAAATTATTACATTTAGAGAGGCAGATGGCATCCAATTCCTCTTTAAACACCACACTATTCACTTCCACTTTGGCACTGAAATCTGATCTGAGGCAGTCACGAATTATTACCACACTATCTAGAGGACACGAGGCTTCTAGTTTGATGTTCTCGAGCTTCTGCACGTGAACTCTAAGCCTAGACAAACCTATTAACCACCTCTTCTAGATACCCTTTTTTCTTCCTCTCACCAGCTCCAGGCTTTGCCTCTCTGTTTGTCCATGTCATATTCATCCCAAGAACATGTTATACACCAATTTTTTCATGAAGGTTCCCATGTCAGAGGTAGTTGACCCAATCTAAACTGTCCAGCCCTCATCTGTCTTTGTTTTTAATATCTCTACATCTACATTTTCTTCATGTTGAGGTCCCAAGTTCTTAGCATTTCAGAGTTCTATAAGGTCTTTGTCTAACTGCCTTTGCACTGAACTCTAGGATCTTATAATTGTCAAGGAAATCTCCTCTCTCCTTGTTATCTTCAGCTTTTTAAAGTAAGATTAATACTCTCAGAAGACCAAGAAAAGAGAATTACTTTATAATAACAATAAAAATAATGATGAATTAACTATATCAGTAATAGTCCATAAACAATATTTAAAGTAAATATTGCCTTTTGCTACACTGTTGCAGAAGTGCATATGTAGAAATACATCCGTATTCTAGAATATGCTGTTGAAAGGTAAGTTCATCAATTGAAAGCTACCATCTCTACTGCAAAGAGACTCCACAGTCATTTGCTTGAACAACCCCAAGAGAATCTATTGATATGTATCAACTCATTGCTTTATTGATCTTTCCTGGGTTGGAGAGAAAAGCTGTCAGCATACTGCATCCCAAACAATGGAAAGAAAACATGCCTTAAACCAGGCTGGGTAGACACTCCTGTCATCTTAACACCCAGGAAACAAAGGCAGAAGGACTGACAGAAGAGGAAGTCCAACTTGTCTCCCTAGTAAACTCCAGGACAGCCAGGGACACATAGGGAGATCCCGTCTCTAAAAACAGTAATAGTATCAACAACTACAAGAAAGGGAACACACACACACACACACACACACAGAGAGAGAGAGAGAGAGAGAGAGAGAGAAACACAGAGAGAGAGAGAGAGAAAAAGAAGAAAGAGAGAGAGAGAGAGAGAGAGAGAGAGAGAGAGAGAGAGAGAATGTAGCTTAGATGAACACAAGGACACAATGTACTTTTCCAATTGTTATACCAAACCACTGCACCTGGACATGGATGAGAGGTGTAAGCCATAAAACCACAGAAATACAGCCCAGCAAATTATTGGAAAGTTGAAAACAATGGCTTTTTATTGTACCTGGTTGGTTTTTTTTTCAAATTTTGCTGGTACATAAGAGTAAAACTGTTCATTACAGTTAAGTTTAAATGAATTCTATCTAGAATGTTAGAATGAAATGAGTTGAAAATGATATGTATAAAGTATAATAAACTGACAATATTTTAAACCCATTATCCTTCTGTTTTCACTTTTCTTTGCATTTGTTTATCTTTTTCCATTAATTCTTTAATACTGATTTTATCTGTTAGTCTCCCTCTTCTCTTTTATTTCATTGACCTTCACAATTCACCGACACCTCATCATACAATACTGCAACTCACATGCTGTTCCACTTACTTACTAGAAGGTAATTACCCACACTAAGTTAATTTTGAAAACAATGAAATCTTCTTTAAACCAAAGGTTAGATCAAAGATTCTAATGGAACTCTCAAAGCTCTTAATTAGAAGTCCCTCAACAAGTGGGGCCATGCTAGCAAAAGACAGATGAGATTTATATTAAGTAAATATTAACAAAATCTCAGCTCTATGTGTAGTCTTCTCCTCTTCCTCTTTGCCTATATCTGTCTACATTTCTTCTTCCATCCTTTCTGTTTTATAACACTTAGGTGCTTTCTCCTCAAAAACACAGATTTCTTCCACTGAAGCAGAGCCTAAATTAAGAGAGGTGTCAACTGGCCTCAGTGGCCCATCTTATTTTTTAATATATATCAAAGTTTCTAAATCAAGAATCTCAGTATGGCTCAAAGGTACAATTAGTGGACCAGTCAAGGATGCACCCATGGGTAACCAAGAAGATCAAAAGCATCTCAAGGTAGCACGGTTGCCTCACAGCATGTTGTAGTGTGAAGTATTTTCCCACCTTGGACAGTTGTTCTTTGAGCCTGGACATGGTTGTAAACATTTCATTAGCTTCTTCTTGGGGACTTTCTTTGGCAATGAGATGTGCTGTCTTGGTGATCATCTTGTACTGAGCATCCATCACAGGCACCCTCTTCTCAATATCCTGTGTCAATCATTGAAGCCACTCAATTAGTGCTCAACACATGCCGTTTCAGTTGCAGGATCCCACAAAAGATGGGACAAAAATCAACATGTACTGTGTAAAATTCTATCCTCATCACCAACTCCAGTAGGAAAGCCATTGCTTCCCCTTTTAACTGTCATGCAGGCAACACTATACTAAATGCATACATTAAAACTTCTTTTTTAAAGGACTCAGACATTCTTAAGTCAACACCAAGATTAGTTGACATAACATTTATACTTTCTAAAATATGTTAATTCAGTATGGAAACACTCACACTTGTAATACTTGTAAATGTATGTAAATAGCATGGGAGAAATCCTGACTTTAAGAATTAAACTGAAATTTGAAAAACCTATTGTCACTGTAGAAAACTTAGAAATTTAGTATGGTGGAAATTTTAATTTCTTATCATCTCACACACTCACAGTGGCAATTAAAGTCAACACCTTACCACAGTTGCTCCACTTTTCTCTGATGTGTGTTTGTGCTTTTAAGTTTTGTAAAGTTAAAAGGACAACACTTTGGGCTACTTTTCTCATTTAGGAAATCGTTCAAGTTTCTTCTGTCATCTGATAATTTTATTATTTCATACAACAAACACTTTACAGTTTAGGGCTCTGTAAAGTTGCTTTTGTTTTTTTCTAATATTTCATAATTTGTATAAAGAAAACGAATTCCATGTCGAAAAATTATTTTGAAATTACTTCATATGTTCAAATGGTATCTTTTCAAGATTCAAGTTTATTTTCTGTGACAGTCAGCAAATGTGTAAACCAATTAAAATGATCCTTAGGATACAAAAATAGCTTTTTTGATGACCAGAGCAACCTGGCTAGTTTTTATTTTCACAGTACGTTTTTCATTTTTTGATTCAGAAAGTTCTTACCTCCAAGTCTTGAATCAATAACTTGACATTAATTAGAGAGACATCTAAGGGCTCAGAGAGCTTCCTGTGAGCTTCGGTAGCAAAACCAGAGAGGGTGGTAGTATAGTCTATGTATTCCTTCTTCATTCTGTCCACCTCGTCAGCTCTTGCATACTGTGAGGAGAGTGTGGAGAGAAGCATGGGAAAGCCATTAAGCTGTGATTCTAGAAGCTCATGGCCTTCGCTGTGACAAAATTCTAACTCCTGATACTTATTTTAGATAAGTTTGAAATAAATTCAGCTAATTTGACAGGAAAAAAGGAAGAAGCAAACAGTGGAGAGGCAGGATTTGAAAAGTAAATCTCTCTGTCTGTGCAGGCTCCATATGTCAATATAATCCTCAACCAAATGCTACATTCTGTTAATTTTCCTCCATCATATGCAGCAAAGAATGAATAACTAGCAATGAAATACAAACAGCATGAAACACTTCTATATTCTACCTTAATACGCCTAGCCAAATTGCCTCTCAGCAAACTGTTTATCACATGGATAACACCATGTCTGAAGTGAATATGAAGCTGAAAGACATACTTGCTTGACTTCCATGAACAGCTCCCTCCATCGTCCATTTAGCAAGAGCAATTGCTGTTTGAGGTCACGGGACACAATCTCGTCACAAGTCTCAATCAGGAAATTGCCAGCATCGTTCATGGCTGTGTGCTGCTGAATCCAGTGAGGCAAATTTCGAAAAAAATCCTAGGCAAGAAAGGACATGCACTTATAAGTCACAAGCCAAATGCTAATACCGGATATGAAGATCAAGTGTGTGTAAGCTTTAAGATGGATTTCAACTATCTTCCAAAACTCAGATTTTTAAATAAAATTTCAAAATATGAGCTAGAAATGCCAGTTGTCTTTGTTTTTTATCTTTTCTCTCTTTTTTTCCATGTACACATGCACATACATACACGTGCACATACGTGTGTATGCACACTCTTGGTTCTATGGCTGCACTTGTGCGTATACACATGTGCATATGAAAGTCAGAAGACAGCATCTTCCTTTCAGCATCAGTGACTCCATCATCCACCTGTTTGTTTTTTGTGTTCTCTTTTCTTTTGAGTGGGGGGGGTCTCTCACTGGCTCGGGACTGGCCAAGTATGTTAGGCTGGCCAGCCAGTGAGTCATAGAAATGCATCTGTCCTTGCCTCCCCAGAATGGGAGTTACACAAGCCATGACACCTGCATATTTTTACATGGATTCTGGGGACTCAAAATAAGACGTTATCAAGCACTTTACTAACTAGGCTATCTCCCAAGCCCATTTTCGTTTTGAACAATTGTGCTCTAATCTGCTGCTCAGGCTAGTCCCAAACTTGTAGGCTCAAACAATCCTGCCCCCCATACTGAGTCAAATGGACAGCTGGGACTATGGGCATGTGCCAATGCACCTGCCCCTGTGCCATCATACAAGAACATCTATGGCACATTTTGCTAAAGACAAAGTAAAAAAAGAGAGAGACCATTTTCTCATTTTCTATATGAAGCAGCAATCAGTTCTTCAAACGTCAGACTTTTTCTTACTTATTTTTCTTTTTTTACATACCAATAAAAATGAGTGCAAGCAGTCTAAAATTGGAATATATATATATATATATATATATACATACATATATGTGCATATATAGTATGTTCAGATATCAGAGGAAACATTTTTAGGTCAGACATTTAGGTCAAGGACCTTGGACACAGTAGCTTCCTATCTTATTTATGTAAGGGAATGCACTTGGCAGTGAAACAGCTTCCATCTCATTTCAGATTAGGTGCATGTGTTCACACATGTGCACACTCATCACAGTGCAAACATAACTCCAGCTTCATTCCATAAGCCATGTGTGGGAGACTTTCCTACACAAATAGCTGGGAACACTCCTGTTTCTGGTTGCTATGTTGCTTTGGATCAAACCAACACACATGACATGTACCAGGGCATTGTTCATCTGATTAGTAAAAGACCAAATCTGCATGGGTCTATGCTTATTGCCTTTTTTAGATATACAAGAATATTCAACCCATATCAATGAAGAAGCAAGAGAACAATATTGAAATGATGCGTGGGTTGGTACAAACATGCAACAGATGAACAAATCTTGGATAAAGAGGTAATTTATTCCAATGCATCTACTACACTTCTTTATGGGCACTTTACAGTATAAGGCCCTTTATATCTATATTGATTTTCCATGTGAAAACATCAGGTTTATATATACGAACTATATATATGTGTATATATATATATATATATA